CGAGACCGACCCAGATGCTGCTTGGAAAGACACACGAACAGCTGTGGAAACAGCAGTTACATCTATTAGTCATTTAAACCATAGGGTTCCAAAAAACCAATGAATTTCTTCCAAATCTATTTCACTGATGGATTCGCGCAAACTCATCCCATCAGGCTCTGAACACGACGAAGAGCGTAAACAAATCAAATGTAGGTTGACTAAAAGTCCAAGGAACGATCGTGAGCAGTGGTGGGCAATGAAAGCAAGAGTGATGGAAAAGGCATCGGCTGTATGCAACACCAGGCAACTCTTCAGACTAATAAAAGAAACCGGAATTAAGAAGTCACGTGTAAGTGAAACGATCTCGAAAAAAGATGGAACCTTTATCTGCTCTCAGTCCAGACGTTTAGGACGGTGGGCGGAATACTTTAAGGAGCAGTTAAGGAGCAGGACCATATATTCACTATTCGTCAAATTTTATAACACAGAAATGCTTGTCGGCGTCCGACAATGATAGTTTTTCTTGACTTGAAAGCAGCATTCGTCTCTGTGGACCAAGAGGTTCTGTGGCAGTGTCCGTAACTGAAAGGTGTACCTGAGAAGTACATAAACCTCATGAAGGCTCTTTACTCGAACACTACCAGTCGAGTGAGAGCTTATGGCGAACTGTCATATGATTTTACAACCTCAAGTAGTGTCCGACATGGTTGTCCACTATCCCCATTTTTGTTTTACTTCATTATAGACCTACTGCTGAAAATAACACTCTCTTCGACTGAATTTTCAGGAAGTGATCTCCTACCAGGTATACCACTAAGCGACTTAGAATACACAGATGACATAGTCCTGTTTGGTGAAGACGCTGGCAAAATGCAGAGTCTTCTGTTGGAACTGAGTAATAATGCCAGGATGTTTGGGATGCATTTCTCCCCATCCAAATGTAAATTGTTACTCCAGGACTGGCTTGCATCAACGCCAGAACTAAGGATAGGGAGTGAAGTAGTCGAACGCGTCGACAACCTCACTTATCTTGGAAGTCTGATCAGCCCTAATGGGTTGGTGTCTGACGAAATCTCAGCACGGATTCAAAAAGCTCGTTTGGCTTTTGCCAACTTACGTCACCTATGGCGAAGACGAGATATCCGTCTATCAATTAAGGGACGAGTATACTGCGCATCAGTTCGCTCTGTTCTACTTTACGGCTGCGAAACATGGCGATTAAGAGTAGAAGATACTCGTAGGTTACTAGTATTTGACCACAGATGCCTTAGAAATATTGCTCGCACCTGGTAAGTAATAGTGAGGTTAGACGCAGGGTATTAGGGAATGATGTTAAATCAGTTGATGAGGTCATGAATCTTTGTCGACTGAGATGGTTGGGCCACGTGTTACGTATGCCTGAACACCGATTACCACGACGCGCAATGCTGACTAGTATAGGGGATGGTTGGAAGAGAGTTAGGGGCGACCAAACCAAAACATGGCATCAGTGCTTGAAGTCACTAACTTCTAGTTTGAGCCATGTTGGTAGATGCAGACTACTTGGTTGGGGTCCGCGTGACTATCGTAACCAATGGTTGGAGACTTTGGGTGACATGGCTCAGAATCGATCACAATGGCGTAGGTGTATACACTCTTTATCTTCCCTTAAACCTTGAAATTAAACTTGCTTCATAACTTTCTTCCTATACTATATCCTTATAAACAACTTATCTTTTATATACTACCACCACTAAATTAACTACTTCTATGAATCCGGTGTTCATCTTGTTGTGTTAACGAGGTATGGCAACTTGGACCGATGCATATGTGTGCCTGGTCCTACGTTATAGCTGACTGACTATGATGTAATTTTACTAGGTGATCATTAACTTACGCTTAACCCCCTAACTTTGGCTTCTACAGAGTCACTATCTATGTATTTCGCACAACTTCACTTTTTACACCACATTTATAGCACGTGTGGTCATTCTGTATCACTGTTATGGTAATCTGTCAGTGTGACCGCAGTAACATCAGTCGGTAAGACTTACACATACCGTTTACGCACAACTATGTGCATGTTCTCATTATGTATAGTCTCGTGTGTTTCGACTCCGCATTGCAAACATCTAGTACTCAAACCTCAACTATAATGGCCTATAGGACTAGAGAAATGATAAGTAGCACATGAATGCGAACAAGGGACGTTTTATTACTTCTCATGTAAAGTAGAATAGTCAGATTTTTAATTTACATTATTTGATTGACTGTTTATGGGGAGTTTATTCAGAATCTGAGAACTGGTTATGGGTCGATAATAATGTAGTAGTAGTAGTACAGCTCAAATTATCCGTGAAGGTCTTATTATTTGGAGTAGTATGTTTATTAGTAATTCGTACTCTTCTAATTATGAATGGACCATTATTCAAGCCGGGAGATTCAAATTACAAGTGCAGTGATGTAGAAAGCAGCCTTGACTGCACATCAATATTACATATCTTTTATCTATCTAGTGTTTAGGCTGACAATTATACACAAAATTTATTGAGCATTTGAATTTTTCAATAACTGAAATGTCGACAAAACTGTAAAGCTAGTTTCAATAATGCCAGTTTTTATGAGTGAACAGACCTCTACAGCAAATAGCTTTCTAGGAACAAGACCATAAAGTCAACCATGTTAGCACTGATGTGCACTTAAAGTTTAGTGTGATCGATTATTCTCTCACAATATGCTCGAAGACATATGATGAATGATGATTTCCACATCTTCCAGATAACCAACTTATTAGTCACACTCTCATATGATATCATAGACGATCAAATACTCTATTTCTCTATGATAATTTATTCTTTACTTATCTTCAAAGCCCCTTACTCGGAGATATTTTCCAGAATTTTTAATTAGTAAATCCGAATCAATGCATTTTGAAAATTTAAGTTGAGCATGAACCTAGAAAGTGCCTGGACTGTTGTTTCAAATCGAACTCTTGAGATCAATGGAAAATTCATCACCCGTCAATGCTTCTTACTGGAAAAGCTTCGAACAGCACAAAATTTTGCAACTGGTTTTGCAGCACGTCTAGTAATCCGTACTCATGGAGTGTTTTTACAGTCCGAAAAGTCACGATATCACTTGTTTTGTACTTGAATAAACGTGTTATTTTCTCGGTCACTGATTTTTTAAATGCTGCAATGAAATATTACTTCATATTCGCGAACCAAGAAAATCAGAATATATGCAGTAGCAATAGTTTTACAGTCCCTGGCAGATGAAAAGCTTTCTTAACTCTGTTATCACTTTTTTACATGAAATAACTACTCGTCATGTGCATCCTCCAAGGACTAAACACTGACCCCAACTAGTTCCTCATATTATCATTCATTCTTATCTACTATGTTTATTATGACTAATGCTTGGATTATAGCTGCTTACTTTACACAGGTACATAATAAAATCGCCACATCCTGTAAATTTTATGTATTGAAAACAACTGTCATTAACTTACATCGCGAATATGTAGACGAAAAACGCCATATCCTACTTCGCGACAAGTTTTGTAGTTCTAGCTTCTTGACTCACCAAATAAATCCATTCCATGTGCAAATAACCTGAACACTATGCATCCTTAATGCACCTGCTCTAAAAATCCAATTCAAAGATTGTTTTACATCTGGTAAACATCACAGAAAATGTAGAAAGATTGGCTGCATTGCTTTCCTTACCTTAAGTATCATCATAGGATATCTCTGATGGAATATCGGGACCGCGAAATGATGTGGCTACTTTCTCATCATCTCACTGTAAGTTGTGTTTGTATGTCACCAGATGTGATATGTAGTAATAACTGTAGAGATGAGTAGGGGAAAGACTGGCCAGTACTATCAGCACCATTGAAAACTCGGATTTGTTTTAAAAAGTCAATGAAACAGAAAAATCTCATCAGGTTCGATATTAGGAAGAGGAAACTGCATGGAAGTGAACCCAAAGGGCATGAGGTTATATGAAATAATGTCTCCAGCACTGAATCAAACACTTAAAAATACGGTAAATTGGGCTTTGAATTCCAGACTCGGCTTAGGCCAATATTCTACATTTTAATCGACTACTGCTCTGCATGTAGTCACCTTTCAATCGACCTAAAAATGGGTAGTTTACGTCAAAGTTGTCGTAGATATCCGGTGTTTCACAGGTATTGTAGTTCGACAACACTTTACCAGCAACACCTGTGATTGAATCGCACCCACCCAGTGAAATCAAAAGTCGGAAACAAGGAGATTGGAAGACATATTTGACAGGTTAATAATATATCGAGGAGTGACTGATCTAAAATTAGGTTAGTGATCGCAGGAGAAGTTGAACACGGTGTTCCCATTCTTGATCTGGTGCGGATGCACGACCAAGTCCATTGAAACAAATGTGATCAGCATCCAATGTCGAACACTTATACAGATATTAATTTTAGGGATTTATTTACTGCTACAGTTTTTATCCGTTACATCTTTTAACTGATGGATATACAACCAGCCAAATCAGAAATCAGAACTAAATTAGTTCAAAGGCATGAATTGGAAGTTTTAGATGTGTCGAAAGGCGTTTTATCTAAGTTTGTTAGCAGTTGTAAAGTTTAAGTAGCATAACGTATCAACTTGTTATCTGGTATGAATGCTCGACCAAGCACTTCCAGCTAATGTTTGCAGTCAAACTAGGCCAGGATCAACATTGATGACTTAAAGAACTATTTATTTTGGGGATTTCTTTGCCACTTCAGCTCATATCACTGTCAAATACTGATGGTACGATTCCTTATGGATCTCAATAACCAGGAACCGGATATCGTCGTACGTTTGATACTAAACTTCAAGTTCCGAAAATCAAGGATTAGTCGTCTTAGTCTAGTTATTTTAGTCATACTTGAGTTCGAAAGGAATAACTTCCCAAATGAACATGTAATATTTAAATATTTTAACAGCATTTCATATAAGAACGATTAAGTGATTAATCATCTATTGCCAATAATGAAGGATATAAATCTCACATGTGATTCAGTGGGTATTTTGAAGTACTTTCGCTACAGTTTCGTAATGTCTTCATGAACAAGTTAGTTATGGAGTGTAAGGCATCAGTCAATGGGTTCCGAAAAACACTGTCACATGCAGTTGATCACTGTGGCCCCACAGCGAAACGCATTTCTTTAAAGGCGATTTCTGGTAGGCAGTTGTACATGTATATTACCTTCAGATGTTAAAGGACTTCCTTCGGCTTCACAAATATTTCAAGACTCATGCTTAAAGCTTCAAAAAGCGACAAAGGCAGTTTTTCTCAGCGAGCCTGTCGAATCCACGCTTGAGGAGCTTTACAGGGTTAGTAACTTATACTAAATGATTGTTTATCTAAAGAATGTCGAGGATATATGTGCACAAAAAATGATTATGGAATTGTACTCAAGCCTGAAGGTTATATTCAGTGAATATGTAGTTGGACTACAACCTCAGTTTTTAAAATATCCTTTTCTTGCTGATGTGTTCTTGTCATTTCCCTTCTTTTGTCTCTTTGCCTTGACGTTTCAATTTCACAGTAGGTTTCCAACTCAGCGCAGTGGCACAGTGTTGGGGGTTATACTGTAAAAAGATGGTTTGTTCACTTGTATTGCCCTTACAGGTTTTAGCTTCTCATCAGGAATATATTTCTTTTTATGGATAGACAACTTCTTCAGTTAAATCCACAGAACTTACAAATATGGTGAGTCGGCTGTGTAGTTTTGTTCATACATGATAAAAATTCGCTATGAGCCTGTAGATTATATTTCATAGCTCACTGGCGCTGTCTATTTTCCCCAGTTCTCTGAAAGTTTTAGTCTAAACCATCATAATTCCTAGGTATTGCCTTTTTAGAGGTTATTTGGTAGGATTAAACTATACTGCCGAACCAACCAGAAGCTTTCGCGGGTTTTCAAGGTCACGGTGCTAAGTTCGGTACCTGATGCTTACGTACGATCGGTTTACAGCGGATTTCAGGGAAGACGTGATAATTCCGCGTCTACTAGAGAAGTGATCATAAGATTTTGGCGCGAAATTCAATTATCCATTTGGATAAATAGAGTTTTGGCATTATAGCTGATGTCAGTTCGTGATGAAAACCCTAAGTATAATTCCTAGCCTTAACCATGAACTGTAAATCATAATTTGAATTCTTCTTACAGTTTTATAACCCTCATTTGGGCTTAGTTATTATTTGACACTCTCAGAGTCACTCTAGCGTCGCTCAAAGGTCATTCATAAATTATAGTCTCACCCTTAACCCGAAACCTTAACTCTAACCCTAAATCGTAAACCATACCAATATACTAACATTGAAGCTATGTGGTCGAGGCTAATAGAATTTTTGAGACCTTATCATGGTTTCAGAAGTCGACTACTATGAAGCCATATGGATGTGCTCCTGTACCGTATGCACCATGATTTTAGAACTTCTGAACCTATATCTGACCTTCAGAAGTTTTTGACTCATGTAAAAGAAGTGTTTCCACTTTAATTCTATGGTTTTGTATAGTAAATTTTTACTGTATACTAACTGTCTTCTGATTGGCTAATATTCCTCAAGGTCATTTAAGATTCGTTCAAAGGTCGGCAGTATAGTTTAATCCTACCGAATATTTCAATAGCTGCTATTTAACTTACGTACAATGTCATATCACATCTCAAAGCATTTCTTACGTTCACTCCATTTTTTGGGAGTAAAATAACATTCACCAGCCATGTGGCTTGATTCCTTCAAACCTACAGCGTCACATTTCATGTGTATTTCCTCCTTAGAACTTAATTGATTCGTGTTAATCAACAAGGTCGTATCTTATCAGAAGCTAGTGGCATTCCCCAAGTAAATCAAATGTATAAATAACTATGTTTGAGACGTAGGAGTTACATCTTGCTTCCGGATGAGCATGGGTATTTGGATGAAGTAGACCGGGTGGTAGCTGTTTGTAGCTTTTTGGGATCTTTTCTCGAACCCGACTTTTTCACTGATTTTCATTTAAAGGTAACAAAACCTTGACATGTCTCTTTGCATTCTGGGTAATACAGTAACCAACGATCATAGCCACCCTGTATAAAGATAACACCATACGGCTGGTCAGGATTACCTTTTCCCAATGCATGTCCATAGATGCACCTCACTAACGAAATCTCGCCACATGTTAAATAGGCTCGATTTGCTTTTGTAAACTTGCATCACTTATTACGTTAGCGAGGTACCCGTATCCCAACCAAAAGACTAGTTCACAGCTCAACAGTTCGTTCTGCTCTACTTTATGAATGTGAAGAATGACCATGAAGAATAGAGGATGTCTGAAAGTACTTCATCAACTGAGGTTTGTGAGACGTGTTACGTATTCACAATCACTTCCTACCTCTACGGGCAATGTTTCCTGATGTAGGAGTGGGGTAGAACAAAGCAAGGGGGGCAACACCAAAACGTTAGCATCAGTTCATGAAGTCGTTGAAAATTGGACCGAGCCATCTTAATAGGTGTATACTATCTTGTTCGGATCCGGGTTATTATTGTAACAAATGGCTAGACACTCTGGATGACATGGCTCAAAATCGTTTGCTATGATACAGGTACATTCATTCTTTGTCTTCCCGTCAAATTCTGAGATTCTAAATTCCTCATAACGTCTTCGTCTTTATTTCATTAATTTGTGTCTTCTTTTTGAAACCGTATCTTCGATGAGTAGTTTTTCGTATTACCACCCATACTATTACTATCTTTCCTATCCTGAGATTCGACCTTACTGTTTCATTTCTTTGTGTACGGGGTACGACGGTTTAAACCGATGTGCATAAATACCGGGTTCTACGTTGTGGCTGACTGACTTCAAAATACATTTCCTCTTGGTTCAGTTAAGTAGAAGCTATGGTTTTTGTGAGTTTCGATGTCCAGACAATCTATGAAAACGACTCATTTCAGTATAGATAGCTAGCAATCACCAGTTTTTGGACACTTAATCCGTATTTAAGTTATTGGTAAGCGTGTTAACGAAAAGGAAGTGGCATTAACATCTTGCATCCTCTGTGAAGGTAAATGGGTAATATTGCTGATCTCTGTGTGGTCCTGAACCAAGTCAGTAAATTACTTCAACCAAATGTATCCCTATTTCCAGCTCCTCATCCTGATAGCCTGTTCTTTTACGTAGAGTTTTTACGAAGTGGTGGTCTTCATTATTTATTTACATCTTTTGGTTCAGAATTCTTCAGTTTCGTGTTGTTCTGAGACTCGCTTATGGTGCGAAAATATAGACAAATTTATTTGGTTATGTGCTAATGTTTTCAAATTATCGTTTAAATGTTTCATTTGGTTCCTGCTCTTGCAGTTAACTGCGTAAACTAGTTCAATCAGTTACTGATCAAGTAGCAATATATTGCCAGTCTTACCAATGTAAAAAAGCTAAATTAAGCAGGACAATTTGAATGTATTTTACGTATTGTACTTAATGATCCCAACCAATCACTAAAATTGATACAGGCAATCATGTTATGGGTTGTGGTCTGTTAAAAGGTCGTGAACCTACCATTCGAACTATAAGATTTACGGTCTTAGAATAATAAAAATAAGGGCAAACTACTTTTGGTTTGCATCGATAAAGTACCTAGTGCGATTTTTGTGATAGCATTGATTGTTATAAAACGATGAGCTATGGAAAACTGACAAAACTTCGTCACTAACTAACCTCCTGGTAACTATGGAGTGCTTTATTTTGATATATCGTTGTTGAATGATATCTTGAGTAAAATATAGGGCTATAGTGATTATCGTGAAGCGAGCGAAATCAAAGATTTGAGCAGAATAACATGAATTAATTTTATTTCGTAGGGTTCTCATCAGCTTACAATCTATATTTAAAAGAAAATCGAAATTATAGCAATGTTTGCGTACTTTTAATAGTAGAAATGGAAGTGTATCATCATGGTGAAGTAGTGAGACTGAAGACATGTAATGCCGTACGTAAATAAAGATGTTTGGCTTCAATTTGATCACATTGTGTCGTTAAATCGGTGTAGCAATGGATAGTTCACTTGGTTCGTGTCCTAGCAGATATATTCATGGCTAACATTGAAAAGACCAAGCTTGAAGGGGCGATTTATAAAATGGTTTATCATACAACAGGGAATGTAAAGACTGCCTAAAAAAACCACAGTCGTCATAAAATATATTTTCATTCAACTTGGATTCATGACTGTTTATGTTGCAGTGAAAATAAACAATAAATACCACACTGACCAGAACCTTCTACAGCCAGGATGACTGTCCTTTATAAAACTATTCCTTTACTCCAATCAACGATCAGTAAATACTCCTTTCATGTTACCCTTAACTGCGTATACAAATATACATGTACCTGCCAAAGCAGTCATATTTGCAAGGCAAAGAAGAGCCTACATATGATTCCAAGAACATATCCCAAAAGTCTCAGGTCAAAGGGGTTTAAAGGCTTTCAGTAATGTTATTATTAAACATCTGTGTGACATAAGTTGTTAGGCTGATAAACTGAAATTTTTCAGCACCCACCGACAGTCAAATTCCGTTGTCTTCAAATTCGCAGAAGCCATAACTATCAAGCGCCTCAAGCTGGATTTATATATCCCAAAGGAAAGAGTTGCAGATTTTCCCTTACCATAGTAGTTTTATCGTCAGCTTGTTACATCATTTCTGCAATTTTCTCTCTTATTTTAATAGCATCACTTCCGAATTCATAACATTATTTTTAACTGAATGATCTCAACTCGTGTTATTCTTAATTGCTATTAATTGATGTTCAGCTTCTTCATCATATGATCAGCTCATTATTTCATTTCTCTGTTCTCTTGTTATTATGTCTTGTGATCCAGAATCTTTCACACATTGTTTACAACACTACGTCTTCAATCTTACTATTCCACCATGATGATACACTTCCATTTCTACTATTATAAGGATGTAAACCTTGCCGTAGTTTTGATTTTCGAAATATATAAGTTGTAAGCTGATGGGAAGATTATGAAATAAAATTAACAAGACTTGAATACTCATTTACTAACATCGACACAGTAAGCTATTAGTAGGTGATCCTTCCTCCTGATGAGTTATCATTTAGGAAAATATTTCGCTTGCTGCTTATTGAAGGGAAGTATTCAGACTTACAGTTCGTAACTTCACATGTTTAATCACCTTAAATGTTCAGTATAGACAACTTTTAATTGTCATATCCAATATTTGGAGACTTGCTTACACTAATTTTTGAGTGTGTAATGTCATTTTTCTATTTCATCCGCTCGTAAATTTACTAATATATATTTGTACATTTTGAATTTATTAAAAACTGCATAAAATGGCCGTTTATGTAATTAAATTTATTTTATTAAACGTAGTTAGGAGTTTTAGTTGTTTGTAATAATCATTGCTTCCTTTGTTTTTTTATAATTTTTGCAAAGGGATCTAGCTCTTAAGTTGTTCCGAGAAGATGTTATTACTCAGGAGAAAGTTCAGTCCCGTTTGATGTGCCAAATACTGGATGAAATACATAAAGAACGATGTGGAGAAGCTATTGATCGGCAACTTTTACGTACTGTCATCAGAATGCTGGTGGATTTAAAAGTAAGTTTGGATTATTTAAGCTTTACTGTCTACACTGTAACAGGAATTGCTGTATACGACTCTGTTGCTTACGGTCTTAATAAAAATACATTATAGACCCACGTTCTTCTATAGGGTCTGTCGATTTAATGTAAAAGAACCTTGAACTGAAGTCCTTGACCACACATACTCATTTTCTCAAACAATTTATATTTGTCATTTACGGAGTGAAAAGAATACATGGTGCTAAGGCTGATTCAAGTTCCATTATTATCCAGAATGTTTTAAGTTATCTTGTATACTAGAGTTAGTAACGAGGTATTTCAACTTCATTTGTGCGTTTATTTATGTGGGTAACTCAGTGTTTACAGAAAGGAATAATTATTTAACCACATATATTTTGGTGTTGTACATGTTTACAAGTAGTCAGTATCATTAAACCGGATGAAAGATTCAGTAGACGCCCAACTTCGAAATCAACAGACCGGATTCCGTAGGGATCGGTTGTGCACAGATCAAATCGCCACACTACGGATAGTCGTTGAACAATCAATTGAATGGAACTCGTCACTATACATCTATTTCCTTGACTATGAGAAAGCATTTGACAGTGTGGATGGGAGGATTGCATGGAAACTTTGACACCATTGTATGTGGATTCATACGACGGACTACACTGCAGTGGTGCATGGAGAGACAGCTGACACGCATTCCAAGTGAGGACGGGAGTCCGACAAGGTTGCCTACTCTTCCCTTTTCTCTTTCTTCTGGTGGTTGACTTGATTATGAAAACCTCGACATCTGACGGCAAGCACGGAATAAAATGGACAGGTTGGGCGCAACTTGACGATTTGGACTTCACAGATGACCTGGCTCTTCTATCGCATACACACGAACAAATGCAGATGAAGACAACTGATGTAGCAGCAGTCTCTGCAGCAGTAGTCTTCAGTAAATATAAGGACAAAAGCAGGGTCCTCAAGCACAACAAGGTGAACACCGGTCCAGTCATACTTGGTGGAGAAACCCTGGAAGATGTGGAAACTTTCACGTATCTGGGTAGCATCATCGATGAACAAGGAGGATCTGATGCAGAAATAAAGGCGAGGGTTTGAAAAGCAAGGACGTCATTCCTACAGTTGAAGAATATATGGAACTCAAAACATGTCTGCAAGCCAACATCAAAGTCAGGATCTTCAATACGAGCTTCAAGACAGTTCTACTGTATGGAGCTGAAACTTGAAAGACTACTACAACCATTATCAAAAATGTACAAGTATTTATAAATAGTTGTCTACACAAGATACTCAATATCCGTTTGCCGGATACAATCAGCAACAGAGTTTTATGGGAGAGAACAAATCAGCTTCCAGCTGAAGAGGAAATTAGGAAAAGAGGCTGCAGGTGGATTGGACATACATTACAGAAATCATCGAGCTACATAACGAGGCAAGTGCTAACTTGGAATCCTGAAGGGAAACAGAAAAGAGGAAAACCAAGGAACACATTGCGTCGGGAATAGGAAGCAGACATCAAAAGAATGAATTGCAGCTGAAAACAACTGAAAAGAATTGTCGAGGATAGAGTCTGGTGGACGGCCTATACTCCTCCACGAGGGATAACAGTTGTAAGTAATTAAGCATTGAACTTGCGAGAAACTGATGCCTTATCCACACTAACTGGATGGTGGATACTAATAATTTTCACCTCTAGTCATTCGTGCTGGTTAGATTTTATTGATTATGTTTGTGATCTAGCTACCGAGCACTTCAATCCTACTTTTCTGAAGTTAATATACATTCAAGCTTTAACCAACTTTTAGATATTTAACTGGTAAAAATGAGATTTTATTTTTGTAAGCTGGTTGTGCTGACTTTGGACAAATCATATGATGAATAATTATAAATAAAGAGTATATGATTTGCTAGTTTTATGAATCGTCATGGCTGACTGCTTTATTGTCGCTTCTCTCTAAGTCATTGACATCATGTTTTTGATTAATTAACTGTACCGATATTTATTTTATTTATTTATTTCAACACATAAATATTGGTACAAAGGGGCACCAGATATATATGCGCCACACAAAACAGTGAAAATGGGAAAACGGATAACGTGCATATAAGAAAAAGGAAGAAAGAAAGAAAAAAACAAGGAACAACAAGAACCACAGAGTGTGTGTTAGTGTAATAATAAGAGTAATAATGCGGGAAACAGAAATGTACAACCAGAAGAATCCTTTCAGTTATGGAAGGTATGGCCGCTCTTTATAAAGAAAGTAAAAGAAGGTAACAACAGGATCTCCACTAGCTTCTATTCTGAGCCATATCTAATAACGTCTCTAGCCACTGTGTTGCACCATCTCTCGGACCCCAACCAGGGAGTCGTGAAGGACCAACAGAAGCCAGCTCTTTGCAGCTTTCTTTCATACCATGTCATACACTGACCATCTCTCCGCTTTTTCCAACTAGTCCCAGCGTCGGTAAATAATGCACGACATGGAATTCTCTGGGACGACATTCGTAGAACGTGTCCAAGCCACCGAAGTTGATGTTTCAAGATGGTGACACCAATTGAATTATCGTCTCTGCGCCCGAACACACGATGCCGAACCTCTGCATTACCAACATGGTGTTGCCACTGGATGTCGGAAATCCTTCGGAGACAACGATGGTCGAACACAGAGACTTGTCTAACATCCTCAACTCGGGGAGGCCAGGTTTCACAAGCATAGAGCGAAACTGCTCTCAGCGACGTATTGGAGATCCGACTTTTTACAGCCATATTAAAATTACGAAGACGCCAAAGTTGGCTTAGATTGGCATAAGCCACTCTGGCTTTCACTATACGTGAATCGATCTCATCACTCACGCCATCACCAGCACTTATGCAGCTACCTAGATACACGAACTTCCCAACTACTTCAATCTGCTCACCATCCAGGGTGAGTACAGGATGAGAATCCTGCCAGTCTTGTAGGTGTACTTTGCATTTGGAAGGTTCAAAGCACATACCATACCTACGAACATTGATTGCCAACTGATTCAGTGTAGATTCCATGGCTTGGGCATTATCGCACAGTAAGACTATATTGTAGTGCCGCGATTTGTTCACTTCGATAACCGTCATGTTTCTAATCTTAACGGTGCGTAAAATCAGAAGACAAAGATTAGCAGCAACTACAGTTTATTGTCGAATAACTCAGGTCAGAAAGCTAACAACACCTGAGCGTATATCAACGAGCGAGAGAGCGAGTAAACAGGCGAACAAGCGAAGGAAGCGAACGAGCGGATAGCAAGCAATCACATAGGCAATTTATAGTCAAATTTAATAAGGGCACAGCAAAATAAAACAAAGGCTGATAATAGTATTTGCGTGCATACACATATGGGGAGGAGTATGATTCATCGAATGATATTTAAGCAGTCAACATTTTGGATAGAGTGTCATGTGCTCTAGTGGCATAACAGTGCAAAGAATATGCAAATTGTTACTATCCAGATGACGATGTCTGTTAAGTAAGTTAATAAAATGGGCTTAACCAAAATTGACCACAATCGAAATCGATTGTAGGATGGTTGCTATAATATCATCTGCATACTCAAGGTCGAGAAGTCTTTCTCCAGATAACAGATCCACACCATTATTACTTACATCCATCAGAGCTGTTTCCAGAATGTCATCGATGGCAGAGTTGAAGAGGAATGGTGAGATTGGGCAACCCTGTTCAACTCCATTGCTTGAATGGAAAAATGGAGAAAGGTGGTTGTATGCCCTCACTCTGCCTGGGGTGTTTGTATACAGGATCTTTAAGATGTTAATAAACTTCTCAGGCACACCCTTCTCCAATAGACAATCCAAGAGGACAGTCCTGTCCAACGAATCGAAGGCAGCCCTGATGTCAAGAAACACTACTATTGGTGGCATGTGATAGGTATGGATTTCCTTGCGGACTTCCGCCCCATTTGGTGAATCAGTCATCACCGGCCATGGAGGGCAGGACAATCTGATCGATGTTTCCGGAGCAGCAGGCCAGCTGAACTGCCCTTCAAAGAATTCTGCCCATCGTCCAAGATGTCGATAGATGTTAGTGATTGGCATCCCATCATCTTCACATATTGTTTCACTCACACCAAACTTCTTGCTACCAGTGGCTCGTATGAGTTGGAAAAGCTTCCGGCAGTTACCGGATACAGCTGTTGCTTCCAGCTCATTAGCACGCTCCGACCACCAGGCTTCTCGGTCCTTACGCAAGCTTTGCCCAATTTCGTTGCGCATCGTGAGGAGATGCAGTCTCATGTTAGCCGGTGACCAACAGTTGGTTCATACGCCATTTGTTCCCTCAGGGTACTGGAACCCATGTGAACCATTGGTTTAGAATCAGGGTTTTCCAACTTCCCTAGGTGGACTCGCCGTGTCCACCAGCCCGGTTAGAGCGCTGGATACTCGCTTTTCGTCCTTTCAATTTGTAAACAACACCCGTGATGCGAGAAGGCAGTGAGTAGGACTTCCCTGGCAGAGGTTGTATACGAGTGGCGTGTGAGAGCATTTTGAGAGGAAGGGCGGCCCCTCCCCACTCTCGGCTAATGAGAAGCACCGTTATCGGTGGCGTAAGACCATTTGGCAACATGCTTCATCTAGGATTATAAGTTGTAACTACTTCATTTCAAGGTTATTACATTTGTTCTATTTTCTCCGTGAAACCTAGATCCGGTTCTCTTTTTATAAAGTTCCTTTTAACCGTGAACTTAGTTCATTGTATGATTCTGTTGTCTAACAACATTATAAATAAATAAAGAAAGCCTTACCATACATCCTACTTGGACTATATATCCTAGCCACCTAATCTGATGTTATTTACAATTCACACTTATTACCTTACAAATTGAACTCTATCCTTTCTCACCATAAAAGTCGCACAATTTTCATCCTTAACGGTGCACATATACATACAAATTTTACATACATGTCACTTATGAATCACCTCTACCGAAATAACATGACATTGATCTGTTCAGACCGGTTTTTGATTGAGCACATAACATTCTTACTGTTCCGTTGTACTATTTAAACTCGGACTAAGTTTAATTTGGTTATTTATTCTCTGAAGAAGTGGCTTGCACTGAGTCCTGAAACGTCAGGAAATCTAATTTTCCTACTCACTGGGATATTAGAAATATATTATTTATTTATAACAAACTATCCAATGCTCAATTTATTCGAAATTATCAAATCGAAACTTGGTAATGATACCTATCTGGCAACATTACTTTCCGTGGTCGACAACAATTGATTCACTTTGAATGTTAGAGCAGTCATCATTATTCTCAACGTGTTGCTCGTTTATGGTAGCACCATGATCTAAATGCTACTGTTAGGTGTAAAATATCCTTTCTAGAGAGTAAAATAGTTGGCAAGATTATGAACCTGCAGCAACACAAGAGATTACCTGGATACTGGTCAACCTGGTATTAAGTTGTAGAAGGAGAAGGGAGGCGGGATTACTCGCTTGCTTTGTTCTCGGTTTATTTTCTTTCAGTTTATTTTAGTATTTTTCAGTTTTTGTCTTTTAGTGGCCTGATATCCATCTCCAGTTAGATTGTATGAATGTTTGTTATTGAAATATACATGTCACCAATCCTCGTATATAATCATCGACTTAACTCGCGTTAGTGTATAATGGAATCAAATAAGTTAGGTACGAGAATGAAGTTTTGGATACTTATATTTTGTACAATCGTTGATCAGAACAGACAATCAGAGGGATGGAGCAAAGAGAAGAGAGTGAAGCTAAATGACACACGGTGGATAAGGAATGTGAGCCAATTCGATTTAATCAAGCGTTAATCGATTTTAATAACCGAACAAAAGTAAGTTACAGGCATGTGATGAGTAAGGTAAGAAATACACACACATGGACTTACATAAAAAAGCAGTCAAGGTTGATAAGCGAATAATTAACAAGGTCAAAATGTAGCCTGAGAAGAATGATAAAATTACTTTGTCTAGATGCTAGAATAAGCTATTTGGGCTTGACATAGAACCAACCACTACAGTCTATGCATTGATTTAAAGTTTAGTATCATAAAACATTAGAGTAGTATTCAATGCTCTATGTCAAGATATTTTTCTGTAAACCTGATTACGTCTCACAGAACTAACTGGACCGCTATGTCAGTCAATTCGTGTATATTTTCTTTCTATCTTCGTACCATTTTAACATATTTCTGAAAATTTCATTGTGACCAACTTTTGATGTAAATTGACTAAAGACTAAATGTGCTGTTATGGGAAAGTTATAATGCTCAACTAAATTGTGGTAGATATTCGAGTAGAAAACAAGATATTTTCGGAAAAAATAATTCATTATTTATGATATTTCGATCTAGCTACTTTTAGCTGTACCCTTTTTTATTTCTTTGCCTAGCTCTATGATTCAATATTTCTTGCCGAATTTCTTTGTAAAAGTCAACAACTCTACGCTTATGAAGCAGATACTTTATCTAGACAACTCAGCGTTCCTGAATATTTGTTACATGTGGACAAAAGAATCATCGAGGAAGAAGATAGACTTGTTGTATATTTAGATTCTAATTCAACTCGTAGTTTGCTTATATCAACTCTGGTTTCGGAATTATTAACTCGTCCATTAGACTATCTACTGGATAACGGCTTAGTCAATCCACTGAAAACGAAACAAACTTCCCAATTATCTTTATTGTTTTCTTTAGTTTCACGAGTTCCCAATGGTATCGAAAAATTGCGTACACATTTCCGTAATTATATCATACAAATGGGTCGTGAAATGGTGGAAAATCCAACACACGATCCTGAAAAAGATCGCAATATGATTCAAAATTTATTAGATTCACGGGATTTTCTTTCGGAAATTACTGTATCGTGCTTTTCAAATGATCCCAGTTTCATGCGTGTTTTACAAGAAGCCTATGAAGAGTTTATCAATCAACGTCCGAACAAACCGGCTGAGTTTCTAGCTAAATATCTTGATTCTCATCTTAGATCTGGAAATAAAGCACAAACGGAAGAAGAATTGGACAAGTTAATGGATAAGGTAAACATAATATCGTTTTTGTCGTGAAATATTTCACATTTAATGTGTCATGACTGATTTAACTATTATTGCTGATATTTCTTCAAATAACTATCTATTGACTAAATATTTTAGTAGTAGCACGATTCTAATTTACTTGACCCTTATGGTTATTTGTCGATTTCTTAACATGTTATTAAATGTTGAAATTCTGTTCCAAATACTCGAATCTGAACAGTTGGGTTTCACTGTTTACATTTGCAGAACTAATATGCTCTAGATTGTAGTGAATAAGTGGTATACATAATGAGTAATTATCTTGTTTCTATCATCAACGAGCTTCTATATCAACTAATTATCCGAATTATTGATGTTTGAATAAACGTCTTTTTTTATCTGCGAATTCAAATGTCAGATAAGTGGTTTACCCCATTTAATAAAACTCTTTTGCTTGAGCCTAGGTTTTTTAAAGCTATTTTTCCAACTGATTTTATTTTACTCTAAAGATATTCTACTTAAACATATGGCTAAATGTAAATGCCACTGAATGCTTTTCAAATCTGTCGATTTCTTGATAAATCTTTATGTTCTATGGCTCTTCAAATATCAATTGACAAAATCGTCAATTAGAATACTGACTTCTATGACCTCATCCCTCTGCTAAACCAGTAATACGTTTACCAGCACGAAAAGCCTTGAGTCAACTCTGAATCCTTATTGGTCCTCTGCATATTAGCTTCTCGCCTAGCCCAGCCCAGCCCAGCCCAGCTCAATCGGTTCCCAACCCAAATATCGGCCTTCGCTGTACGAATTATATATGTATATACAAGCAAACCAGACTTCATCACACCATAAAATGAAAAATAATTATTATACGAAATCAAGCCAAAAGTGGCTGCGAGTATCGGAGACTAACTAATGGATTGCGAATAAATTCAGAATGGTAAATCGTATAACAGTAGCTTATAATAAAAAGGAATATGAATATATATGTAATCTGGTTACTTCATAATCATCCAATACGAATATATGTAATAATTCTCCATAAATGATTCCTAGCAGTTACCGTTGAATTATTTTTCGTTCGGATATAACAGTTATATTCAAGATGTAATTAATATTTTATACTTACATATTCATAGTAATAATGTCAGTTTACTGCAGAAAAGTTTTTAACACATTTCTATATTTTGATACCAGGCTATGATTCTGTTTCGTTTCATCGATGGAAAAGATATATTTGAAGCATTTTATACTAAAGAATTAGCAAAACGTCTTCTTTTGAATAAAAGTGCATCAGTTGATGCAGAAAAAGCTATGCTATCAAAACTTAAACAAGGTAAGAATTCGGGATCAAGCTGCTCGCTTAAAATGTTATTATTATCTTGTTTCTGATGAGAAAAATTTCGAAACTTTGTTTTAATTAATGTAAGCGTCCATTTTTGTAAGTAGATTGTTATGTTCACTGTATACATTTATTAGTAACTAAATTGGTACTTCAGGTTTTGGTGCTGAAATTACTTTTTGTAATAAGAAATCTTATGTCGATATTATGGTGTAATGTGTATCTGTTGTTGAATGTTTCGAAATTGATTCCATCTTTACTATATACTCACAAATATCATTGGTTATCATCCCTACATTCATTCTGTGGAGTTGTTAGTCGCAGTGCCCCAAAACATAAATGGGATTGGAAACACACTAAGTACACTTGTATATGTTAGCCAGGATATAATTATGAGTTTTATTGCAAGACTTTGAAATTACTTAAATTACTTCTCCGAAGAGTTTTCAACCAACTAGTTGTTTATTTATTCTCTGCTGAATTATTTCATTCTTCTGATACTGATAGGGTTTTACTTCCTTGGACAATAAATGTGGGCACTTTATACCCTTTCTTAGCCTCGGTTATTCCAAAAATAAAATCTTAGGTAGACGATTTATTGAAAGCATCAAAGAACAGGTTGGCTAAAACCTATTGTATATAGTTTTTTTTTACAACCTCATTTGTAGTCAGACATTAGAACTACTTGTTAAAACAGAATCAGTGATGAAGATTCCCTTTAGCTGTAGTAAAAATAATATAAATCTAGCTAAGAATGGGTAAGAATTATTCAATTCGAAGTTACTAGAGATCTAGGTATAAACTAAGTAATGTAAACGCTTTCAGGGCATTAAAATATTTCTAGAAGGGATAGATATTCGCTTTTGCAATCGTTGTTTATTTGATTGTGATCAGCTGATTTCGTGCCGTCTGAGTTGTTAATCTTGATTACGTATTTTTAAGCATTTGATTTATTTCGTACAGTATTCGACTGAAACAGAGGTGATCTCAAGAAATATCACTTCAGAAAAGTACATCTCTTTATTTTGTATTATTAGTGTTCAGAGTTTTTACAGTTATACTCATTTTTTCCTATTCATGGTTCTTTAAAAATATTTATAGAATGTGGACCAAACTATACACGCAAAATGGAAACAATGTTTCAGGACATCGAGTTAAGCAAGCAGTTAAGTAAAAATTTCCGTTTATCTTTACCTGATACTTATGCAATCGAATTAAGCGTAAATGTGATTTGTCCAGCATCTTGGCCACCGTATCCACAAACAACAGCCAATTATCCCCCTGAAGTGAGTATTATCCGTGAAAAATATTTTTTTAACCTAACTGGTTGCCCTGTACTTCCCTTGTCAATACCATCTGAAGTCAGACAAAACAAAGGGCTATACTGTTGTGAGTCATTTCACAGTAGCATAAAGAAAGTGGGTGGGAAAGTGTTAAAAAAGGCGAGAAATAATAAGGATGTATGAAAAAAGGAATAGGAGTCAACTAAAAATGATAGAGTTTTAGTCAATTATATAGTTGTAAAATAATTTAATACATCTGATTCGTTATGGACAAGTTAACCATTATTTGTAGGCCAACAGACTATTAGCACTGGACATTTTCAATCACTATTGAAGTCCATAAACAAATTTCGTTCTGTAATCGTGAAATAACTGGCATACGTGTTTTAGTATAAATGCCCAGTTCCAGACAAAACATTCACCAAAAAATTTGCATAATGAGGATGTCTAAAACAATCAATCCTGTTTCAATGACATATCACCTTAGCATTAGTAAACACCGATACGTTACTTACCTCATATTATAAGATAGATAAAACTCGTATGGTTCACCCATTTACATAACTGATTGATGCTTACGTACTGTTAAACTGGACTAGATGAAGTTCAGTCTAGTATGATTGTAAAGTGTGATGAGTTTTTCATTATCTTCCTCCTTATCATCATAATCATATTTAAAATAACGGGCATTTGATACTTAATATTCTTTAATTGTTTTGCGTACTTAATGATTTGGATTTATGATCGATCCACTCCTGAGACACTTCTACTCACCATTGTAGCAAACAGTTTTTCTTCTCTTCATACATTAATATTGTGTAATATTGAGACTGATTCAAAGTTCCCATCAGTGATTTATATTCATTTAAATATTTATTATGGTTGTTTGAATTATTTTATTTCAATTTTCTACAACTTGTCTGTTGTTTCAGATGGTGACTCTTCGAGAGGAATTTACGCGCTTCTATTTATCCCATCACCAAGGTCGAAAGCTGATATATGAACCGTCTTTAGGGACTTGTGTTGTTAAAGCTAAATTTCCGATGGTAAGTCTTGATCATGAAAGCTAAGCAGGTCGTGCGTAATCGAATATAAACATGTAGTTCAAATATTGAAAGTTTATCATGAAGTAATTTTGTATCTGAAAAACATTGTGTGTAAAGATTACTGTTTAAATAGTCATATACAAGCTACTGAATTGTTTATTGTAGAGGATATGAGACCAGTCACAATCATCATTTCAAGCTATTAGCGTTAATTATAATTTTTATTTATGGATTTTGTTTAAAACGTTTGTTTTTATTTAAGTCTAAAATCTGCTTTACGCGATGTTCGCAACTTTTACACACACACTAGTTGGTCACTTTATGGTGATCACTTTCATATTATCTAATTTTTAGTTTTGATTTTATCACATCGACTAAGTTCTAGTGCGTACACTAGTTTAAAAGACTAGTCACCTGGTACGGCCGAGAGTGAGGAGAGTCAGCTCTCCCTCTCGAAACGCTCTCACATGGCCACGCGTATACAGCCGCTGCCAGGGAAATCCTGCTCACTGACTTTTGCGGTGGGGGTGTTGTTTACGAGATTGAGAGGACGGTAATTATTATTATTTTTTTGATGGCTTTAACCAATATTATATTTATGGTACAATATAGAATTCTCAGCACAAAGTATTTCAACAAGTTTCCTTTTCTTATTTCTTAACCGATCCTTGCGATAAATATTGAGTGGTCGCTAGTTAAATGTTAGCAGTTCAAGAGTCGGCATGTGAATAATGTATATTCTTTTCGATGCATATTACCAGCAACCACGATGTCTCTGGTTGGGCTGTTTTGTAATTTGTTTAGCGAAACGTCGTAAACTTTTCACAAACGCACGTGAATAGGTTATGCAATTAATAGGTATAATGTGTTAAAACAAATAAGAAAACAGATAACTTGATGAAATATCCAGATGGTAGGAACAGGTATCCCAGATATTCAAACAGGCCGCGAATGTCCGGCGCTTTAACCGGGCTGATGGATACGGATGGTCCATCTAGGGAAGCTGGTAAATCATGATGCCAAACCAGTGGTGCACATGGGCTCGAGTATCCTAAGGAAACAAATGGTGTATAAACATTTTGTTGGTTATCGGCTACTACAGGACCTCATCTTACGTTACTCCACTGTCTTGTGGATCAGATCTCTAGGTCAAGGGCTCCGGGTGTGACCGCCTAAGTAAACCACCTTCTTTGATTTGAGTATCCGGGCGGTATCTCAGCCCTCATACAAATGGAGTGATATATGTGACGCATGTCTATTTGGTGCCTCCTTGCACCAATGTTTATATGTTTATATAAATAAATAAAATATCACTGTACACTGTTTAACGTTAGGTAGATATTTGATAACTCTCGTGTGTACAGATAATGTTGTTATATTAGAGATTTTAGAATTATCAAGTGAATTTACTTGTTCAGGTGTGGATAATTCAGTTAAACAAATCATATTCTCAACCGTCTCACATTCATCTGAAAATTTTTTATTCTAATTTCAGTGTATTTTATCATCGTTGACTAACATATTTTTAAATTGTAGTATGCTAGTCATCATGTTCGGTTTCCAATTCATTGGAACATTACATACACGTGGTATGAATGTTATCTACTATTTTAAGTTTGATATTTTTTTACTGCATTAAAAGCAACTATTTATTTATTAGACATAAAAGTAATACTGTTTTCGTCTACCTTCTTACCTCAATGGGTAATGTCTTCTGGTGTAGGAGTGAGCTGGAAGAAAGCTAGGGGCGGCCAAACCAGAACATAGCATCAGTTGATGAAGTTACTGACATCTGGACTTAGCCATGTTAGTAGGTACAGACTACCTGGTTGGGGTCCGGGTGACTCTCGTGACCGATGGTCAGACACTTTGAATGACATGGCTCACAATCGTTTGCGATGTTACAAGTGCAGTTGTTATTTATCTTCCTTGAAATTCTGAGATTTTAAATTCCTCATAACTATTTTGTTTCCATTTCATTAATTCGTGTTTTATTTTCAAAGCCGTATCTTCAATGCTTAGCTTTTCGTATTACCACCCATACTATTACTATTTTTCCTATTCTGAGATTCGGCCTTACAGTTTCAACTCGTTGTGCTAACGGGTTACAACAACTTAAACCAGTGTAAATACGTACAGGTTCTACGTCGTAACTGACTACGTTTATTAGTCTCAGAGCATCGCGAAATTGTTATGGTTTTATTCTTTAGTTTTCATCCTGATTTCATCCTATTGTCTAGACACCAAATCTTCGTAAAGAATTACAAGTATCTGAACTACAAGCTTTAGTGTTATTACAATTCAATCAATCAGATAATGCTCCTATTACTTATACAACGATAGCTGAAAATACTGGTATCGAAGAAAAAGAATTAAAACGAACATTACTTTCATTAGCTGCTGGTAAAGGACAACGTGTATTGAAAAAAACTCCTGGTGTAAGTAAACTATTTTCTGTCGGTACTTTTTTGTACTTTAATGGTTTTAACTTGGAATGTGTCTGCCTATTTTATCGTCTTGTATATAGTCACGAATTTCACACACTTTAATGGCATAAATAACTACGATGAACGGATTCAAATGTAGGTTCATAGTTATCCAGAAGCAGTTTTTTTCTCCTTTTTATAATAAGTGTTTCATTCCTTCCTGTCTTACTATTTCTTTACATATCTCGCAATACCTTCTGGGCACTAAAATTTAACATTTTAAACAAAGAACTAACAGTGATGGGCTAACCTAAACGAATACGTTATTGTTCTATCACATCATGTTGGTTTGTTTATAGTCGGACACATTCTGATCATTGTTTTGTTTTCTGTAAAAATTATAATATAGTGATTAAAATATTTAATTTTCAACTACCTACCCTATGATTTCAATCTTAGTCTTCACTCAAGGACATCTGGGCAGCTAAGTGTTATCATTAACTTCCAAACAGTTGTAACTAGTATTTTCAAGTAGGATTATTTTAATTTGACTCCTCTTATTTGTAATCTGTATGTGTTTTCCTCTTTCCCTTTTTACTGTAGAATTTAGAGATTGAAAACGATCATCAGTTTATTTTCAATACCGAATTTCATCATCGACTTACGCGTATCAAATTCAATCAAGTTCAACTAAAAGAAACTGTAAGATTTTGTTCACTCGTTCTTCATATCAATTTCTCTGAAACGATTTAACGTCGATCTTAGTGTTATTCACATATTAGTGTGTTGCTAAGATATTTAATGTAATGATTAATCTGACAAACGGATTATCACGGTATTCAGTAGTGTTATAAAAATCATCACCGATGCATTCACATGACCTTGTAGAAATTTTATTGGAAAGTATTGAATTCAGCTAACTTTCAAGTGTTACCTATAACCTTCTATAAAGCTTAGAAATAATTTCTAGCTCGTTTAAAGTAAACTCAATGATCGACATTTGGTAAATGAAAAGTAATCTTGGTCGTCTAGCTTCAATGGACTCATGCTTTCAACTATGAAAATACTAAATGTCCTCAAAACCCCTTCTGATTATAATCATATGCTCACTAGTGACTGACTTCAAGAGATAATTCTTGGGGTTCTCGTGAGAAGCAGTGACCAGTGGAGTTCAAACCACGTCTATTGTGAGATAGGAACTCACTGAAGACAGTTGGTGAACGGTTGCTCAACTTCGTGGATTGGTTGAAGTTAGACACTAACACCATCGGATGCCGGCTCAGTGGTCTATCGGTTAAGTGCTCTGGCGCGAGGCTGGTAGGTCCTGGGTTCGAGTCTCGCGAGAGCGAGGACGTGGATGCGCACTGCTGAGAAGTCCCACAATAGGACGAAGCGCCGTCCAGTGCTTCCAGGTTTTCCTTGGTGGTTTAGCTTCAATGGACTCATGTTTTTCACTATCAATCGTTTACTGTTAATTCATAGTTTGGACTGTTTATGATTTCTAACTGATTAATGACTTTTTTGATCTAGTTATGCTGTAACATTAAATTGTTATTAATCTCGTTCGTTTAATCGATACGAATATAGTGTTTGTCAGGTTGATAACATTGTGATTCGTACTAAATGGTCAAGTACCATTTATATCATGTGAAAAAGTAATTATGGATAGTTAACTCTATTCCCTGTTACTAGATAGTGTCAAATGTTCACTCATTTGATTATGAGATTAAGCTGAGTAATGTAATTAGCTATCCTCAATTTCGCAGTGTATACTGTGGGCCTGGAAACTTATGTGAATCGTTAATCACATTGTCTGTATCAAAAGCTTCATCACTGAAGAACAGTAGTCATTCAAACAGAACGTAAATTAATTATGCGATGCATCGATATTTTAGACGTAATAAGAATATTTTTCATCACAAGAAATTCATATCTATATTTTCGTTTACTAAGTTAGTACTTCAATTTCAATATAAATGTAAGTTGTTTAGCTTAAGCTTAGTACATTTCATCAGTAATTTGAGTTTCAACAATCCATGAGATAGTATATCTTCAAAATATGAACGTATACATTCTTTTATTTTAGGAACAAGAACAAGTAGCTACTGAAGAACGGGTGTTTGCTGATCGCGTTGCTCATGTAGATTGTTGTATTGTACGAATTATGAAAACGCGCAAAACTATTGACCATAATTCATTGTTATCAGAAGTCTACAAGCAATTACAGTTTCCACTTAAAGTAAGTGTCATTTAAATTTATTATTTTCAATTGTATGAGCTTTTATAAAACCTTTTGTCTTTGTCAGTATCACTGATTGCCCAATATACGAAAAGTCCTACGAAGACATTCATTGAATATATGTACTCTAAGTATATTCGTCACACTTGGTGGTTGTGTCTCACAAATGTGAATTATCACAATGACCAACTTCTCAATAAATTTAGACTTTTTAAAAGTAGATATTTAGAGATCTCAACTTATCGTGGATTTTGTAGACTAGGAATTATCAGATGAAAGTCTCTTATGAACCCTTTGATACGTCGTTTAATTATTTTATATTATTATTTAAACACATAAATATTGGTACAAGGAAGCACCAGATAAATATGCGCCTCACAAATCTCATTTGATTTGTATGAGGGCTGTGATACTGCCCAAGTGCCCAGACTGAAGCATGTGGTTCTCTTAGGGGGCCCCACCGGAGCCTTCGACCTGAATGTCCAGTTCACGAGGCAGTGGAGCATCGTAAGGAGATGCAGTCCCATGGTAGCCAGTGACCAACGATTGGTTCATACGCCATTTGTTCCCTCAGGATACTGGAGCCCATGTGCAATAATGGTTTGGAATCGGGGTTTTCCAACTCCCCTAGGTGAACTCGCCATGTCCACCAACCCGGTTAAAGCGCCGGACATTCGCTTTTCGTCCTCTCGATTTCGTAAACAATACCCGTGATGCGAGAAGTCAGTGAGTAGGACTTCCCTGGCAGAGGCTATATATTGGCATGGCCATGTGAGAGCATTTCGAGAGGGAGAGCGGATCATCTCATATTTCAATCATATTACAGTGTGAAGATGTCTCAAGCTACCAGTTACAGCTTTAAAATGGTTTCACTTCAGCTACTTGTAAATGAACAAAAATTAGAGAATACTTAAGTATGAATTTTATAAACTTAACTTAATTACCAAATTAATCAGTATGAATGCGAATCCTTTTCCAACTTACGCATTAATATATAATGGATCATGAATTATTCGGCAGTAACTTCCAACTGCATTGTAATTGTCCTATTTTGTTACTATTGATCGATACCACGAATGAGTATTTTTTCTTTCTATGAACTGCTTTTTATTACGTACTTTCGATTTTTATCTCTAAAACCAAATATTTATAACGAATGGTCGGGGTTTTGTGAGATCTAGTTTTCTACTTCTTGAGATATTTGTTCTATATCTTGTGTGAGTTGTGTTTTTCAAGGATCAGTAACACTTAATGGCTTTTGATAGAATAACAATGATAAAGTGGGATACAGTTTTGACTATTATCATCCTGTAACTAATACGTGTGCAAATAACATCTTTTTATTTGATTTTCCAAAATCACACTTCATAGTTTGCTTACCTTGGATACTTTTTTAATACTTATTTTTTCGATTTGCATATATGTAGGCAAGTGACGTGAAGAAACGTATTGAAAATTTAATTGAACGAGATTATATGAAAAGAGATTCCAGTAACGCTGCCACTTATCACTATGTGTCCTAGGTAAACGTCACTCATTTACTTTGGGGAAACTGTTGCTTTTTTTCCAAAAATGAAGATGTATATGACAGTTCTGTTATTGTTTAAAGTTAACGTTGCTGATGCACTGCATTTCAAGCAGTTGTGTGAGTTAAACAATGGAAAGACTTCTTGCTACTTTTCTTCTTTTGTACAGCAGATTCTGTTAAACCATTTAATCTTCACTTTTTTAAAAACTAGTAATGATGTTTCATGTTTGTGTCATTGTCCTTTGTGTGTGTTTGTTCTTTAAAAAACTATTGATATTTACAACTACTTTTGCTCATACTTTTCAGTTGACAAACTACTAGCATTTTACTGAATGTTATAGAGATGGAAAAAGTCTGTTTTGACCAGGTAACTCATCTATATTTCATGTTTCTTTTCCCACTACTGCTATCTTCATCGAGACTGGGTTACAAATAATAAAAAGGCTGATTGAGAAAACCGTGTTATCAAATATTTTTCGATTTCATGTTTACCAATGGGAATAGTACTTTACAGTTCATCCCCTATCATTATACGTATCACTGTATTAAATGCTAGACGTTGCAATGAAAGTTGTCTACATAGGTTACAGACTTTTATTTAAACAGTTCCTGTTTTGTTAAAGGTAATGGGACTACTCCATTGACAGACGTGTAATGTGATAAATAACAGCCGAATGTTTGGTGATATTATATATCTGCATCTGATAATTGCTGATTTTCCACTACTTGATTTAAGTATAGTAAATCAGTTTACACGTAGTTACATGTTCTCGTATAAGTCGTATTCATATATGTTCTGCGGAATTGTGATAGTCTCATTGCACACCACAAGTCATTTCACGTACGTCGTCTTAATTTCGTTTTCTATTTACCTATTTGCAATGCGAGTCGGTGAATATCTTAACGTTCTCTAGTCTCCCACGAACTCCACTATAGTTCTTTAAATAATTTATGTTTATTAATTCAGCTATTAAATTATTACCTAAACGAACATCCACACGACTGTCAGCATGCATAACGGCGATGTCCTTTTGCTGTAATATTATAGCATACATCTGTAATATATTAATTACTTGACATTGATGTTGTAGTTTGTGCATTTTACTCATAACAGGCCGTTTAACTAAACGTTCAACTTAGCAATAAGTAAGCAGTCAATTGTACCTCACGCCTTCCTATCAAACCGCTTAACCCCTGGATGCTTACCAGCAATGCTTGCGAACCTCATAATTTCTTAAACAAGACGATATTTAAAATTAAGATTTAGCCTAATGACGAAGGTTAGGCTATCTATTCCACATTATCTAGTCTCAATACGACTCGGTAACATAAAGGTTGCTATGTAGGCCATTCAGAAGAAAATGCTTGGTCACTAATGTAAACATTTTATGGTGTTTCACTCGCTGAAATTCACGAAGGGCACACAATATTCACTGGTTGAGCCTGAAATTGTCGGAAGTAAACATGTAGTGTGTAGGTATAGAATTTGTTTCTCCATTAAAGTAGTTGCTATGATATATGATCGGTCAAAGCGAAACCTAGCAGTCATCAAAAAAAAATAGTCAAAGACCGTTAACTATTGTAAATTCATATCAGATGAATCAAACGATTCACTAACAGAGAGAAGGAGCGGTAACATTACACATACTGAGAGAAAAACCAGTATTCACCTACAAGTTTTCTGCTGTATACGCATATCGATTCAACAAAACATAGAAAAGTTAAAGTGATATGTGAACCATGCTGACTGGTTTCTAAAATATGTGCGGTTGCTTCAATGTTGAAAAAATCCGAAACTTCATTTCAGGAATTTATTTACTGCAAGAAATGTCCCACTGGTACAGCCCAATTTGTGTTCGATTCTGTATAGTGGCTACTTTTATTCTACAGTGCTTATTTATGTAGGCGTAAGTGGTCACTAGTATAGTTTGTACTTTTTGTCAGTTTTGTGCATATATTTCAGTACGTATGGATTTATTTATTATTACTTGAATGTGACAAGTATCTCACTGTTGATTAACAGCGTTGATTTAAGAACAGTCTTTATATTCTGCTACCATGCACTTCGTTTTCAGTTTATATTTCTATACTTGGAAAAATATCTTCAGATAGTTAAAAAGGCTGGTGATTTTCCTCGTGCAGTTGAATTTATGGTCAGGAATAAGAACTCTGGAAGTCAGTTTTCTTTTGTGCTTTGACCTCTAAGTTGTAGCAACAGGGAAACGCTTAGACATATCAATTGTATAGCTGTAAAACAACAGAATTCACTGTCTGGCCACTCAATTTTTCAAAACTTTTCAGGATCTCACATTGTAAGTATCGTGACTGGGATGGCTACTCCAGTGAAAGCCATCTAAAAATATGAAGAAAGATTAAGGAAAGATCTAGTGTGATTAAATGAAAGCTGGTCTCTTTAACAATAGATAAAAATAGTAGGATGGTCACTTATAATAAGTCACTCACATCCAAAGTTCTCAGTCAAATACTCACATCGATCATTGCATTGTGTTCGCAAGTTTTACTTAAAATTAAGTCTCAAAAGACCTCTGTGTTCATTTTACTGTAGGTATAGAACCGGGTAGTTATAAGGACATGAAGAAGACTGAAGTTGGGCTTTTGGAGGTTGCACACCTGTCACTTGATGAAAGAGACGCGATATAACAGAACAGGCAAACCAATGGGATCAGGAGTATTCATCCTTCAAGGCTTTGATTTGATACTATGAAATGGAGATTAGCTTAAAAGATACACGTGATATTGACTTTAGTATTGCGAATATATGGGTGGTGAGGCCGTGGTGTTGAATGATGCCATTATGAGGGGGACGTCATAAACCATTATTATATGTCATCCCTAGACAAGAATGACTGTCGTATTCTGGATTTTGATTTACATATCTTTTCCAGTAACTAAAACTTGACTCATGTCAGGCGAAATGTTTGCAGAACAATTATGAGAGAAATACTCAGCGTTCTCAATTTATCGGACATAGAATAAAAATTTCCTATCAAGGTGGCTGCAATGTAATTAGTATCTGTGTATAAAAGTCGCGATATCACAAGTAGCTTCCATTTCACCATAGAATCCATTTAGCAAGTTCATAACCTTTCAGGTTACAGAGCACTGATGGGATGAAATCTTAATATCAGGAAGCTCAAAATATTTTTGTCTTGAGACTACGTAAGTCTTTAAATTGTGTGAAGAAAAGCTTGTTAGAGAGTTCATACAATACCCAAAGCTCTTAAATTTGTACTTAAACTAGTAATAAGAACGACTTCATCACTATCCTAAGATGACCACGATAAAACTTAAGTACCTTCTGATCACCTGATCAATGTATTTTATCTAGACATTTACCTTATTTTGGTTATTATACATACATCCATACTTCCATCGACGACTTTGGTCTATCAGGTAAACGTAAATCTATGAGACTATGCACTGGATCAACTGAAACAGCTAGGAAATATTGTACCGAAATCACCAAGCATATTTCAACATAATTGTAATTAAGAAAGAGTACACAGATAATTGGGTGATCGACTTTTTAAGTTCAAATTACAAGGCAGATGTGAAACGCAAACTTGAGAACTATTGGCCTGTAAACATAACCAGCATGGTTGTTAAGATATCAGAAAATATTGCTAGGAAGCTGCTTTGATACTTAATCGAAAACTTGATTATTTCCGAAGGGACATACGGTATTGAGGCTGGTTGTTCTTATTTATTAGAGTTGTCATTAGCTTTTGAAATTTTTGCTAGCTTAATTATTAAAAGCTCCGTACAGATCCAACCACCAATGACTTCATTAGTGTTTTCAACAAAGTTTCATTCAAAAGGTTGTTATCTGTGTTGAGTGAGTTCAAAATCGAAGGTAATAAAGAAATAATTTGTTACCTGCTAGTTCGTCGAAAAGATATTGTTTACTGAATAGTACATCAGATATTGAAATTGGACGTGTGTCTTTTTGCGCACAAATCATAAACCGTCTTTCGTTATCGCATCGTTAGCCTGCTCTTTATACCATATTGATGTCTAAATTTTGTTGCTGCGCAAAACATCCTTATATTAATAATGTAAAAGTTGTTCTGTTGAACAATAAGGAGGTTTATTATAAATTCACCAACGATACTCTTGTTGAAGATATCTTCCATGACGTATGTTCTTCTATGAATCTGCAAGAGCGTGATATATTTGGCCTTGCAATGCTTCGTAATAGTATGAAATGGTCTATTGTACGCCGAATATTGTTTTTTAGATGAGGGCTGGCTATTTATAGAACCTAGCGAGTTTATGCACAGGATCATAACCAACTATTTCGTGCCAACTGATCAAAAGTGTTCCACCGTAAGTCCCAAAATTTTTCAACAATTTATTCAAAAGAGTTTATTACCGACTTTCAGTCACCAGTATAAAGTTGTCCTCCAAACTGGTATAGAGAAAAAAAACCACAGTGCAACTTACGAAATAACTATTAATCCCTTCAAAACACGTGGTATTCTACGAGTGTACCTGAAAGATCAGTGAAGACATATACTATTGATACGATACTGTTTCTATTGTTTCAAAGAACAAAGCTCTGTTTATGAACATACTAGCACTATATTGTCTCCCTCTCTCTGCAAAGAAAAAAAACCCGTATATACTAAAAAATTTTATTTAACCTTCGAAGCACCAAAAATTGGTGTGTTTTGTGTTTAAGATCAAGGAATTTACTCGACATTGGCTTATGGTTCTATGTTTTACGTTGAATCTTATTTCAATGCATTAGTACTATGCATCATAAACCTGGTTAGGTTTATATATTTTATATTTTAGTAAAGATTAAGCCTTTGTTTGATGAAATCGACAGAAACTGACAACCCAGCGTTTAATATCTTTAGTGAGCTTACATGAATCGATTAGTATCTTTGGGCTCGCATTTTGTTTTTGTACGGTTCCGGGTCTTAGATAATGTTCAGTAGGCGGTAGTCTAGTCACTAGACTGAACTTTTTCTCATCCGTTTGTTGTTTATTCGTGGATTTGCATGTCTGTTAATTTGAGTGAGTGTTTTTGTCCCAATGTAATAGGGTTTTTGCATTCTACTAACTGTTACATTACCAGTAAGGAGGTCAGTTGCTTGAAATGTGAGAAAATTCGAATACTGAGAGAAGACAATTGTTTCGAGAAACAAACAAACGGGTAAACTAATTAATTGGTAGTGAGGACTGTGTACGAATACCAAATCGTAATTATTAAACGGGAAACGAAGGTGATGATGAGCAAAATAGTAATGAGTAACTGATATTTATTTACGATAAGGGTAGATAAGTTATGAGAAATGCATCAGACACAGCTAGTCCAAAAGAGGGATGGCAATCCATGGGTGAGTATATGTTGTTTATATCTTCAAGTGAAGCTATCCAATGAGAAAGCTGTGGTCATTTTGGTTGGGATGTAATTTCAAGCGGGTACAACTCGTGATGCAAAACGTTACAGGTTATCTGAGTTTTTGCTCTTTGATATGCAATTTGTATGGATTTTTTGGAGATCGTGGTATTGATGTTCTTGTAGGCTGCTCTTTTTAAAAATGGCTTATCCAATTTTTTGTACGGCATTATTACATCGCTTTTTATTTTCCCACAGCTCAGTGGGAATAATGTCAACTGTTGGAGTCTATCTTCATAAGATTTAACCTTTATCTCTATCGTGTATTTATTCAACGAGACTGAAACCTCTTTTAAAGAGTAGGGTGCAATAACACTAGGAGATTCAATGTAGCTCCTCAAACACAGTTGTGAGTTAGTTGTAACAAACTGTCTTTGCATAAAGTAGGGAGTTGCGTTTGCTTTGCTTGTATCCCCTATATAGTGTCAAGTATTGCCAAAACGTTCTGTGGTTATGGTTTGTGAGAGTAGCCTCGTGATATTTAGAAGTATTCTAATTATTATACTAACCAGCAATCTCCAAAATAGTTCAATTCAGGTCTTATCGAACTAAGTGAGCACAAACAAACATATTGTATTTAAAATTCAAAATCATGGAGATATCAAGTACAAAGGTACCATTAAATAACGTAAAACCCACAACCGCTAAAGCTTAAATTGGAATCTAATTTTCTGTGATAAACTGAACTTCTCTTTCTTAGGTTAATTGTTTATCTCTCAGACTGTGGATTAGATACAGACTCTGTATGATCTAGAATTTGTTCGTTAGTACCAGAATTAACAATCAAGATTGAAACGAACTCACCTAGGTCCTGGAATGGAATATGATTAACATGTTGGTTGTGTAATGAAATCACTGACATCTAGAACCTGAACCACAAATCTTACAACACTATTACCCCCCTACAAAATAATATTGAACCTTTATATCCTCAAGTTATAAATGACGGGGCCGCATTTAAAAAAGTATTTCTCACATTAACTAGAGGATCCATTAGAAGTGACTTCATGATAAGCATAAATAATATTGGATGTAAAACCATCCGAACTGCATTCAAAACCGATCTAATTTAGGACTCGTGCTTCACAGTGAACAAGTTTTCCATAAAAAAACAGATGCACTAAAAGGACAAATAACATTTAATATAACATCAGAATATGATTCATTTGAAATATTTTCCTCAAATTTATTACGAACATCATGCAAGAATGATAGACCATTAGCAAAATCATCGTCTATCAAAACTTCATCAGATGTTTGATCAGGATTTGATTCGCACGACATATTTTTCTTACTGTTATAAGTAATTTTATTAGAAACATGTGAATCATCAGGAAATATCCTGTCCGGTGCACTAGCGTGAGAAATCCAAAAAGAAGTTGCTTGGCTAGAAATTTTCTCATAATGATTCTGAGTTTCATTTAATTCTCAACTGCTATGTGATTCTATATCGCTTTTCGAAATCCTGGATAAAAATAAATGATCAATGGAAGTATTCAACTCAATAGGATCGGAATTACTAAGTTGAGAATTAGTTGCAGGGAAGTGAACAGTAGTATTACAAACTGACCGAATGTTTCCAATTTTACAACATTTAAAATATTCAGCATTACAAAATACATATAAATTACATGAGCGAAATTTAACACGAGATAAACACTTACCGAACTCGTGCTCATCTTCGTGACCAACCTTGCAACTCTCCAGTGATTTGTCACCTGCATAATCTTGAGTAAGCATTGGATCGGGATGACGTAGTAATGTAGTGGAATTCTTGATGTCCTGATGAATCGTTTTATGAAATATTCCTCCTACATGGCATTCGAAATGTGTACGCTTTACATGGTATTGTAGTAGTTCTTTGAGAGTTACATGGAGAGGTGGAATCAGCTTATCTGTAAATGTCAAAAATTTTAGTAAGCTTTAAGCTTCTTTTCCAATGTGTGTAAGGAACTGAGTCACAATATTGACATCTCCAAGATCTTCCCTCATCATGGTCCAGATTTTGAACCTTTCCATATAATCCTCAAAAGCATCAAAATTTGAATATATATGAAAGCATTCCTTCACGGCCTTCATCGAGACACCAATGCGATAGATAGAAGTATTTGAATTATTATACAATCTAGGAAATCTCGAATTAACGCAATTTAAGTCAGATAAAACTTGATGAGCACAAACGAACGTATTGTATTTTGAATTCAAAACCAGGCATATATCAAGTACAAAACAATCATTAGTTCATACGAACACCACAAGCCTGTAGATATTAGTGAAAAAACGCTTCATTGCTCGAAGCATTCAAGACTGCTGTTTCACATAATCCTTTATGAATGAAGTATACAGACAAAACAATCATTTGATATTTGAGATCTCAATAATGAATGAACTCTTGGGTCACAGTTAAATAGTCAAAAGAGGTTTAAGTGATCTATTGTTCTGTTTTTTTGCGAACTCAAAAATTATGTCGAATCTTCCTATCCTCATTATTTGAGATGGTTTCATTCATGGAGCAAGTGAAATAATCTGATACTACAGTATCAGTTATTCGACTAAAAGGGACAAACCAAAGGAACAAATGTTGCTTGTTAGATTTTTTGACTGTCAGTCTCGATCACACAGATAAATGCTGAATTTATTTAAATCCTGTATATAGGAATCATAATTGTTAATAGTCACTTCTTCCGGCTTGGTTAACAGCAAGTCAGTAAGCCGATGACCGGGATACCTCAAGAGTTATCGTGAATCTATATAAGCGCAATTTAATTTTAGATATTTGAAGATCAATACAGATAAGATATTGGTCTAGAACAAATGAATTTTCAACCCAGTCTGACCAAAAATATGTCAAAATATTTTGCTCATCCTTTGTGAGTAACAAAGAATGCTATTATTTTTTGGTTAATTCGGAAATTTTTCATGTTTTTGAAACAACAAGCCTCGAAATCCAAAGCTGACACAAATGAGTAACTTTGACTAACTTGGAAGCGGAGCAATATTCCTAGTTAAAATAAAATGGATATGGGGTTTTCAATTCAAACTAATAAACTGTGACAATGTCTCACATTGTAAATGTTAATTTTTACTCACCTTAAAATTGAAAAAAATAAATGTTTGTTTTCATCTAAACTATATAGCGAAAATTACCTACATTAGCAGACTGCTTTAAAAAACAGTAATTGTGTTTGACGTTTTCAGTTTTAAATGAAATTTAACCAAATTAATACATAAAACTATTCAGTTTATTAACTAGGCTGTCTAACTTTTTAAGCAGGTTTTAAACTGTTGAACCAAATAAGTAGCTCGTTAGTGTGTTTATACAAAATGATTTGGGTTCCCTCGAAAAATATAGAGAATCTGGCAAACATTATCTATTCTGTTCATGATAAAAGCTGTCCTAATTTTGCTTGATATTATAGAAAAATAAGATGTTATCTCAGGCTGCGTTATATAGGAGGAGGATTTGATTCAGGAGTAAGAGCATTCACATCTTATATTGAGTTTAGCTTAAATCTCTTGACTAGTAATTACTTTTAGCTTGTGTACAAAGCATTGAAAACTAGAAACGGTGGTCATTTGTAAACTACACTATAATTAGATCTGCTCGTTCTGCTGGGAAACCAGATAGCATATTGGTTATCTAATGACTAATTTTGCTTAAGATATAAACTAACATCTAAAGAGAAGTACGAAATTAGCTTCCACAGTACCTAATTTTTTATGTATTTTATTGGCAATCAACTGCAGGTATGCAGGAGCCAGGTAGCTAAAATGAAGTCATAATATTTATTTTGAGAGAATTATGATTAAAAGTCTTCACTGAATAACATCTGGCTAAATTCGAAGAAATTTGGGTTCGGGAAAATACGAAACACGAGTAACTGTTCTATTCAGATCACATAATAAGCATTTCGGAGATCGGTTTCATGAAAATTAGATAAAATATGGTCTCACCAACATGTGGTTTGAACTTGAGATTTTACTGAATAAAAACGGTGAACCTAGTATTATTGTGAATTATTGTGAAGACTTTCTATTTATACAAGGCACTATTTGCATAACGAAGTAATACAGATAAATTCACTGTAGATGAGTGTATAGAATTTGCCGAGAATAATCCTACAGTCAAGAAATTATCTTACCATAATCATCCAGATGATATTTATTTGCAGAAATCTCTAACAAAATTGCTTAAAAACGTCAGTACTGCGTCCATCCATTAAAAATACGTCACATATTATGTAAAAGTGCTAACTGGTGTCACAATTTTTATGTTTCCCCGACTTTTTGTTGTAACTGGAACAAACACCTGACATAGTGGTTTGTGGTGATTATCTACATAAATGTTTGTTTGACACGCTTTACCAGAAAAAAATCCACACTGCTCAATGTAAGGTAGGAGGTAAGATTGCAGTTGAGATTTTGTTAACACCATAAAATAAATCCATGACACACAGCAACTTATTCTGAAGCTTTATCTACGAACACTGAGTTATAAGTCATTTAACTATCTGATCAATAGGTAAGTTTTAATAGACAGAGCTAGGCAGTAGTTAACATAAAAACAAATCAATAACTAAATGAACATATATAATTTATAATATCAGTTGATTTAACTGCATTTGCCAAAATGAAATAAATTACTGAGTTTCATTTTTAATTCTTACTGGAAGTTCTACATTCTTTTTAATTACTTACAAAGTCTAAGTTACACTGAACCGGTAGCATAATTTGTTAGAAAGTGTAGATAAAAGATGATAACTTAGTGGATGACAGTCCGTAGATAAAATAGACATATCAGGGATTAATTACTACATCTTAAATGCATCAATAACTGATGAAGTTGAGTTTCAACAAAAGCTTTATTAAATCACTTTAGTTGTGAAAATACACTTTCATAATCCCGTTTATCTTCAATCGTTGTTCGTGATTATAACAGACCACAATCAAGTAGCTTGTACCTTTTGGTATGGCTCAAACCAATAGTTAATGAAATTATGAACTGATGCCGTGTATTAGTTTGTCCGCTAGCTTTTTTTCATCCTACTTATGTACAAGCAAACATCTTTTGTAGAAGTAAGATGGGGCATTATTTGATTGCTTCGTTAATTTGCTTATTATCTAAATTATTTACTTTATTTGTTTTATTGTTTATTTGATTTAAACAGGATATTTTCTTCTTACCAATAAATAAATCACTAAATCATTGTTCATTACAACCATCATATCCAACTGTATATTTTCGTGTCCGATTTTATATTCCGATACATTGTATAAATGAACGTACAACACAACATATTTATTATTTACAATTACGAAAAAATCATGTTCTTTATGAATTATTTTGTGATCCAAATGTGTATTTACAATTAGCAGCGTTTGCATTACAGGCTGAATTGGGTGATGCACCAAAATGTTTTAATCCAGAAACTGAAATATCCTATTTTCTACCAGAACTTTATTATCCTAAAAAAGTAAGCTGAATTAGTTTTTCTACTGTTTTGACAAATCAACACTACTTATCATTATTTAAAACAGTCAACTAGTCTAAGTTACTTGTTTATTAGTGGGATAACAGCAAGCCGAGTATACAATAAGTGAATTTGAGGATGTTCCAACTTAGCCAAAATCAAGTTGCAAGGGAGTGTAGTTTCAGCAGTCTGATACTATGGGGTAGTCAGTGTTATATCTTGTTACTTATCGACGTTGGTCATTAAAAGTTAGCTAGTAATAAATACTAAATGAAATTATACTGGTTAGTATTCACTGACCGGTAAATGTACCTTTCATTGGTCAAGTGTACGTGCGAATTAAGTAACTCATTAATTAAATCATGCAACGTTGGTGTGAAAGACCTACGTCTCGATTACAGATGAAATTAGTATCCTAAAGGATATAAACATTCATTACAAATACACAACTCAAATCAAAAACCACCTGAAAAATACTTCCAGATTTTTAGCACTTATGGTGAACTGCATATTCAGTTTGTATAAAACAGAATAGCTATGCAAAATGACTGTTTAGCTGATAAATACCTAACGTTTCGGAAATAAACATCTTGGTAAGTAAAACAAAGAAAATTATGAGTAGCTAGATAATTCTTACTTGAAATAACTAAACAGTCTTTGTTAAAGGATTCGTTTCATACACTGATTTATTTCAGACAATATCCAACTACTCGGTTGCTCACATTAAACTGGTTCTACTCGAAAGCGTATGTTTAGGCAATTAGTTTTATTACGTAATAACGAGCTGAAATGACCAAGAAAACGAGTGAATATCATATTACCTTAAGTTTATTTGGTAGTATCTATGAGTGAAGATTATTTAAATTAAAGCCATACAATTTACATATTATACGCCTAATTCTAAACCACGTATATTTTTTACACCCGTTCATTAAAAAATCTGTGATTGATATCATAGACTGAAAGTACCTTCAAACTGCTTATTAAGAATCCTCAATACATAAAATTGTAAAAAATATGTTAAATGCTTAACCAAGGTTCCGACTAGTATCTGAAAAAACAGGACGCTAAGTGTTTACCGTAAACGTCTAGAGTTGAAAATTTGTTGATAACAGGTAAGCATTGGGTCTTCATATTCTTCTCCGTATTAAACATCGTTGATTCCACTCAATAAGATGATCATTATTGATTACCAATATCGTTCTAAAAATAATGATAGATATGGTAATATTGGTATTATAGAGAGATATAGTAAACATGGAGCCTGTCATAGATGAATGTTGGCTCAAGTTACCATACCATAATGGCACAACAAGATGAATAGCACATAAGTTCAAAATTATTTATTAACAACGATAAAGAAGAAGACTAAGCATCGGGAATATGGTTAGAAAATACTACAATTTAAGATTGAAGGATAAGCAACGGATATATGTGAGTCGTTTTGGGTGACTTTAGGATATGTCATTCAAAGTCTTTAATCTTTGTTTGCGATTATAACAGACCACAATCAAGTAGCTTGTACCTTTTGGTATGGCTCAAACCAATAGTTAATGAAATTATGAACTGATGCCGTGTATTAGTTTGTCCGCTAGCTTTTTTTCATCCTACCTATGTACAAGCAAACATCTTTTGTAAAAGTAAGATGGGGCGTTATTTGATTGCTTCGTTAATTTGCGTATTATCTAAACTATTTACTCTTCAGTGTTTTAATTAAATTTATTGATTATATGTTTTGCAATGTTTTTGTATGGTGTCTCAGAATTTTCTTCTTTAGTGACTTATGCAATACTATGCAAAATTTATTTTCAGGAGTCTATCAAGAAACATTAGGCATATGTATGTAACTATAAATCAAGTATCATAATAATACATAATTTAGTAGTGAAAATGACTATATTTTTAAGTTTTAAGTTGATCTTAAACGTTGCGCTTGATTTTGAAAATCCAGTTGTTTTTCCATAAACCATTCTTCTGAAGAACTCTGAAAAATTCTTTTCTACATGTCAAGAAAAGGAAAACATCTAGATTTTCACTTGTACTCTTATTTTCATCGCTCCCTGTTTGCTATTATAGTATAATTATTTTTATGTGAGTTTTAGTTCCAATACGATCGAATACTTTTTCGACTACTAGATATAAATTATTAGAAGACATAAGGTGTAAATTATGTGTGTTGATACCGTAGTTCGTCTAATGTACCAATAGGGAGGTTAAACGATCTGAACACGATCTTTGTGCGAAAGTAAACTGAAAAGGCGTGAATAACCATTTCGAATCAGAAATTTAATGACATCCTCATACGGTATTTGGTATATTTTAAACTATTAGTATCTACTTAAGCGAGAATGTGATGCATGAATCGTCTAATAAAATGTTTTTTAATAAACTTAATTTATTGTGGTGGCAAACAACAGTATTCTCAATTTTTCAGTCATCCTACTTATCTAGATTCATTTGAAGAATGTTAGTAAGTAGGTGTTTGATTAAGATTGCAGAAGTTTTACTTTTCCTGAAGAATTTGTACCTCTATTAGATTCTGTCAAACGAAATAATACCGTATTGAATTTACATTTATGGCTATCGGTAAGCTGAATTCATGAGTATCTAATAGTAATAAAATAAATACTTCAAATGAAGCTCACATTTTCAATTAAACTAAAATCTGTTCACAGATCTTCATGGGACTCTCCCAGCTGATAATCGTTTAGTGCTTAATTTCATTGTCGTACTTATCTGTAATACATTTGAACGCTTTTCAGACATGATCTAGTGTTCATATTAAAATGATAACAACTACTTTCATGTTGCTTTTTTCTACATATGTGTGCACAAGGGTTTGACAACAAAACAACAGTCAGTATCAGTTATTCATTCAGTATACAATATTTAATTATACAATGGACTAATTGCTTTGGAACCACACCGACAAGTTACATAATAAGTATTTGTTGTACACACTAATTATTTTCTAAGACAATACTTGTATCTCTATTGTGTTCATATCAAAAGAGATTATCAAATGGAGTGATTCTAAATTTTACAACATTTGACATTTTATGATTTTATATACTCTTAAATTATCTAATATGTGTTTGATTGCTTACAAAATTTAGTTTATTAAATCGTGGGATAGTGTTGAACTAGCCTATTATACTTATATACATCATTCAGCGCTTCGTAATAATGTTGCCTATATGGCTGAATTTCATTTTATTCATCTGGCAACAAAGTTGAACTCTGATTTCAATTTACATTTATATCCACTTCAAAAACCCGCTCACAAATGCCGTTTCTCTGTATGGATTGGTATCAGTCCACAAGGATTTACATTATATCAGGTGATGAAAATAAAGTAATTACCTAGTGCATTCGATTCTTTTATGTTAAAACCTTTTAAAATTATTATATTATCAATTATCTATGGTGATAATTACAATAAACCATTTTCCATCTGAACATTTCTATAAGGATTATTTATTTTAAAGTCAGAAATTCAATATCAATCTTTGGAACCCTGACTTTTAGTTGTAATGCATTATATGGCTGTGAGTTATAAACTCATAATTTATCCACTTCTTATCCAATAAGCATACACTAAAATAATAAAGAAAAAGCTCACAATCAGGTTTTTTCCAGATTGGATTTACATCTATCAGTAAATGAAAGTATGGAATACTGTGATGCTTAGAACATTTTTTAACATCCATTATGTTACTCAGATATTTATTGGAAATATCGAAAAATCATTGACAACTGTCATTCAAATTGCTTACATCTGTATCTGTTTATGTGTATATAAAACAATCTATAGTTTTATAAATTAAGGACATCACAGTTTGACGCTCATCTCTCGAGTATAATGTATGGAACATTATGATCACATAATTTCACGTTCATCATTATTTAATGAACCATCATCTTTTTTGAAAAAAATTAAAAAAATTTGAATTATGTGCGGCACTGTTATTCTCTATCATAATGCACAGTAAAATTACCTATTCAATTCAAAAATAGCTTGTTGATGTAATTGTTGTAATCTTTAAAAATAAGATAGAAGTTTAGAATACGTTTCATCTTATTAATTTATGATATACTAATAACCTTACTAATTTATATTCTGTGTAGAATGGACTTGACAATATGTAGTAAGGGAATAGATATAAATTGTCAAATAATTTACTAAATAAAGAAAGAACTTCGTTTAGACTTTAAGAAACTGAAAACTTTTCAGTGAAAAAACTTTCCTCATCAATGATGTCGTTTTCTTAAGTTGTACAATCATACCTGTTCATAATTTTATATTTAGTAGCGTGTAATAAAATAAAAAAAACGAACAGATTTACCAAACATTGGACGTTTCCAAACATAGAATATAGGAGATTTATTGACTCACTTAATAAATTCAATAAAAGTTATCAAAAACTCTCATGTATTGGTCATAGTAGTCTACAAATGGAAAGGTATCATCTCATTTAAAAATGTGATTAAAACAATCAGAATTTCTTCATGTATTGAGAAAACTAGAGGTATTTCATCACTTAATAAAGTTTTGAAAAATTTTTCTATTTAGTTATGCAGTTATAAATTTATGATTATTGTGTTTCCATGGTCTATAAATTACAGTTGGATCAGTATATTAAATTAAAAACGGTAAATAATAAGAAAGTTTTTACGTAAAGCGTGATAAAAGTCAGTTCCAATCAAGAAAGTCGTATGCAAAAAAATTTAGTACGGAATATGAATCAAAAGAATTCAGCTGAGATAATCTTTTTTCTGTGAAATTGTTTACTTATGATGTACATCCCTAATTAGGAATTTTTGTGTCGTAGTTGATGTGATAATAATACCAATGGTAATAATGTGAATAGTTATTTATGAGAATATCATGTTAATTAGGAAAGATCAATGTATTAATAATAATGAATAAGTAAATATCACGAAAAGGAGGGTTAGTTACAAAAGTGAGGAGGGGGGAGTATTGTTTATGTGTATTTAAAAATTGCAATTAGGACTGAAACAACCCTATTGTGTGCCAAGGTAAACAAAGTGGTTGATTGTTATTCTGTTGTATACATAAGTTAGGTTTCTTTGAGTTGAAGTTTTACAATTGTCGAAACAATTTAAAATTTGTATGCACTAATCAAATCAAATTAATTTCTTAGACTGATAAATTTTCTCAAAGAAATCCACTAATTCATATCGGTTAGTAAATAGGTTATTTGTTCAAACTAGCTTAGTAGCTAAACTGCGCCAATTATGAACTTCCCGGCTACTAGTTCCTTCTGTGGAACTTTTTAAACTACCCAGCATAAATTTATTGTGTCATAATGTGCGCAAAATAGTTTTTTGAAAATGAAGTTATCTGTCAATATTATTTCATGAAATTACTTCGTATTTAATATTATGGTTCTAGCAATTCCCAGATTATTGGATTGTTCCAACTAATCGTATCAAATGGAATGAAATTACAGGAATTTACTACAATGTAAGTACGCATTATATTGTCTGAATAGTCAACTCTTTAAAGTGTATAACTTTTATCTGTGAAAAACTTAGTTTCTGCATTATTTTAACTATGACTAAACGTTTTCACTTATATGGTAAGAGCGATACTATCCATTATTCCGTCATAAAAAAGAACATCAAATTATAACTTATTAACAAAGACACGGTTGTGAAGTTTGTTATCACTTTATTTAAAAGAACGAAGTAGTGATGATGTTCTGAACACAAAGGCTTTAGTCTAAAACATAATGTAACATATTCACTTGTTGTTGTTTACTTGTATCTTCCCATTGTTATTTTGGATCATAATTGATCAGGCTCTTTCTGGCATATGTGCATCCTGTGCGGACTGCTTCGATATTGCCTGAAGTCACAAGTTTTATAAGTGAAGATGGATAGCGACTAGCAGTTGAATCCAGGACGCGTGTTTCGTCTACTCTGAGATACAGGTACATCCAGCTGACAAGTCCCGAATAGGACGAAACGCGCGTTCTGAATTCCACTGCTAGCCACTATCTGTCTTTGCTTATAAATTGAAATAATTTCATACATATTGCAAAGCAAACAATTGACTAGCTACTCGTTGCTAAGTTATATATACACAAATGACCGTCCAGGTCGATAATTTTCGAGGCTGGAGAAATATTTTATGCATAAATAGAATTATATACAATTATGAATGTAAAAACCATATTCGCAAATTACCATATACACAAATCAATTCAATTAAATATACTCGAACAAACCTATCAATTGGTTAAAATCTATGGGAAACTATCTTATAATAAAGTGTTTTAACTGACATGTTCACAGTCTTATTTGTTAGTATGTGCAAGATGAATATATCAACATTTGCGTGCTAAAATAACAAAAGTCATTTGGACATCATTAACTCAATGTGTTCATGATAGAAAATTGTTTAAACTATGACTAATTTCCTTTAGTTATTGCGAATATCTCTCTCAAATAACCTTACATTAAACATACATTAAGTACGATCAATCCACACGTGACAACAAAGCGAAGCAAACAGTAAATAAGTAATCCATAATAAGTAGGAAATAGTAAAGGTATGACAACCGTTAAAAGGTTCACTGAAAGCTTATTGTAAGAGGAATTTAGAAATACAACAATACAGTTATCTACAAATTAGACAAGAGTATAAATAACAAACATTCAAAAACTGGTTCCGAAATTTCCAACCTTTAGAACACTCATCTCGTTACAACACTAACTTTTCAGATCTATTATTATTATTATTATTATTATTATTATTATTATTATTATTATTATTATTATTATTATTATTATTAGCGTTATTCAACATTATATTTTTGGTAAAATAAAAAATTCTCAGCACAAAGTGTTTCAGCGAGTTTCCGTTTCTTAGTTCTTCATCGATGTTAACAATAAATATAGAGTGATCGCCAGTTAGATATTAGCATTTCAGAAGTCGACGTCTGAATAATATTCACTTTTCACTCCATATTGCCAGCCACCACAATGTCTCCGATTGAACATTTTTGTAACTTGTACAGCGAAAAGTTGTAAACGTTTCACAAACACGCCTGAATAACTGATCTGTTAAAACAAACAAGGAGACAGATAACTCGTTGAAATATTTAGATGTCAGGAATAGGTAACCCAGACGTTCAAGCAGGTGCTTTTTAATTATAGGTAACGTTATGTTTATCAATATATTTTCAGCATTTAAACTACATGAAATATAACGTACTTAGCTGTCGGGTAAATACACTTTTCTTCCTTTTTATGTCTTACTAATTAGTGGGGATTGAAGTGGAGTTTTTCTAAGTATTGAGAAAACTATTTATTGTCTTAACTAAGTAAAAATTCCTACTTATATTGATCGATTTCCCATTATTTACAACGTGTTCAAGTAGAGCTTGTAAATTTTTTCGTTCATCTTATATTCATCTCGGAAGAATTACTTCGTAAATTCTTTTGTATATGTGACTTAAAAAACATTCTTCTGTTTAGTTCTCATTTCCCCATTATTTGATTTGGTTTTCTGAATAAAAGATGTTTAAGTACTAAATAGTTTATATTAAGAATGGTTGTAAATAAAAAGTTTATTTACTTAAAGGTTACATGAGCTTACAACTTAATTTAATCAGACAAAGATTACAAGTATTCACTTTTCTCTTTGTAATTAATGATCGCTTAAAAGAACATATTATAAGGAAAGAAACTAATCTGAAAAAAATATTCCGTAACAAAAGTAATGATAATCGAAATCACTCAACGTGTAGTATAGGCTAGAATGGTGTTTTTCAAACTGGAACATTTTTCATGTTAGTCAGATTGTGAAAGGTTGAATCTACAACGCGTTGGTGTGAACAGTTTTATTCTATGCTTATGAAACCTGTCCTCTCTGAATTGCGGTGGTTCGGCAACTCCCTATGTTCTCTTGACGATTTCTGACATCTAGCGGCAAATGCGTGTTACTAATTGTGATGTTTGGCAGTTTTTATTTGAGCACAGCGCCGATAACTCAGTTGATTTCACTACTTTGAAATATCGGCTTCGGTAGCTAGGACATGTATTAAGAATTTTCAAATAATAGATTTATTTCGATAATGCATTATCGAAATTTATCAAAGGGACTAATTGCTTTAAATAGATTTATTCCCAACCCTGACATTAGATGGAAAAACTGGGGAAGTGGTGCGTTTATGATATGAAGCGGTGGTATAAATTACAATTGTATCTCCTCTTATATACAATTCTCATTCACGTATTTTTACCCACTTTTTATTTTTGAATAAACTCCTTCTCTTTTCTCCATGTCTTCACACTTGTGTGTGTGTGTCTCTCTCTCTGTGTAGCGTATAATTATTTTAGTGGCAAGCTGTTCCAGTATTTCAGTGTATTGTAAAAAATAAATCAAATCACAAAATCTTTTAACGTTCATCATCTGTTCACTGTATTAATTTTTGAACTTACAGTGATAAATTAAACTGTAATTAAAACGTTATATTTCACTTAGCTGCAAATCCTCTCTATTACTGCAATATTTATTACTGTTCGTTTTGTTACTTCTTATTTAGAGTTTGAAAATAAAAGAAAGGTGAAGTGTTCTCAAGTTTAGTGATGTATGGTAGTATGACTATTTAAATTCGAGCAAATTAACACCGTTCTTAAAAACGTATTGTTTTACTTCACTTCAATGTCAGTTTCAGATTTAAAAAACATATCAACGGCATTATTTCTTATTATATGGTGTTTCGCAGATTACTGAATTTCATAACTTACATAACTGATTGACCTAGGTTAGACAAACGCCAAAAGTGAGGAGGCAGTGAACAGTTATTTCCTCGTTATAGAAGACACATTAGCACTAAATATCCATCTTCTCATCGAGGTTTAAACTCAGGATTTTCAAGTCTTATGGCGGGAACTTAGCTTATTGACCACCAAGCAAGTGTCCAATGATTTACGTGTCTGGTTATAATTATTTCACAATATTGTGACGTCATTTTTACCCCACTAACATCTTGATGTTTTTCATTCATTTCTTTACTCTACAGCATCACACTGTAACTATTCATTTACGCTCTAAGGCCCGGAAGCGTGATTACAAAATGCAAAGAACTTTATCAGCAAGACATTTATTTGCTTTAATCACTAATATGCATTTCTACCAATCAATAGCCGAAATGTCTGCAACTCACTCGAACGATGTCTTAGAGAAAATGGGTAAATGTATTAGTTGGTACAAGATTTTCATTGAATTTGCCAATTCATATTCCCAAGGTCATTAAAGATATCTAATAATTGCCTTAAGAAAATCCCTCACCACTGATCGAAATCTATCTATTAGGTTATTTTGCAGTGTAGCTTAGTTATATGATCGTTAATTTCTTTAAAGCTATAGATATACGTATTTTAACAATCATAAAAATCAAGTGTGATAGCCGTCTATTGGTCGTTTACCAGAATATATAACTGTGTTTTACAATTATCTTAACTGATATTATCATTCACGAAGTTGGATGTGAGTGACTGCATGAAAATTAAGGTCGTAGATGATTTTCTTCTTAATTTTTAAGATTAGAAGAAACGATGTTTGTGTAAGACGCGCAAGTTTTTCATTGATTAATGCGAAACTCAACACTTCATCTCAATTACTATTTGCAATAAAATGCTTGTATTATGAATGTTGGTTTATAGTGGATTCCTCATATTGAATCTTAAATACCTAACCCTGTCATTTAAGTATATTGCAACTACTTAAATCAGCGACTTACTCATTTGCTCACCACTTACATTAGTAAAGAAAATACAACTAAACAAATAACTGGGTTTTTCCTGGTTGATAAACTGAATTTTAGTGGTAGAAAATGTGAGCTATTAAACTTACTAGATCAGTTTTAAAAGTTTCAATGTTTTATTGAAATTTAACAGCAAGACCAAACGATACAATATGAATTCAAAGGTAGTGTCACACATAACTTTACGAAATGTTTCTATTGAAGCTGATTGATTTATAGCGCCAAACATTATAAATAATAGCGCTTTACTGTATTACAATTCTTCTTCTGTAATACTATCTAAAAATTTCAAAACAGTCGTACTGTGCAGTGATTTTTATCCTGTTATATTTATAATTTGTAGAGTTTGAAAGAATTCTTTGTCAGTTAGAATATATTAACCACCAACCAAAATCATTCGCTCTCAAAAAATATCTTCCTAGGAAAAATTAAATAATCAATTCCACAGTGTTCCTCAACAGGTTATGTAACTGTGAAATAACTACCAAAAATAAAAAAATTGACAGAATTTTAGATCCCTTTCTTTTCCCAACTTCTCATAGCCATCATACTGTAGTGTTTGTAAAGTGTACCATTTGTAATCTGTAAAGTAACTTTCAAATAAGGGGGGGGGTAAATCTTCCAAGATATCTTTGAATGACAAATAATCAACGTAAGTAACGAACAATAAGTGACGTCCAGCATACTCATTCTTTGTTATGGGTTTTTGAACACAATAGTGCTGGTTATTAACACATACAGTAACTGACACTTAATCCAAGCCTTTGAAAGCTGCTAAATTAATGATAATTGTGAATAACTTCATATTTTAAACACAGAACTGGTTTATTTCATTTGTTTTTAGAGTTTGTATATTCTAGAAAACCTCCGATTTAACAATGCTTTCGTGCAGTTAATGAAGATTTAGCGAATAACTAGTCAAGTTGTACATTAGTTGGCAACACGGATCATTTGTTATTTTATGTTACTACAGCGCAATTAACTATTTGGTCAAAAAAAGAGGAAAACTTCATGCATATGAGATTACTGCTCAAATGAAGAAGCTTATAATCTAGCAGGCTTTTGTGTAAAGTTTCTTATATTTTGTCTTTTTTTTATCAGATTTTGTCAAATATGCCCAGATAAAATTTTAATTTAGAGAACGTTCATATAAAAACAAAAAAACATTTTATTATCTAGTCAAATTTGTTTTTTATTGAAGTCTGAAGTGAATATACGTACAAATCTGCCGTAATTTCCATACCAAGTCGAGAGTCACAAACAATTCGACATTTTTGGTTGATTTTGTATCAGTTATAAACATTTCATATCTACAGATAGCTTAAAGAAAAATATCCAAATAGACGTTGATAAATTATAACATATGAAGGAGATTCTTAGTGAATTTTTTTATGAAGTTATACGGTTGGTGAATAAACATCTTTTACAGAAGACACGTGAATCACTTGTAACATTGTATAAATCTAACTTGTATAACTTTAAATATTGTAAATAAACAAAAAGCATGATACAAGTACGCCAATAAAAGTGAGCCTTTAAACAAATGTGCCGGTTGGGATAACCCAAGCAATAAATGTTGTTTGTGAATTTTAGCCAGGGATGCAAATATCATGATGACACTGTCATGGACATTAGCTGAAGACGCCCATCTACACATCGTGGGTATATACTAGCGCAGCACATATACGTTTCTTTTCCGACAGAAATTTGGATTAGTGGCCTTGTATTCATCTCATACTACTTATGCTCAAATACATTATCCCTCTGAACCATTATAGCCTACTTCATTGTTTGTCGTCGCGATATCATAATTTACATGTTATATTACAGGTCTCGTCAATTCATCATGACACAAATACCTCTTAACGTAACTTTTAGTTTTAACTGTAGTTACCCAATAGTTTTTATTAACAATCTGTAGATTACGTAGCAGTTGAGGTTCGTTGCATTTTTAATACATGTTTATCCACTAAAAGTCAGCGACACATAAACTTTTCGTAAAACCAGCAAATTATTTTTTTGACTTTTTAAATAATTTTGTTCCCTAAAGATGTTGCGTATCAAGTTTATTAAGATATAAGAAGTAATTTAAATGATACTGGACGAATCGATAACATCAGATTGAGACGAAGTTACCATAATCACTACTATCATCTACACATTCGAACAATATTAACGTGACTATAAGGTCGCTTGGATTAAGAGCTTGACATTAATTCCTTTTTAGCATTGTCAATCCAAAAAACTGTCCTTCCTCTGGAATCTCGGGTCTATCATTATTAAAGCAATCCCGTTTTAAAGATTGTGCAATATCTCTTAGAACTAGACATTATAATGAATTGTATAGTGTATTTCATCGAGTACTTTATAAGATGACAATTATGGTCTCATTTACCAGTGGGAACTGAGATTAAAGTTATCGCATTTTAATAGGGGATGTGTGGGCATAAATTCAACAGGAGAAACGTCTACAGTCTTTTGAGTTAAGGAACACTTTGAAATCGGCAAAATATAGACTAAATGTCGGTAGCACTGTAGTGAACGAGAACACAAGTGGAGACAATGGAATGTATTTGAACACACAAATTACAGAACATCTTAGTAAAATCTGAAAACCATATAGTTAATACTTCATTTGCAAACTGTCAATCAGTTATCTCAAACTTGAGTGTTTCTTCTGCAAAATTTCAATTAAAAGTCTCAGACTTCGTTGTTCTTTCGTTTCCACACCAATTATTCTCTGTTTTTGTCCTCTTTCCTTCGATCTTTTTAACCTTCTGCCGCTAGACATTTCACTTTTGATTGATGATACATGCTACTTATATCTATCGACATCATTAGCACACACCACAGTACCAACTAACCTCAAATCATCAATCTTGATTAAGTTTCGAGTCACAACCAGATTTCATCCAGACTGCAGCTACTGATTTGTCGTTTTAGTAGTCAAAAATCGATCACATTTCTACTATGTTATCTTTTAAAGTATAATGTCTTAAATAAAATATTAAACACTCTTGCTCCATCGTTTAATTATCAGTGGGATTTGAGTTTTCCTAATATTGAATCCACTATGAAATGAAAATGTGACCGGATTATTATATTATTCAAATAAGAAGCGTTTGTATTGTACTTAAGTGTAAAAATACCAAAGATGTTATTCAGAATAGGAGCTTTAATTAAACAACATGTACGAATGCTGAGATGATTGGACGTATGTGAAAAAAAAATCCAGTAATTTTCTGTATCCATGTCACGTTCTTGTTAGCCCAATAGATCTGTATATCAGTACAGTTACTAAAAGGATATAATAACAGCTCAAATTCATTAACACTCTGCTTAGTTCAGTATTAGAACTGGATAGACTTAATAAAATTTCTTTTACGCTATCGTCTAATTTGTTCACCAAGTTTAACTACGTCATATAGAAAATTTGTCTAAGATTTTACTTATTTGAGGATTAGTTAATTCTATCATTGAGAAGTTTCGTAAGCCTATGAAATGGTAATCCATTGCAGACTCATGTAAACTAATCAGTTCAAAGATGTTACACAGATTATTCCTAATAATTAAGATAACAAAACGTAACGTACCAACAATAGGTTAAAAAAAGACTTAAAATTTACACGCGAACACAGTTTTGTATTCACTATAGATAACCCGATAAAATTTCCGATAGTTAAGTATCATTAAAATATGCATACAACTTTAAAAAAATATTTTCCATAAATATATTCACAAAAATTGCCTAGATCGATATGTAGTTATTCACAATTAATACATTTAAATAAATGGAAGACGCAGTGGGTGAGGAGTCATAAATTGTTTAAGAACTTCATCAGTAATCACAGCTCGTTTTCTCTGGTGCTCTGTAACAAACTCAGTCAACAGTGTGATAAGCTCCTTTTTGATTTCACCTGTCAATAGTTTGCCACTGGAATAATCCTGAAAATATAGAAACACAAATTTTATGACTAAAGAAAAAAACATTAACCTTCTGTAGAAATGAAACTGATAAATATGACCTAGAGAAACATTTTTTGAGGTAACTAACAAACCAACAACAATATCACTAAAACGAACCAATCTATAAAAAACTGACGTTTACTTGATGTTAGTAATGATGAATGAGATAGGGGAGAATATTTATAGCTCAGGATTGAAATTTTGAACATGTCGAAAAAGATAATGAAAGTTTCACGACTAAACCATCTAGCTCAGAAAATATAACATCTTCAAAGCCGATGAATTACTGTGACAATTTTAAAATAAATAATTCAGCTCAAATAACTACGTAAACCATCCCTTTGATCCATAGATTCCCCACATCATTGCATTATGACTGGACAATATTCTGATTAGTTCTGCTAATATTTAGTACTTAAAAAGTAGGTATACTCCACATATACTAAAAATATTAGCAACCCTAAGAATGATAATGTTGAACATTTTTGCGAGAATTAAGTGGCAATTTTTCAAATGCTCAAATATAGTCGTCTATTTTACTGAATAATTCGAATTAAGAAATAGTCAGTTTGACGATACAATGTTATTGTTTCATAGGTTAAGTATCCAAACTGAATAAGAATTAGTTATAAGATCATAATCAAATCTATGATAACAGACCTTGCTCACTCGCCGAAAAGCAGTCGTGTTTACGTCGTGTGGGAAGATGATAAGGTGCATTGCAATATTAGTGATTGTCAATATAAATTATCCATGTTAACGCAACAGAACGAATAATACTCTCTTAAAAAGTGCATAAGCATAGTTAGAGCTAGAGATAACATAACTCTGTCTAAATAAGACTAATCGAAAATATGTACAAGTTCACATACTTAGCTATAAATCAGATCTTTTATGTGAGTGATAACATATTGACAGGTTGAATTTTAGTAGATGGATTGGAGTCGTATAATGTTAAAGTAGTAAGAAGCATACACTTTTGAATACTTATTTGGCTTATAATATTGCCCCCAAATGTCCTGGTACAGCCGAGACTGGGGAGAGTCCGCTCTCCCTCTCGAAATGCTCTCACATGGCCACGCCAATATATAGCCTCTGCCAGGGAAGTCCTACTCATTTCCTTCTTGTGGCATTACTGTTGTTTATGAAATCGAGAGAACGAAAAGCGAATGTCCGGCGCTTTAACCGGGTTGGTGGACACGGCGCGTCCACCTAGGGGAGTTGGAAAACCCTGATTCCAAACCAATGGTGCACATGGGCTCCAGTATCCTGAGGGAACAAATGGCGTACGAACCAGTTGTTGGTCATCGGCTACCATGGGACTGCATCTCCTCACGATGCTCCACTGCCTTGTGGGTTAAACCTTTAGGTCAAAGGCTCCAGTTGTGGCCCCCTAAGAAAACCACCTGCATCAGTTTGGGCACCTGGGCAGTATCACAGCCCTCACACAAATCAAATGAGATTTGTGAGGCGCATATTTATCTGATGTTTCCTTGTAACAATATTTATGTGTTTAAATAAAATAAAAATAATTTGGCTTATAATAACTGCTAGGAAAAATGTTATATTTACTTTACCAAGTATAGAATGCAAAAAAGAAATGAACACATTTACAAAATGGGCATTTTACGACAGTCTTAACTTTATTTCACTAAGTCTAAAGTCGTGCAACAAGAACTTTCAAAAGAATTAATTTGCTGGCACAAACCTGACGTATTTGTTCTAATTTTTGATCGTCTTCCAAGAAAAATTTCAAATACTGGTATGATACATCAATATCACAGTTTCCACCACGTTCCCTATGTTCAGCAATCGTGTCACCACCACCAGAGTAAGCATATTTATTGATCTAAAACAAAATGGACATGCTGATGATACTTAAAAACTATGTACATAATTATTCATAGTGATATAAGCAACATGTGCTGTGGGCATCTGCTGAGATTCGAACAATTGAACATAAGTGTGCTTAAAACAGGTTATCGCTCTAGGGTACAACGATTAAAGTAGATTTCAATACTTACTTTATTTCTAATTTGCTTCGGTGTGTCTGTCAGAAAAACTGATGTGTTTGGATTGCTTGCACTCATTTTTGTTTGATTTCCTTGTAAAGCGGGGAAGAATACTGAGTATATAAGAGAAGGTTTAGGTAGTCCAAGACGCGGAGCGACGTCTCGAGTCATTCTAAAGTATGGATCTTGATCAATAGCACACGGAATTAAACAACCGACATCCTCTGGTTTTTTAAGATTTTCAAAAACAGTTGGAAACGATTGAGCAAACGAAGGAGCTGCCTGAATAGCCGGGAAAGATATTTTTCCAATACAATCACTGTCACTGAAACCAAAAATCGCACGAGCCTGATTATATGTAACCAAGCGTTGTATTTGGCAGATGGTACGATAAAAATCTGGGCATGTTCTACAAATGTGGATAAAATTTTAAACTTAGTAAATGATATATATATAGACAGATAGATAAAAGTATAAATTGCCTAGTAATCATTTGAAAATGTCCTGCGTTACTTTTTAAATAAAAATATCGGACCCGGCTATTCGATTCCCGGTTCAATTTCGAATCATCATAAAAACTGCTCTTTGACAAGAGGTTCGCACGTTTCAGGAAATAACAACAATTGTACATTTGGAAAAAACGAACAGAATGAAATATTTTCTACTAATGAAATTTTTATCATGGTTCTACACCAAAATTTTTGTTGTCCTTGTTTGACTAAAATGCTACGGTCAATGCCAGTTAAGTGGTGCGTTAAAGTTGAAAATAGTTATGAAGAATAAGTACGATTGATTTACGGTTAATGTAAAAACAAAGGTGATTACTGCGATTACGATAATCAAAAGCGATAGTGGTTATTAATTGAACGTAAATGTAGTTGCAAGAGTGGCAATACACATATTATCTACCGAAAAATTGGTAAAATGCTAAATGTTAATACTGTGATGGTAGTAAGATATTTATTCCAGACAACCAACATCTGTAGTTTTCTAGCAACCCTTCTCCTATGACTTTACTTTTATTCCGACGTACTATTAACATTAACAATTTAGATCAACAAAATGTTTTTCTTGGTCGGCTGCAACCGGGTTCTAAAACCACATGTTGGAGCTTCTAATGTTTGGATCTTATATCAAATCTAACAAAGGTTTTCCTTATCTAAAGCTTTATAAACTCGTGACATTGATGTACACCATCTTCATGATACATACGGAATTCAATTCTGGTCACTTGTATAACAGATATTATATTACTAGCTGGAGACAAATGTACATATTAAATATTTAAGTAAAAATAAGCATTGTGTGCTATCGGAATTATTTTCTTGATCAAGAATCTGTTTGAAGTTGACAATTAAGTTCATACTACAAAATATTTATTAGACATTGGGACATAAATGCAGAATCACTGAACATTTATCTGTAGTTTGCAAACAATCGTTACATATTGAGAAACGTAATAGCTGGATTTCTTATCAACAAGTATTAGTCATTACAGTAGTGAATAGAAACATGATCGATAACTGATTATCAATGATACAATCTGTTGAAGTGAAGATTGTTTACAAAACTGTGTTCGTTGGTATGAATTCTTTTTGGGATCTAACTATTCCCAACGAAACAATACAATGGTATTTGAGACAAACACATTTAGGATCAAAAGGATCTTTGGAAAACCCACGTATTTACCAAATTTATGCACGTAGAGACGTTGAATGCTCTTGACCATAGCAAAAATATATTTAGAAGTTTAAAAAAGCTAAATAAAGGCTTTAGAACTTGGACTAAATAAAAAAGAAAAGCTATGTGAGTTAGTGTGACCAATGGAACAATTAGATGGTGCAGACTAGAATCGCACTAGCAGCTATTCAAAATAGTGGATCACTGCTACATTGTCTTCAGGTATGCATTGTGTTGCTGAAACCCAGGTGTTTCAACCGGTGGTATTGTACCAGATAATCTAAGCTGAAAAATAATCCCTACATTAGTAGGATAAGATGAGATAACACTTAAACCCATCTTTCTAGTGAGACGTAGTTCATTTGACAGTAAACATTTTCGATAACCCTATCATGCATGTATAAAATGGTTTTTACAGTTTTATTAAAACTGATCTTTCCCAATTTTAGTCATGAAAGTTTATGTATATTGGATTCTCAACAATTAAACAGTGGGAAACTGTATTCGCTTGAATAAAATTAAAACAAATAAAAGCTTACCCCATGTACTCAAAATTACTGAAGATAAATGTCTTTTTGGGATCAAAACCCATGGCGATAATATCCTTTGCGTTTTCACGAGTTAAATGACTAACTTCTGCGATAGACAAGTTCTTCCACAGAAACTTCTCATCATCAGTTAACTGGATTACAAGAGGGATATCAAAAACGTCCTGAAACCATCTAGAAAAATGAGACTGTAAAATTCACAACTACTTATTTATTATGAATGGGACAACATGTCCAAGATGTAAGGCCTCTGATGATGGACCTCTTCCGGTATACAAAAAGAACGGCTTTTTTTGTTCGATGCGTAAGATAATTTGTTCAAAATCCCTTAATCATAACTTTTCAGAATTATTCAGTTTACCTATGGGAAAAAAATATCCGACGCTTCAGTAGGTGATGTAGAGGCTTGGGACAAATGTTTGTAAGCCTTTGAAGCAAATCATCGTCAATTTTTGAACATCCAAAGCGAACGATCAGCTTATCATAATCCACACCACTGCTTGAATTCGTTGACACTTCCCATGGAGTGACTATGTCATCTCCGTTACCTTCCAAAACTTCTGCCATTTGTTTACAATTCAAACTATCAGTCATATATATGGTTTGGGATGATTTTTCACACTCAATAAGGCCGGTGGATGTAAGTATCGTAGGGTGCTAAAAATAAAAAGACAAGTTTTAGAGTGTTTTTTTCCAGTGACAGAATATTTCTACAGATATTGCAAATATAATTAAGATGCTAACAAATCAGTAATTGATAAAAATATGAACGTGATCATAACTCAACAAAAACACAAAATGAAACTCTCCAGGGTACATGAGTCAAACTAGATATCAATGACTTGACAAACCAATAGAATGAATAAGGTCACCCCAGATTCATCCAACCTATTCTCGTCTGGCTAGTGCATAGAGGCACAGATTGACTGCACATATATCCCGACTACCTCAGTCGATGAAGAATTACTCCCTGGCTCAGGTTCCTACGGTTGAAAATGTTCTGTGCAATGTGCCACTTCCCGCAGATAAAGTTTAAGGGCAAGAGGACTGTTGTGTAATAAGGTCAGCTCAAATGGTTGTGGACGGAATAGAAGCTTTCGCTTAACGGGCTTCCGTGTCTAGTAGCAGTGGATCACCAATACTTCCAGGCAAGAACCTAGGTATATTGACGATAATAGAAGAAAAAAAGAAATTGAAAAATCATAATAATAGTTAGTCAGCTACAACGTAGGACCAGGCACACATATGCATAGGTTCAAGTTGTCATATCTCGTTAGCACAACAAGATGAACACCGGATTCATAGAAATAGTTAATTTAGTGGTGGTAGTATATAAAAGATAGGTTGTATGTAAGGATATAGTACAGGTAAGAAGAAAGTTATGAAGCAATTTTAATCCCAAGGTTTAAGGGAAGATAAAGAGTGTATACACCTACGCCATTGTGATCGATTCTGAGCCATGTCACCTAGAGTCTCCAACCATTGGTTACGATAGTCACGCGGACCCCAACCAGGTAGTCTGCATCTGCCAACATGGCTCCGACTAGTAGTGACTTCAAGCACTGATGCCACGTTTTGGTTTGGCGGCCCCTAACTGAATCATAATATGCTATCCTTAGTCCTTAAGAATAGGTCAAGTTTCCTCTTAAAAGACTCCTGGGAAGTCACTTGGACTAGCTCAGTCGGCAGCGAATTCCAGCATTTGACAACTTTTACGGAGTAAAAGGTGTGTTTACAGTCTGTTCTGCTATGTTCGGTCTCCAGTTTCTGGGTGTTACCCCTTAGGTTAGTGTTGTGACTACGCTTAAGATTTTTAAGGGGATGATCAGATGTTTTAAGGACACTGTAAGTTATAAGAAGGCCACCTCTAAGACGCCTATACTCTAACGGGTAAAAGTGAGGTGATTGAATGCGCTCTTGATAAGGTTTGAATTTGAGTCCCCGAACTGATTTAGTGGCTCGACGTTGGATACGTTCCAGAGTGTCCTTGTTCTTTTGGAGGGAGGAAATACTATGTTTCCGTACTCTAAATGGGGACGAATAAAACTGTCGAAGATTATGTGGGAAGTCCCACCGTCAAACTGGCCAAAAATGCGCTTCAATGTTACCAGTGCAAGGTTTGCTTGAAATGAGTTTTTGTCACAGTTAGCGTACGACTTTAAGTCGTAGGGTACCAACACTCCTAAATCTTTTTCGACTTAAGAAACTTCTAGAGAGGAGATTCCTAAGTTGTAACTATAGTCTGCAACATGACGCAGATTGACTACTTCACACTTTGAAGTGTTGAAGGTAAGTCCATTGTCGTCTGCCCGACTTTGAAGTCGAGTCATATCCTCCTGAATTGCCAGTATATCCTTCTGGTTACGTATCTCTCTCCAAAGTTTCACATCATCAGCAAAAAGCAATGAGTCAGATGAAACTTGTTGACAGGCCATCCAATATCGTGAGTATAACCAGACAAATGAAGTATTTTCGGAAAATTGGTCGTTTTGTGGAGACCCAGGGATCAAGGTCGAAGCTAAGGATAGAATACTAGGCAATTGTAGATAATCGACCGGTGAAGTTGCAAACCTTTATCGACTGAGGCGGTTACGACCTGTTAAGCATAACTAACCATCGTTTGCTTTGAAAAACGAAGATTGCTAACACAGAATTAGGTCGTTAGAGATCTAGGGATAACTAAATCATATCGTGGTATCAGTCGACGAAGTAACATAATGTTGGCCGGACTACCTGGTTTGGGCACGCGAGATAACCACAATCAATATTTAGAAACTATGGATAACGGCTTATAGTTGTCAAAAATCGCAGACGTAACTACTTTGTCGTTATATCGACCTTGAATCGCACTACCTCTCCATACAAAACCTTACCAATGTTGCTTTCAAGCATGTTCCAGATACTTAGTCGTCCCTACTAACCATATCGAACTCCATTCACATGAATCAGTAACATTTCAAAGTCCAAATTCATGGTTAAATTAAACATAAATAAGCAACTTGTTAAATGCGAATGCAATCAATGTAGTGGTCTGAAGCTAATCTGAACATACGTTTAGTACTGGGAGAGCGCACAAAGCAGCCTGGGTGAGAAAAACTAGAAAGGAGAAGACACAAGCCGATTACTTAGAATGCATATGAAGTTCAAACACGACTAATCATAAAATCAATCCCAAAAATCGATAACAACACTCACTTTGGATTAAATTAATTCGACATACAAAATTAGTAGTGCCGACACCAAATGTGCAACACGTAATTTTAGCGTTTACTTGGAAGCAAAAGTGATTAGAAACAACAACACAACAGTCAGGACCGGTAAATGCCTCTGAAGTAAGAACGCGGCGTACTGGCACAACAGATATATATATTTTGGCGATAGAAAGACGCGGTTCGAGTACAAAAAACTTATTACAAAATAGTTTTATCCATAGTTCTGCAGGTTAATCTTACGTAGAGATTGTTTCCCTTTTTTAGTACGTTTGCACTTTGCTGCCCTGCAATAAAAAAACAGACTCACGTTAGTAATGTTACTGTTACAGATGTGGTTGATAAAAACACCGGGTGACCTTGAGGGCCACCAACCTTGAGAATTAAGCGCTCAAAAAGTTTTTTGGGAATGACAGGAAGCTAGGTAGCCTATGTTAGATTTAGCAGTGATGGTCCATCAGTTAGTCCAAATTTTTTAAAATGAGCAACATATGGAGCTTTAATCACGTACTGAGTTAATGAATTCCAATAGTTGATGATTCGATTGGAAAGTCGATGGTCAGCTGAGAAGCATTTTGTTCTAAGTTTTTGAACTTTTCTTGAACGTGCTCATGTTTTCTGGTTTTTTCTAAGACGTGTCATCTAACTCCGATAGTGCGTTGAAAATAACGAAGTTACCTGCAGGTTGATAAAGACTCGTTACTTCGACATATTCAATTGTCCTCACTTGTGATCTCGTTCACTACAGTATTACATTGGACTTTGAAAACACAGATTACAGGCCTCCGTCATTCACGTCAATTAACAACCGTTAGTTTAATCTCGGATTCATCTTATTCCACAGACCATCGGTTAATTAACTTTTATGTAGTCTTAGACACAACGATCATCCAGATTCAATAGCACTAGGGTAAATAATCTCTTTCAGTCTAACATTAGTTGGCTTATAGTTCGAAATGTATGACATGTCTTTACTATCCACAGGTGTAATAATTATCTTGGAATAGTGACTAGTGTTAAATCCCTCTACAAGCCATCAACTCTTGTCTAGAGCCTTCTTATAAGCTCCCGTACTATTGTACTTACATATACGTCCACCCGAACGGGCACTTATTTCAATGTTTAAAACTACTGGAACCCTAGGTAAAACGTCCGTATGTAACACCTGGATAGCTTTTGGTCAGGTCTGCACTGTCATCATGCATTCAAAAATTAGGGAATAGCAATTCAATCTGTCTTGAATGTAAGCGAACAGCTACAAAACATTTACCACGTGAAAAGTCAACAGTCGCACAACAATTTGCCTGCCAAACAATTTAAATGGGAGAGTTTAGTCTTCAGTAGTATAAAGGTGACGCATATATTTGTAATTAAAATATGCCAACCCAGTCATATTAGATGTCGTGAATCGATGGATTCGAAGATATATTTGGGAGCTTGTCTCTCTGTTGAGAAGCGCTTGATCTAAGCTGGTTAGTACTTGGAAGGGATGCGTAGGAAGGGGTACCCCCTAACGATCTGGTTTGGAAGCTTGATCTAGTCCCTTCAGCTAGGCTGTGTTCAGTAAAACTTGATAGTGTCGAACACTTACAGAACTATTCGTTTTAGGGATTCATTTACCGCTAAAAGTTATAAATCTTTATAATGAGCAGAAAACGTGGTTTTACCTCTTTGGAAAAGCCAATTCAATCAATCTGGACAAATCCTACACTATACCTATTGACACATGTAAGCAGATGCATACCTCTGACAATCCGCCGTACTATAGTTTGAATAAGCCATCATTATTATAGAAACATATGCCAGGTGATCATGTTGTTTTTATTTCAACAAAATTTTGTCAAACCACATCAGTTATGTCTAAATCTGTCTATGAATGAGACTATCTTCCAAAGCTATTGAGACAATGAACTGCATAAATAATTAAACATTAATTGCAAAACCCCTATCCCTTATACTCACCTGACTTATATCATTGTCTTTAATCAAAGACCTCATACATACGCATGTTCATAGTTTAACCACCAGGTTTTAATTGTGCATTAATTGTGCATCTCTCCTCAGCTTTCATATATATACTTGTTCATTCTGGCAATTCTCTTGCTATTCCAATTCCGCTCTGTTTTCGCTCCTGTGCTCATCTTTTCAATCTTCCGTCTCCAGGCATTCCAATTTTGATATACGTCACATACTACTTATATCTATCAGCATAAGCAGCATACAACACGACAATAGTCTTTCAAAACAGTTCAAATGCTGGTCCACACTAAGTTCTATGAGATATTAAATATCCACAAACTTTAAAAGCCTTCATTTTCCAAAAGAGTACTTAGTTTTCTTTAATCTTTTTGTAACGGTATGGATAGGCTCATGACCACCTCTATTATTACTTATGTCCCATTTCCATGAAAAGTAAGTGCATCTATTCCTTAACAGACTGTAGAGAGGCGCCATTATCACATTTTGGTTGCCTTTTATCTGATGATTATGACCTTATACTACTCTGAGTACTTTATTGATGGCCAAAGAAGGTCCTTCTAACTGTCTTGATATCCTTTATGCTCAGTTTGCAATATAGCTACCTAGTTCGAGCTATTGGGCCGTTGCTATCGTAGCTGGGAATTTGATCTTTGTGGGTTGTCTTCCGATATATTTGATTCTCCAGCTTTCCTGTGTAGGTTCGGGTGATCGATATAACGAAGTTTGTTATTTAACTCCTTTTCCATTACGAAAGTTTTGTCACCTAAGACGTTGTTGGTCATGCTGTAGACAGCCAGGGTCAAGATCGCACGACAAAAAGTGAATTATATTTGGAAAAAATACGGATGTTTTATCTAGACATGAATTTTGAGTTGGTGATACTACTCATAAGAATAATCGAAGATCCAAGGCCAAACAATCGACCTCAGAGAACGAAACTTCACCAAAAACATTCATCGATGGAATGTCAAAGATACGGGAGCTACGTGATTATTTTTATCTTAGGCATTCACGCCGCTCGTAACTTTCCCACTATTGCTTCCGGTTCCAAGCACAGGCAAAGGAGAGCTGATGTGTTATTTCAATGAAGTAATGATTCCATTGTACTTGACGACCCGATCATTAAGGATTTCGAATACAATGAGTTCAATTGTGTTCATTTAATTCTGCTTACAGTGAACTACACCATTTCGGGAATTCCTAGTTGGTACAATAATTCGAATACTTCTAATCATCATAGTGGGACATGAGAATAGCAACCTTACTAAAAATGTCTGAATAAATCTGTTTTACTAGTTTAAGGATATTAACTCAGAAGAATTATGACGCATCATGATGAAAGCCGAGATTTCTGAGAAGTCACGTGGCTCATGACTCTCCTAACAATCAGAGCAAAGTACATGGAATATCTGGACAGGGAAGACCAGTCAAATGGCTACGGATATGGGGAGATACAACTTGATAGTGCTCGGAATCAGTTAAACCTATTGAATCCAAACTGGAAAAACAGGTAAGATCCGGGAGAGATACTGCTGTACTCTGGTCACGAAGAACAAAGTGCCCCATACACTCAGTCAGTTGCTCTAATGCTGTCCAAAGAAACACGAAGTACATTTATCGGGTGGCGATCTCATGGACTGAGGATTCTCAAAGCATCATTCCAAACAAGGAATGTGGGAATTACAATGAATATCATCCAATGTTAAGCACCCACCAATGATAGATGACACATGGACTTTCAGAAAGAAATGAGAATGTTGAGAGTTTTCAGATTAATGTGCATTTAACAAAATGGTTATAAGTGTCACCACATTCTCACACAAAGGAATACATAAAGTTATATGAGTCTCATCGGATTACACTACAGAAAAACGGATTGATCATATATACATCAATAAAATGTTCAGAATATCCAAATGACAGAGAAACAGATGGGTAGAACACAGTCAGTCAGTCAGTCACAACGTAGAACTTCGTACGTACGTACATCAGTTCGAGTTGCCATACCACATTGCACAGAGATGCAGTTGTCGATTCAAATCCCATAGTGGTAGAAGTAGTAGGAACACCGAAGCAGAAAACACAAACCTTCCTATAGCTATCAATCCATCATCGATCGAAGAAATCAGGATAGCCATCACACAAATGAATAATAAGAAAGCAGCAGGACCTGACAATGAGAAGATTTGGGAGGAAGAACAACTGCTAACTGACTGGAAAGAAAGAATACCTCATCAAGATACCAAAGAAAAGAGATCTGAGCAGATGTGAGGACTACAGAGACATCATCACTATATCAGGAGACGTTTTCAACAAAGTGTTGCTGAACTGGATGAAAGACGCAGTAGATGCACGACTTCAAGATCAACAGGCTGGATTTCGTATGGATTGGTTGTACACAGACCAAATCGACACACTACGGATCATCGTTGAAGAATTAATTGAATGGAACTCGTCACTATATGTCAACATCCTTCACTATGAGAAAGCATTTTATAGTGTGGATAGGAGAACTTTATGGAAACTTATTCGACACTATGGAGTTCTATGATAATTAGGAGTATTTGAATTGTAGTATGAACTAGTAATTCCAGGAATAACGCAATTTAATCAAGAAGTATCAGATGAGCCCGAACGAATGTATTGTATTTGGAATTCAAAATTACAACAGTCATCAATACTAAGAAGTCATTGATTTATTTAAACATCACATCCGCCACAGCTCGAATTGAATTGTAGGTGTATCTGTCCGATGGTGCATTGAATGTACACTCTGTATTATCTAGAATGCACTCATTAGTATTAGAATTAACAACGGAAATTGGAACAGACTCACCTGGGTTCTAGAATTGCATACAATCAGCATGTCGGTTGTGTAGTGAAACCACTGATATTTAGAATTTGCATCATATACTTTTCAACAATATCCTCCCCCACGAAATAATGTTGGGTCCTTATGTCGCAATGTTTTAGCCAATATGACATTTCCAATTTGCAGTATCTTCTCAAATCTCACGCATCGACTACTGTATACGAGTATTTGGGAATAAACACTGATATATAATTCGAGGTATTCCATCATGTGACTTTGACTTGAATAAAAATCATGATACATATTCTTTTTGTTATTCATATTAGAATACACAGATGGATATACATTGATATATGTAATTAACACACGTGATTCAATTAGGCTTGATTTACCTGCGAAACAATCGGATAGAAAATATTCATCTGCCTCATATTCATTAGGATAATCTTGGACTTGATTTGGATTCTCTGTCTGTGCAAACTTCACTTCTGGGCAAACTGGTTCTCTGGTTGCTTCGGAAAATTTTGCTATCCCCTCTGTATCATTATACCCCTGACTAGGGATTCTATTCAACATGCATTGTTCGTGAGAGTATCCAACATATGACACAATAACATCAGAAATATGACTAGAATTCAACTCATAAGAAACATATTTTTCACATTCATGAGGAATATCATTAGAGATAAATTCATTATGAGGACCACTGACACTTGATATGATATCAGAATTCGATTCTTCTGAAATATTTTCCTCAAATTGATTAAGAGTTTCATTAGGTAATGGATCATCAGGGAATTCAACATCTACCATGACTGAATTTGGTTTTTGATCATGATTTGACTTATTTAACATTCTATTCTCAGAGTTGTAAGAAATTACATCAGAAGTATGTGAATTATTACGACAAACCATATCTGGTACAATAACATGAGAAATCTGATAAGTTGATTGGTTGAGAATTTTCGCCTCCCAATGACTCTGGGTTTCATTCAACTCTGGACTGTTATATAACGTTATACCTCTTCTAGATAAAGATAACTGATCATTAGAAGCATCCATCTTAGCATTACTTTCAGCGAAATGAACCATGGTATTACAAACTGACTGAATATGTCCAGTTATACCACATTTAAAGCATTTAGAATTACGAAATATACATGAATTACATGGGTGAAACTTGCCGCAGAACATGCATTTACTAAACTTGTGCTCATCATCATGGACTGTTTCACAACTCAATGAAGTATTATCTGAATAAACTTGATTACGCATCGAACTACGACGACTGTTTGAATAAGTGGAATTCCTGATGTTCTGACGAGTCATTTTATCGGATTTTCCTTTCTTACCGCATTCGGAATTTGTATACTTTACATGATCCAACAGTAGTTGCTTGAGAGTTGCATACGGGAGTGAAATCGGTTTGTCTGGAAGTGCCAAAATCTTTATAAGGCTGTATGCTTCTTTCCCGATGAATGTGAGGAAATGGGCCACAATATTAAAATCATCATCATCTTCTTTGGTCATAGCCCAGATTTCGAACCTTTCCATGTACTCCTCAAAAGCATTAAAATCTGAATTTATATTTAACCGTTCCATCACAGGCTCAGTCGCGACGCCAATATGATAATTAGGAGTATTTGAATTGTAGTATGAACTAGTAATTCCAGGAATAACGCAATTTAATCAAGAAGTATCAGATGAGCCCGAACGAATGTATTGTATTTGGAATTCAAAATTACAACAGTCATCAATACTAAGAAGTCATTGATTTATTTAAACATCACAAGTTCCTCAGAAGATTGTCAACATTATCCAGAACTCATACGATGGACTGCAGCGCAAAGTGAGGCATAAAGGACAGCTGACAGATGCATTTCCAATAAGGACCGGAGTCAAACAAGACTGTTCCTTGACCTTATTTCTTTTTCAGTAATTGTCGAACATTTAAGCAGTATGTAACAATGGTTGCTGATTCTTTTCCGCGTTTCATCTATCTACTTGACTGCTAACCTTCTGAATACAACATTTAGGTGTTTGGCAGCAGTATCGTCCAAATCTTTTGTATCAATTCATCTTTAAGATATTACATTGACCAGTGTATAGTTCTGTCGTGACGGATGAACTTTACCCTGGTAATATGAATAAGGCTTGGAATACAGACTAGAAGAGTTTGTGAATAGATTTGCAGATTGAATAAACGAATTAAAGCTTACATAGCTTCTATCAATTTAGACAAACACCAAACTGTCAAATAGGCATTCATTGCACCTGTTCAAATAAAAATAATCAATCTATAATAAAATCAAATTGATAAAAGCTGATCTTCTAAATCATTCAACTTATCAGAGGTCAACTAGATAATCAGGATATTAAGATAATTTCAACACATCTATTTAATAAATGATACCACGTTATGATAATGTATGAGTATTTACAAGGGTCTGTAATACAAAAGGTTATTTATTGATCATAACATATATCAGTAATCTTTACTGTAATCAAATATGGTTTATATAAATTGCAATAGACATTTCGAAATTATACTCGACCTTTTCAAATTAAATTTAATGTAAAATAGTAATTCCTTAAAATGATATACATTTGTAGATACTATTCACATATATTTGCAATCGTGTTAATAGTGCTTAAATATAGATAGTGTCCTTAAACTGAGAATGCACTCAATGGTGATCAAGATGTAAATTGATCGAATTAGTTGACTGACAGTTACTGTGACTTAAAACAAAGTCAATGAAATGTTGATATATATTAAAAAGAAAAAAAAGAAATCTATGCGATTATATGAAAATGCAACAGAAATTAATTTATGAAGTCGTTGGAAATGATAACAACAACAATAATAACAGTCACACAAATGATGAGAATAATCAAGTTCAATTAAATTTATTAAATTGTTCTGATGAAATTACTGATGTATTGAACCCATCAGAATGTACACAAAAAGATATGTCTAATAAAAACCAAACACAGCGTAAAACAAATCGACCTTTAAAGAGCGACGAAGAAATTAGAAGATTTTTTATATCTAACCAATCATGGATTGTTATTTTGTTAATTCTAATTATCATGATTGTCATAGCATCATTATCTCTTTGGTTTGGAGTTGTATTTTATGCGTCCAGGTTATCTAATGTAGATATTGTCAAAGTACCCAGCGGTAGTCAAGGCAAGTTAAAAAATTTCTATGAGATATAAAGAATTTTTCAATTGCCTAATAATTCATTCCATTGATGTTCATTTCGTAGTTATATGACGAATTGATCTGACATGCTAAAATTTCAGCGTTTGGATTTTATTAGTTGAGATCATGAATCAATTAGAGCTAGACCACCATGGAAAACCTGAAAGCACTAGAGGCCGTTTCGTCCTATTATGGGACTCCTCAGCAGTGCGCAACCACGATCCCACCTCTCTAGATTTGAACCCAGGACCTATCAGTTTCGCGCGTGAACGCTCAACCTCTAGACCACTGGGCCGACATCCAACGGTGTTAACGTCTAGCTTCAACCGATTCACGAAATTAAGCGACACATTCACCAATGTTTTCAGTGAGTTATTATCTCACAACAGATCTGGTTAAACTCCACTGGTCACTAGATTTTAGCCATAAGTAACTTCTAAAATAAATAATATTGCAGAATTTCTACATAAGTACTGATCATGTTATGCTTACTGAATATTAATAACTAACGATTTCAGGACAAACATAATAAGCATTCCAGATACAACTAGGGGATAGTCAACATAGTTGTCTCATGTTTATTTTTATTTGATTTACTTTGAATGTAATGGTCTTTCTAGGTAAATGAACAGAAGAAATAATTAAAAAAACTATATAATAGTAAAATGAATTAAATTTACATTCCACTTATTTTCTGGTATTACCAGAGATTGGGACATAATGCTTGATAATATGAAATGAATGTTTAACTTAATCAAAAAGCTCATCTTTTGAAATTGCTTTTATTCATTTCTGAGGAAAAAAATGTGTTATTTTTTAAAATATGACTTCAGTAAATGACCTAGACAAAAGAGATAATGGTTTAGTAAAACATTACAACATTACATTACAGATATAATAATTAATATAACAACAACAATAACGAAAGAAGATCAAATCAAACTACAATTAAGATAAATTTTGTTTTATTAAAACAAAAACAAGTTTCTAGTATTTTAAAAAAGACATGGAAATAAATTATAATTTAATTGATATCGATATCTGATTTGTGTTATACTTAATAATTTCTTAAACTCATGGGTTGCCTGATCACTTTGACGAAATATATCTGACAGAAATGTAGGTACGAGAACTATATCGAAGTTCTTTTGCAGACTATCTAATTACATTTTGAAATATTCAACTACGGCAGCATTGTAGACATTATAACTCTTTGAAACTTAATCTACAATTTCTAGGTTATTAATATTAGATTAGTGATCAATCGTTCTAAGCTTTAATGAAGTTATAAAATATATCAAGAAATAGTCCTAGTACGACTAAATAAAAATGTTTAGATTCAGTTATCACGAAAGGCCTGTGGGAATGAATTTTAAATGGAATGAGGTTCAGACTTATCAGTTGAGAGTTGAGTGTATAAAGTTCCAAGTATACGATCTACACATATTTTTCTATATTGATCATAAATTTGAGTTTAACCATTTTCTAATACATTTTTACTCATGAGTCATAAGGCTATCAGACTCAGTAGCTGAGTGGATAACGCGATGGTGTTTAAAGCGAAAGGTATTGGGTTCGAGTCTCAGAGTGAACATCAACTCTGAGATGCAGGTACGTCCAGCTGACGAGTCCCAAATAGAATGAAATGCGCGTCCTAGATTCCACTGCTAGCCACTATCCGTCTTTGCTTACAATGCTTGTGAGTTAAGGTTATATCGAGGCAATACGCACAGTATGCACATATGCCAATTAGAGACTGACCAGTTACAGTCCTAAACATCATTGGGAAGATTCGAACAAACAACACTAAGTGAATTCATAAGTCATATTGTTGCATAAAAGCGTTTAGAAATTTGAATATTTCATAAGTAGTCATATTTGAATGTGGTAGTAGTTGACGGATAAGAAAGTTTTGATTAAAGATCTAAATATCATTAATCGTGTTTTGGTTTTCATTGATTCGAAATGTGTTTAACATATAAGAGTTTTTACTTGAATGTAGATTTTTACTTTGAATTAAATAAGAGTTCTAAAGAAAAATAACCTTCATTATTCAGTTAAAACAGTGGTAGCTGAACTGAAGCTTGATAAAAATCGAAGGTTGATTGAAATCTTAATTTTAACAGTCTTTTAACTACTCATAGTAGTTTTATGATAGTACTTAAGTTCATATTGTTCTTTAAATGATATACACATTTTCAATGTGTTTCTTTCTGACAAGACATCCTATCTTTCGGTTACAGAATGTAGAAAACATGTACAACGATGCAGTCATTGTTAACGTTTATTCATATTTTCGAAGTATTTCACATATTTAACTGGCTATTCATTGTTGATAGGTAATTAGACCATTATTTTTTTACGAAGTCGACATGTATAAGAGATTTTTACAAATTATTCTAAAATCGCTGGTAAAATGTTCGATGCAGCAGGTTGATTCAGACACAATACCTTTTGAAGTTGGATTAACGAAAAAATAAAAGTCCACTTTCAGATTCGCTATTTTTTTCAAGCTGACAACATCAAACTAATTCGTGTATTTCTTTGTACATTTGATGATAAGGGTTGAATTTATGTTCGCATTAAATATTTTCTATCAGATCAATTTTAAAGTTGACTAATATATATATTTAGTATTTAATTGAGATCGCGAATCATTAATGTCAGACCACCATTGAATATCTGGAAGCAATGGACGACCGTTTCGTCTTAGTATGGGACTCCTCACCAGTGCGCATGCACGACCTCGCATGCGGGATTTGAAACCAGAACCTTCGGTCTAAATTGATTCATGATCTTAGTCGAATAATTAACAATCTCCACAACCCCATACTGATATATTTACTAGTCAAATATTTACAAATATTTACAAAATGTTTTATTTTCTGCATACTTGAATGACTATGAATTTTCGGATGAGTTGTTATTATTAACACCGAATAACTTGAGATGTAAAAGTGATTGAATTGATGGTGTTTAACACGTTATGTTTTACAGACTGAGTTTACTATAAAAGATGATTGAACGCAATATATACTCTAATGAACGCTACTACATTTCCATGCAATATACAGCCTTACTTTATAGAGACTTTTAAGTGTAAAATTTAACCAATTGTTAATGATGATTAGAAGTGTGAATTTTAGTTCAAGTGAACTCTGACTGAATTTCAATGACATACTGATTATACAATGCTACTAAATGATTATTTATGTACAACATTCAAAAGTCTTCTGTTTGAAACACTCAGCTTACGACTATAGATTCTGATATTTTCGAACACTAACATATTCAGCTTTATTTTGAATAAAACATTTTTATTTTATTTAAACACATAAATATTGGTACAAGGAAGCACCAGATACATATGCACCACATAAATATCATTTGATTTGTGTGAGGGCTGTGATACTGCTCAGGTGCCCAGACTGAAGCAGGTGGTTTTCTTAAGAGGCCACACCCGGAGCCTTTGACCTGAATTTCTGATCCACAAGGCAGTGGCGCATCGTGAGGAGATGCAGTCTCATGGTAGCCGGTGACCAACGATTGGTTCATACGCCATTTGTTCCCTCAGGACAATGGAGCCTATGTGCACCATTGGTTTGGAATCAGGGTTTTCCAACTCCCCTAGGTGGACGCGCCGTGTCCACAAACCCTGTTAAAGCGCCGGACACTCGCTTTTCGTCCTCTCAACTTCGTAGACATCACCCCCGCCACGAGAAGGCAGTGAGTATGATTTCCCTGGCAGAGGCTATATACGCGTGGCCATGTGAGAGCATTTCGAGAGGGAGAGTGGACTCTCCCCACTCTCGGACGTACCAGGGTATTTGGGGGCCCCGAATGCTATGATTAGTATCCTAATGAATGGTTCTAATGATTGAATGTTCTTCATAAATCACACGTCTTTTCTTATTCACAACTATATAATTTATTCTGTTACGCTTTATTATTGCATTAAAGTGATATCTTCCAAGACAAATGAAACGATCAATAAAATATGTTTGGAACCAATTGAATCAGGTCCATGCAGAGCTTCCATCGAAATGTTCGCTTTTAGTGTAGACCAATGGAGGTGTATCAAATTCCTTTATGGTGGTTGCCAGGGAAATTCTAACCAGTTCGCTAGCGTAGAAGAGTGTGAAGCTGCGTGCTTTTAAGTGAATTATCATTTCAGCAAATATGTGTTTCAAGCTATATAATTCATTGTTTGATTTCCTTTAGCTTTGTATATTACAATAAATATTTTATCACGATACACTGATTATTTCGATTTATAAAGTTTATTTATAATCTGTACAGAGTCTTGTAAAAAGAAATCAGCTAAAGATTTAAAAATACATTATCCAACAGGGAGGCGACCTGCTTAAATATCTGTTCCTGCTATTTAGATATTTCAACAAGTTTTCTAATTTTTGTGCGTTTCTGAAAAGTGCAAATTTTCGTTGTAGAAGTTACAAAGGCCGAATCAGAGATATCGTGGTTGTTGGTAATATGCAGCGAAAAGAATGTACATTATTTAGATGTCGATTGACTGGACTGCTAACTTCTAACTGGCGATCACTCAATATTTATCGCCAGGATCGATCAAGAAGTAAGAAACGGAAACTCGTTGAAATACATTTTTCTGAGAATTCTATATTGTACCCAAAATATAATATTGAACAGAGCTAATGATAATAATAATAAAGTTCGCTCAAATATGTCTTGTTAAGTTAAAAGATGTGATTACTTTTAATCGCCTAACTACATATTGTGGATAATGTTCAAATAGCGATTTCAGTAAAATCGAAATATTTATGTAACCTAATATTGTTATTTATTTCTATAAATTCGTATTCTTATCCACATACAAAAACTTCCTCAAGCGACGTGTTTTTAATTCTTCCCATTGCAAAAGACACTTTTACCGATTGATTTGCTAGTCTTAATAATTTTTGTCTTACATTTAAGGTCACTGTTAGAGGATTCCCATCCAGTAGCTACATAATAGCTAAGTTTAATTTTGCTTAGTCGTTAATATGTCTCGTCATTTAGATCATATGAGACTTGAAAGAAAATACAGAGTAATCTCACTCCAAATATTCAAAAAATCGAAGATAAGACTAATTCATCATTTAGCGAAGGCGTGTCAGAATTATGATCACTGATTCAATAATCTTTTTTAGATTATACTCACGGATTTAATCTTATATTTCCGGATATAAAATAGAATTATTTATAATATTAATTAAGAACATAACTAATGTTGACTGAGAACTCTTTTCTGTATATTGTAAATGTTTTGAGAATAATGTGTTAAACTAAATCTACAGATACGTAAATCAGTAAATAAATATACAAAAGTAAAAAGCACTTTACGTGGACGATAACTTCACGTAAGTCTTTCACTTTGAGATATCCAATGAACAAATATAATATTATTTTCATTATCTTAGGATGGAGAAATGCCATTTAAATTTAAATAAAAAGTAATTTAAGTAGGTCTACTTCTTCTTTTGTTTAGCAGTTACGATAATCATAGGTACTCAAAGGGAATGAATTTTATGTTGTATCGGTTTAGGACTAATGTGTCAGAGGTCACAAAATTTTGTCTCCAATTTATCTGTTACATCGAAAGAGCAGGAAATCAACCATGTGTAGAATCAAGTAATGATTGAGAAATACTTTGTTTTGTATAATGGCTATTCTCATTGAGAATGAAAAAAACTATTATTACGCCTCATTAAAGTGTCAATCATAAAAGTATTTAAGTAATCAAAAGTAAATCTAGAAGAAAAAAGAGGTTGTGAAGGTGACAATTTTCGAGACGAAATTTCAGGAGTTCTAGTGAGAAGCCGTGACGAGTAGAGATAATTCGTGTCATGTTTGAGGAACTTATCTACTGAAAAGATGGAAGATGGTTACACAAAGTCGTTGATTAATTAAAGTTAGACATTACCAACGTTGGATGCCGAGTCACTGGTCTAGGGAACGAGTGTTGTTTATTTTAGACGATTGGTTAATTGTCCTTAGATGAAAAACTGGAGTGAAATCTACAAAATACGTATTCAATTTTGATAAAATGTAACGTAAGTTTGCAGTGTATTTATAATTCTTTCAAGATATTAATCTGACATATAAGGCCGAATAAATCCTCTGAATCCAGCTCAGGAGACATATGTAACTTAAGCAACATTGACAATCAGTCAAGGACGTGCGGCCTGGATCCTACCATGAGTCACAATATAGACTCGTATCATAATGGATATATTGCAGTAATTTGCATAGGTTTTACATATACCCAATAAGACTAATCAAATTTCCGCCAAAATATCTTTCAACAACGAGATGATAATTTCAAACTATTAAACTAGTAATAGTCCGTTGACAAGGAAACGATAAAATAAAACAAATGTTCTCATTTCAAATAAAGTACATTGACCATGAAAAATCCTTTTATCAAATCTTTAATAAAATCAAATTTATAACAGTTAATCATAGTTTTATTTACTTCATTAGTTTTACACAAAGAATCAAAAGTAATTTACTAAAGTTATCAGCACTTTCATCTTTCTCTTATTAAAATGAAAACAAAACAAACAATAAAGTTATATGATATAAGTTGAAAAAACAAATCGATTAAGAATTTAATTGACTTATTAGAAAATGAAAGGTATTATGGAAATGGACAAAAGATATGTCGGAAACAAAATAGTTGAACAGCGTGGGGCGATGGAAAAAAAAAACATGACAAAGGTAAAATTAAGTATGATAAACTGTAAATAGAAAGTAGCACAAATTTTTTAAAAATGTAGATAATTATTGTACTAAGGAGAAGGAAGAGAAGAAGAAGAAAGAGAGAAGGAGATTACATGAAGTTCCCCACAGCCATCATATAATAAATGAGTAAAGTATATAATTTAGAAATTCATATAAAACATATCACAAATGTAAAAAAAATTATTCTTCACAAAAACCAATAACATGTGATTCAATCATGTTCCATTCAATGATGTTTTATTCTGACTGATATTATTATTGGTAATATCATTCTCAATATTCATACTGTTAATATTATTGTCATGAACAATACCACTGTAATCTTCATTATTAATATTGTTACTGCCTCCTGGACGTAAATGTGATGGAGCGAGAAATTCACCATAAAGTCGTAGAAGATGATGTAATGCTAATGCTATTTGACTACTTCCACCGGTCACCAGAATACAATCAACAATATGAGGATATAATTCAATTATACTAGACCAGATTGAATCATCCACTGTATATTTTGAGCATATTAGACATGTATTGAATCATTTATCAGGATAATATGAACGAGGATGGAAACATAAAGAAAAAAATTATCGCATAAATATGGAAACAGTTTAAATAATTAAGGCGTAAACTTATTCATTTAAACTAATTATTAGGATGTATGTATACTATCTCACAGATTTCATTACTTCTAATGCTCGTAATATCGGCAAAATTGACATTCTCTTCTGTGAATAGCTAGTTTAAGTCATACAACTAATGCTATTAGTAACTTTCCGTTAGATAAGAAAAACAAAGAAATCAAAGCTTCTAATCATATGTAAACAACATTAATTACAAAGAATGAATGTGCTTTAAAGTATAATTTGTGACTTAAGTAATGAGTTTTTTGAGCTATGTAATGAGAATGAAAATATTAAGTAACCTGGCAGAATACCTAATAATCAAAGTAACATTAAAATATATTTTGTAAATGGCCATTGCAAATTTGTTGTTTAGGATCACTGAAGACTCCTAATTATATTAAAAGTCATATATCCTAATATTTATAAACAGCAATGTATCAGATCATTCTATCAATCGTACTGATGATTATATACATTTCTATAGAGGTTGTTAATTCACCTCGTATCATTTTATTTACAAATGTGTGGCTTTTAGTAATAATCATAATCTTATATTCGAAAATTCTTGTGATATGTCATTATGTGAGTGGAAACTGAGGAATGAAGAGTGATAAAACGAAGTACTCGATTAGAATACTTGACTGTGTATAACTAATACTCCAAGACTTTGTAAATCGAAGTTAAGGTTTTGATTTAGGGGAATTTGTATTTATGGCGATGATTGTATACAATAGGCACATCGATGCAATCTCTAAATTTTCAATCCTAAAATCAATCTTAACATGGTGGCATTATATTCTGTGGACAAATTAGTCAGAAAGAGCTTCTTAAGCTTTTGTGGAAAACCCATCTATCCATATGTACACAGAACATTTTCGCATTACAGTAGTGCGAAGAATAAGAGAATACACTGATTTATTAAAGTATTAACTTAGAAATGACTAAATATTTTGCAGCTGTCCTGATTACATAACGGTGTTTGCAAAACTAATAGAGTTAAGAGATAAAGATTACGGAAATGATTACTCTGAAAGTAAACACAATTAGACGATAATGAAACAGCCTTAAAGGTATCACTAAAGTGATATCAATTTAAAACTACATACCTAATGAACCTTCCTATTGACGTGTCACATTTTAAAATGTTTTTCTATATGTATTGGCCTTGAAGTCTGTCAGTAGTAAATACAATGCTTTAAACCAAATTTTCGTATACAAAAAAGTTTAATGGGTTTATTTACAAAGTTTTTTAGTTTATATAACAAAGGTTTTAGTGTATGAAGTGGAAATAACCCAAAAACATAAATTTTATACTTACCGTCATGTTGTATTGGAACAGATTGAAGTGAAGTTAACATAACTGTCAACGCTTTGAATACGTAGCTAATTTCTAACAAACGAGCACTGTGTATGGAGAGAAAAACCAGATAACTTTGGTGTGTACTTATATAATATGATTGGAGAGCATGAGAAAAAAATCTGTATATCAAATTCACTATTTAAGTGAAGAGGCAATAAAGATTTTATAAATCTCTCCCAAGTATGTTACCCGTTTTACGTTTCCTGGTATTTTTTTTCTAGCTATAGAAGCCATAAATTACCCATTATTTTAACTTCTCTGAGAAAATGGAATCCTGCTAAGAGAAACTAGAACAAACTGATTCAAATATTCGATTATATTTCTTCTTCAACATCTTATTGTGTGAACAATCGCCGAAGCTCAACAACAATAACTGACCATTTCACATATTTTTGTGACAGATTTCACAGGAGTATGTGCCACTACCAAGATATGGGATCTAGCAATGACATAAAAATTTATTTTTAACACCATATAGAATCACTGTCTTACATTAATACTAGCTCATATTCCCAACTTAACCTATTCGGTAATTGAAGGCTCTTAATAGAACTTAGCGATACTTAGTTTAAAAAGTGAGACTACTAGTGAGCACTAATTTATTTATAATACCAGTTATTTGATATTCGTTTGCTTTTAATGGTTTTTCACTGGTGTCAGTCCACAGAAAGAGATATGGTAGCATATGTGATAAATAGAATGAGTATTATGGTATATGAGAAACTATTTACAAAAATAAGCAAAATCTTACATATCAGCTTACTGTTTAACTGCTGAAAATATCTCTGCCCTGGTAGGAAAATTTCGAATGATACTCAAAAACCAAATATACATTCATATGAATAACTTAAGATCACACTTATTTTCACAAAATGTTATAAATACTAAAGCACCTGAGTTTCAAACGTTACATATATACTTGAATTTTTATTCCTGTTTGACTATCTCTCAATAAACTGGCGTGACTTTAAAAATATTTTGATAAGTAAATAAAAATCCCACAACAAATATTAATGTAATATATGCTGGAGAAGAAAATACATCCGGTTACAAGTCTTTTCATTTAGATAATAACACAAAAAGTGCTCAGACATGAAAACAATTCATAACATACTTTTTAGGAAAAAATTCTGAAGAGTGAAGTTATGGTGAAGTTTTTATTTAAAGAAACCATTTGAAAAATTAAGTATCCGTGTAACGATGATTCAGGAAGAATCAAATAAAACAGCGAAAAGATTGTGCACCATTGGTCTAATAACCAGTACGACTCCATGAATTCATGTAGTATCGTTTCAGTTATCTTGACGCTGAGAGACAAACATCTTGAATTCAGACCACTGTGTAAGAATATAATGGATGGGATCCTCAACAACAGTTAACTCGCGGTTTTTATCGTCCTATTATCACTGAATAACTTAAGTTAGAAATGTGCGCCAATGTATGATAAACTATAGAATCGTATTTGTTTTAAGTACTTAATGTTGACTCTGGATGGAATCACCGTTGCTCATTCATAAGTAATTAGTAGTGAAAATCAACAAGCCGGAAAGATGTTATGTATATGTTAGCTACCTTAAAAATACGAATGAGTAAAATGAATCGCAAGATAGAACTGCGTAAATCACAGGAAACTAACTGAAAAAGAACCGATGATCACAGCAGACAGTTTAAATAATTGTTAGAAACGTAACAAAAATCATAATAGTTAAAAGAATAGACACACAAAGTGTATAAAAAACGTAAATAGGATCTATGTGTATTTTCATGCTGGAAAGTAATAGTTCAGTGGTTATATAAAGGTAATTAAGTGATTAATATTGATAACCTGCTTAGTAGGAATGGATACACAACAAAATTCATCCACAAACACATAAAAGTGATGAAAGACAGAATAAAGGTACCTAACATTCCGAAGAAAGTACTGTCCTTAAAATTAGAATTCTTAAATGATGCTAACGAGAAAAATGTGACTCAAAGGTTAGGAAGGTAAGTACAGAAAAGATTTAATGAAGCCAGACAGAATGCAGTTCTCCACGTCCGGCTTCTTTCCCTAATTTCCTCTCCAGCTGGAACCTGTTTTATCCTCTCTCATAAAAAGCTGTTGATGATGGTATCCGGCCAGTGAATGTTGAGTATTTTGCGTAGATAACTGTTTAGAAATACTGGTACCTTTCTGATGATGGTTGTAGTAGTTCTTCAAGTTTCAGCTCCGTACAGTAGGACTGTCTTGACGTTCGTATTGAAGATTCTCACTTTGATATTGGTTGAGGGTTTTTTTGAGTTCCATATGTTATTCAATTGTAGGAGTGCGGTCTTAGCTTTGCCAATACTCGCCTGAAGCATCATAATTCTTCCTCCAACTCCCAGGACAAAGTTTAAATGGTTTAATTCGTTTAATCTGGTTGGCGTTTTTCAGCAAGGTTTTTTTCTATGGGATGGGGTTGTCGACCTCATGCCCAACCCTCCTCCTTTACCCGGGCTTGGAACTGGCAGTAACTCTAGAAGAGCTACAGGTGGAGTTGCCGTTTTCTACAACCACCGCGTAATAAGAACTGTTAATAAAGACAGATCGCCTGGATTCGCCTCGTCCATATGTGCTTACCAATTCTGCTGCTCCTTTGGAGCCGATCATATAAGGCGCACAATTTGGCAAGTCGATGATTACATAGTAGAACATCACCCGTCTTGGTAGAACAAAGGATCAAAAATAGTGGTTAAAAGTTTTATTCTCTCTTACTTGGTGGACACAGGTCATCAAGCTTAAGTGAATAAAGCTTTCAAGGTTATCCACCATATTCCACCAAATTCGCCACACAGTTTACAAGTTCATTTTTATCACATTGCTGAAATCATAGAAATCAATGTTCACAAACCAAACCTTTGAATCCAAAAGAGGTTTTCACAACCACACTCGCTACCATGGCCATTGGTACAGAAGTGAGTTAGTAGCAGAACTATGATAAACTATTTTGGAATTTCTTCCACCTTTTGTATTTTACTCGTTCTCAACATTCGTCCCTACCAAAATACTGACGTTTCATCAAAATATTTTATTAGTTCCTTCTATCTTATATATTATTCAACGTAGGAACTGCTTGATTTTCGAATAATTACTTCGATTGCAGTAATCCTCTTTCTTCTTATTGTTCAATGTTATTTTATAATCATTACGTAACGCAACTACTCGTTGAGTATTATTCCACTGTTGTAAATTATATACATATATATATAAATTTCTTCGCTTAATCCGTTCTTTTTTACCACATGTCAAAATGAGAATACTCACTAAATTAATGAATAAGTAAATGGGTAATCCTTCAACATGAGAAAATAAACAAATATGTGAAAATCAATAAGATTATGTAAAAGATAAGTATCAGAAGACGACACAAAAACGAAGATAAAAAAAATTGAGGACAGGATTGAAAATGATTAAGATTATTAGATGGACCATCAATCACCATGGCAGGGAAAGGCTAATCACACTTTCCTCCTGTATACACAGGTCAGGTCCGAAACGTCTGATAGTGATTGCTTCTGCCAAACAGAAGATAAGCCTTAATGTACAGTTGAGTAATATAAAATAATAAAAGAAGTGAATAAATAATACATTAGAATCGAAACTCACCGAGGTAGCGGACATTTTCCGATCAATCGAGACGACTGATAAAATTTAATCAATATTGAACGACATCGTTGAAGGATACTACGTACAGCTGCTTTACTAACCATAAGTGAAAAATCTGTACTTGACGGATTCATTTTATAGCCGTTGGTATTTTCAACATGACCGTTTTCTAGCAACAGTGGTGTCGATATGGTTGAGGATAACCTTACGTCTAAAGGAGTTGAAAAGGCATGTAACAATAATTTCCCAAAACATAAACGGGCAAAATTCTCACGAAACGTTAACCGTCTCAAACGATCAAGATCGATGTCCCACCCCAAAGATTCGTTCATAAGTGCTTCTTGAGGTAGTGAGGTAACTAAACTCATTTGACGAACAGCTAGACCCAGTCCTTTAGAAAAATTTGTTCCATTGTGAGATACGCTAGAATGGCGATTCACAGAGGATGGCTGATTGTTTGAATGATCGATGGAATTACGGTGATATGATCCATTTGCATTAAAATCTTCATTGTTGTTATTACTAGTATTAACATCTACATCAGTTGTTACACTGATCGGAATAGCCGACTGTACAGAACCCAGGCTAAGTAAATTGATTAGACGACTGATGAAAAATTCTGGCAATTGGGCAGGATTCGATAGGAATAAATCGCTGATCAAATCTACGAACTAGATTTGTTTATTGATTTTTAACAGCCAAAAATAACGGGAAGAGATTGAATAACAAAAAGTGAAGAGATATTACTTAAAAATATAAAATACTAGTAGATAAATTTGATACATGATGGTATACCACGCATTGTAAAATTATTGTTCTCAACTGACTTGAAAATTCAAGTTTGTTTACCATGTGAATACGCTAAGTGAAGCCTGAGACGAAATGACAAATAATCAGCAATGCGAAACAAGTTCTGATTAGTCAAAGTGCTAGTTACATATTTATGAAACAGACGTGGTTTATAAAGGAATACTCTAAACATAACCAATTTATTCAGGGATATTCAAAACCAAACTGCACCTGTAGCTCTTCTAGAGTTACTGCCAGTTCCAAGCCCGGGTAAAGGAGGAGGGTTGGGCATGAGGTCGACAACCCCATCCCATAGAAAAAAACCTTGCTGAAAAACGCCAACCAGATTAAACGAATTAAACCATTTAAACGTGTAATCGGACCCAAGGCTTTTTCGTTTCTCGCCATGGCTGGGATTCTACCTTCGGTGGATATTTTGCACCTTCGGCACATCGCCGACATCTCAATACGTATTCTTCCACAGCCTTATCCATGAATGGCCAATAAACATAACTACGCATAAATGCCTTCATTCTGTTCATTCCCGGATGACCAATGTGAAACTGTTCAAGCACAAAAAGCTGAAGAGATTTAGGGATAACAACACGTTCACCATACACCAAACAATTATCATAAATCGATACAGACTCACGTCTCAAGAAAAATTGGTGAAACTCTCTATCAGCTTTGTCCTGTTTCCAACCCTTTAAAACAGCTTCTTTTATTCTTTTAAGTAGAGGATCACTACCCGTGGCTTCTTTAACTGCTTCTGCCGTTACTGGTAGAATTTTGATAGCATCACAGAACACTCTTTTTATTTCCGGTTCAATTGTTATAGAAGCAACCACTATATCTTCCTCTAACTTACGGTTATGTGGTATTTCTATTGAAGTCTGTATCTTATTTCCTTTACGGAACTTATGCTCACGGTCAGAAACCTTTGATTTACTTTTACAACATACTTGAGCATGACCATATTTCCCACATTGAAAGCACACTCGTTTTTTAAAGTAACAAGCATTGGCAGAATGACACTTACCACATCGCCAGCATGACGTTTTGTGTTTCGCTTGATTCGGGATTTTCTGGGAGTTCGAATCTTTATTTCCATTAAAAGATTTACGTAAAGCTTTGACTCCAAAGTGTTCACTGTTCCTTTCTACGAGATTCGTGTCATGCTTCAAATTAATCATTCTTTGACACTCTTCAGATACTGATTGTAGACTGATATTAGGATCTTGTTCGATTCTCATTAGAATCCGTGCTCTAATATCTGCATCTACTGAAGATTGTAATCCACATACAAAAATAAGGCACTTGAACTGATCTGAGGACATTTCCTGTAATCGGAACCGCTCACATTCCCGGTTCACGATACTTGCATACGTTACGTAATCGTCCTGTACTTTCTTTACAAGTTGAAGATACTGGTATCTAGTGTGAAAAATTGATGACCGTTCACCAAATATACGAGTCAGGCATTCAACTGTTTCTTTGAACGTTATGTCGGATGGCTTCTTTGGGAGGATAAAATTACAGAATTTTTCATGTTCGGACACTCCGAGCTTTCGTAATAATAATCTCAATTTCGAACTTTCGTCCCACTCTTTACATTCATTAATAAATAAATCCTCATGGCGTTTAAACCATGCCTCAAAAGTAACTCCACTTTCTGGATCAAATCTAAATTCAGTTATTGAATTTGCAATAGAATCCGGAGTCATAGTGGAATTAGACACATCAGTTCTTGAGGATATCGACATATTTTTGACTAATAATTCGATAAGAGTATTTTGCTGTTGCAATAAGGTTTTCAGATCATCCATTTTCTTGATACAAAGTTCACTTTAACTGAATACGTAAGCGTAGATCCGTTTTATTCACCGTCGCCAATGTTATAAACGTATGTATACCGTCGCTAATTGTTATAAACGTAAAGGAGAGGATGCTGGTATAACAGTAGGGGTTCTTGTAATAACAGTCCTTTTACTTCTTACACGTATGTGGGACGTTAATTTATCTTAGACGAAATCTACACTAGATTCCCACCGTGTCTATTCTACAGGACTTCAACAGAACTCAGATCAAGAACACGAGATTAGCCTGACTATAACGTCAATATATTTCCACACGAAAATCCGACACAAAGACAGTCAATCAATAAGTGTCCATCAACAAGAAACAGTCCATAAGTCAATACATAATAAGGATAGGGAAATATATATATAACACATAACACCTGTTATCCCCTCTAATGTCTGACTCATCGAGACAACCAATCATTGACATTCTCGCCCACACATCAGACTGGATTACGAAGACTTCGACATCTGAGGGGACGCACGAAATACAATAAACATCTCAGGATCAATTAGACGACTTGGACTTCGCAGATGACCTGGCCCTTCTATCTCATACACACAAGCAAATAAAGACGAAAACGTAGCAGTAGCCTCTGCATCAATAGGCCTCAACATACACAAAGGAAAAAGTAAGATCCTTAAATCCAACACAGGGAACGCCAAACCAATCACACTTGATGGCAAAACTCTGAAGAGTTGGGAACTTTCATGTACCTGGGAAGCATCATTGATGAACAAGGAGGATCTGATTCAGATGTACAGGTGAGGATTGGCAAAGCTAAGACCGCATTCCCACAAATGGAGAACATATGGAACTCAAAAAACCCTCAACCAATATCAAAGTGAGAATCTTCAATACGAACGTCAAGACAGTCCTACTGTATGGAGCTGAAACTTGAAGAACTACTACAACCATCATCAGAAAGGTACCAGTATTTCTAAACAGTTATTTACGCAAAATACTCAACATTCACTGGCCGGATACCATCATCAACAGCTTTTTATGAGAGAGGATAAAACAGGTTCCAGCTGGAGAGGAAATTAGGGAAAGAAGCCGGACGTGGATAGGACATACATTACGGAAACCACCAAACTGCATTACAAGGCAAGCCTGAAGGGAAGTGGAAAAGAGGAAGGCTGAAGAACACACTACGTCAGGAAATAAAAGTAGATATGAAAAGGATGAATAACAACTGGAAAGAACTTGAAAGGGTTGCCCAGGACAGGGTTGAATGGAGAATGCTGGTGGGCGGCCTATGTTCCTTCATGAGGGTTAACGGGCGTAAGCAAGTACTTATTTAGAACAAGTAATGAAATGAATTTGAATTACCCAGCTTTTGTTTGAGATGAGTCCGGAATACATGTTGGCTTTTCGAACTATTCATGTAAGTTTTAGTTAGTAAACTGAGAGAATAGATAGTGATGGCTTTAGATTGTCAAAAGCCTTTCCTTTCCGAGAGATATATAATAACTCAGTTTTTCACATAATGTTGGTCTTCAAACATAATAGATTCTTTGAAAATAAGAGATTCTAGTATGTGGTATACCGCTTGCTTCCCTTGAGATATCACAATACTTAAATAAATTCTACAATTTTACGATTACATAATATCTGTTTTCATCACTACGATTATTAACTATAAAATCACCTCCTATAATCTATAATATTTTTTTTCAACATACAATAGGCATTGACACTAACTATGATTTAATCATATTATCTTGTGTTCTATTTTTTCTACGTGATGATTTTCTGTTCGACACTGAACATTCATTTCAATCCTACCAAATCAATTATGTAAAATAACTTTTCAAAATTATATTGCCCATTGTAATTTTAGACTATTTGTAAATGATGAGAAATATCATGAATTTACATTACGTAGCACAGTTTGTTGTTTTTTATCTGTTCAAATGGCTCATAGGAACAACCTGTTTGGTGTACCGATTGATTGACAAGATTTTGTTAACATTATATTGAAAATAATAATGTTGAAAAAGAACCATGTGAAATCTATAGAGAAACTATGCATGGGGCTGTTGAATCATACATGTTTTGAAGATGTGACAGAAATTGATGAATTAATTTCCAAAGTGTGTACACAAGTGGAAAATGGTAATTGAATGAATGAATGTGTCAGTAAATAGCTACATCAGTCTTTGACAAGCAGTAATGCAAACAAAACAGTGGCAGTCATACATGATCCTCCGAGTAGTCCAGTAATGACCGTTTCAGAAATATGCTCCGTGCTGGATTCAGACCCAAATATGCCCGAAGCAAAGTGCAGAATTAGCAAATTGTCTAGCTCACAAAAAAACGATATCTTGTTACATGCACATGACATTAAGGCAGTACCGGATAACCAAAAATACAGATTTTTTAAATGAAAGTTTATTAGCCCTGTATGATTTTGAAACTAAACTCAAGCCAAAACAAACTTATGATTCACGTAATATTTGTCCAAATAGCTGGAGGTACTGATATTCAGAAAATATTTGGAGCGACACAATGAATACAAGTGTATCCAATGAAACTCAAAATCATTGTAAGATAAAGCAACTGTTGAATCAATTTCTTATCAGATTTTTCAAATTGTTTTACCAGGAAAAGGTTATCCTAATGATTCACATATTTTTGACAAGAATTCTTATAAGAGTATGTCGAAATTCGATGTAGTTTTGATAGACGCCGATTTTTCTAATGACCCACTATTCTCCAACAAGATTGTTAATAAATTTGGGAAAAATATTTCAGAAGAACTAACTCCCGGTGACCTGACACCAAATAATGTTTATTCTCACCATGTAGTAATTTTTCTTGGATTCTCTAATCAATGTGAGAAGTATGTTTTAAATGAAGTCACTAGTAACTTAAGGATATGCGGATCCGACATTATTTCGTGGTGGAGAATAATATCGGAAATTCAAAGTTAATTATATATTTTTTCACCAGGATCTAAGCTTCAGATCTTAAAAAAAGAGGGAGGTGTTATATCCTAACGAAAATTAAATTATGGGGAACTATTCATAAACTGCTATATATTTATTCTTATTGTATAATTCTTAAGTAACTAGATTAAATGTATTTATATTTCTTTTATCATAAGCTTTTATTTGACTTATTGACCAATATGACAAAATTTAATATTCTTAAGTTATTCCCAATTTATCAGATACAGTCTCCCAAACTCACAGACACTTGATCTTGTATAATTGTTTTTTTTTCTATTTTATGGTATGATGTGGTTTGATTTGTTTGTATACAAACAACGCATGACTGAAATACATGATTGATACAGAGGAAGCTGAGAATGTGTTCTAGACTCAATGAGTAGGGCGACACGAGAAGCTACTATACTGGGTGACTAATCAGAATCTCATAGTTGACTCCAGACTGTTGTTTTTGGTTAACGTGTCATTGGTTTGGCAAAGTGCCAAGGTCAAATAGGTGGGTGTTCCAATTAGCGACCATATCACGTGATAATAAACGAGGCATAAGAACACAACAAAAACTCCTAAAGTAAAAAACTTGTTTTAATGAAAGCAAAAACATAAAATATTCATACAAATAACTAACCTTACAATCTAATTCTTCGTGTAGCTGGAACTCTTCAGTTGATAAAGATGATGGTGGTTGACTAAAGGTGCAGTAATTAATATAGACAAATTAACAAATAAATATGTGTTGTATAAATGTTGCATATATATATATATATATCAATATCATGATTTACGAAATATTGTTCTTTGCACTGACTTTGATTGGTTGTGTCTTACAGCTAAGTTCAGCAGTTGTATTTCTATTCAACGGTATTACAGATAATAACGAAGGTTAATTTGCTCACCTTACAATCTCAGTGATCATTAAAACAGGTGTCTTTAAATCAATACGATCTTGTTCAATGAAGATGTAGATACAGTAAAATAATATGAACAATTCGTAGTGATAATTTCGGAAAAATCAGAATGAGTTCAGCCTTATTATTCCAGCTTTACTGCAAATTATAGCCATATTCAATCTAGTGTGTAATATATAACTATATCAACACAGTAGTGTCGTTTCAATAAATGCAGTATTATTATTACAAACGAATAATTCAGTAAAGTGTTTGGAAGATATTTTTATTCGGTTAGTAGTCAAGGCATGGGCAACAACTACATCTACGAAATTAGTTCATTCAAACAGATAGCGCATTAAAATGTGAATACAGTTTCCGACTGCGCAAGGACAAACTATTCCTTCAAGACAATTTCGAGTAGTTAAGCAGTTTGAGAAAAATATATTTGATAAGTTAATTTGCCTTGGAATTTGGATAGAGCCCTGATAGCCAATCAAAATTTAATATTAGAGTGAATGACATAGTCGTTAAAACAGCTTTGAGTAAGAACTAAGTATATTGCATGATACAGATCTTATAACGGGGAGACAATATGTTGGGAAATAGGAATGACAATAGTCTGAAGTATTTTCAATAACATCACATACGTTTTAACGAATCATCTCAAATTAAAATGTGAATTTTTTCTTATTGTTTTCGAAATGGAGAGAACGAAAAGCGAATATCCGGCTCACTAACCGGGTTGGTGGACATGGAGGGTCCACCTAGGGGAGCTGGAAAACCTTGATTCCAAACAAATGGTGCACATGGGCTCCAGTATCCTGAAGGAACAAATGGCGTATAAACCAATCGTTGGTCATCGGTTACCATGGGACCGCATCTCCTTACGATGCTTCACTGCCTTGTGGATCAGACCTTTAGGTCAAAGGTTCCAGGTGTGGCCCCCGAGCAGTATCACAGCCCTCACACAAATCAAATGAGATTTGTGTGGCGCATATATATCTGGTGCACCTTTGTACCAATATTTATGTGTTTAAATAAGTAAATTACAACCAATTGTGTACAACTATATTTGAAATTTTACCATTTTTAAAAACGATATACACTAAATTACTACTTCAGAGTAACAACTGAAAGCAAACTGATGAATAATGTTATTTTAAACTTTGAATGATATTTTATTTTAAAAGATGATTTATTAATGTTCAGCATTCATCACGATATAGATGATAATTCTATTTTCTATTCACACTATATGTTTGATAGTATTGCTAGGGTGATTTCAGATTATCTAGCTTTTTTGTTGATAAATGTTAGTTTGAAATTCTGTGAGCAGAAATATAACTGTCTTCTATTAATTTATATCACTATATTAACATCGGTTACTATTGAAATTGATTATAGGTACTTGTACTTTACCGACTTTTCTATATGTCCCAAAGTCATTTTTTGTTGAGATGGTGGAGGAGATTTGTAGTTTTGTGCTCAGAGAACAAATCCCCATCTAAATAATTTTTTGTTATTTTTCATATCAAACTATTCTAATTTAAAATTATTTCCTTAAATATCAAACTTTTCCCTGAACTCTTGACTTCTTCCTGTTTTCTAACACATTTAGAATATTGCTAATGTGTTGTATCATTTAGTCGTCAAATCTATGAGGTGGTACAAGTGAATTCAATTTCAAATTATTAGAGTATACAAGTCATTTGTAACTAGGCACTACATACTACTTATATCTGTCAGCATAAAGAGCATACACCACAATACTAGTTTATAGTTCATACATGCTCATCTATTAGACTGTAATATCAAAGCTTTATTGTCTAATATATAAGAACTCTCGTCTAAATTAGAACGAATAGTTTCACAGTATTTGAGCGCCGAGTTGAAGTAAGACATTAAATAGGAATAATATATTTGTAAAATCTCAGCGAATGAATTTTTTAAATTAAATCCAACGTTTCGCCTGGCAATCTGGTCCAAGCTTTTTCAAGGAATAATTTCAAGGATAATTCCTTGAAAAAGCTTGGACCAGATTGCCAGGCGAAACGTTGGATTTAATTTAAAAAATTCATTCGCTGAAATTTTACAAATATATTATTCCTATTTAATGTCTTTATTGTCTAATGTATAGAAAAGTCAATAAGATACTACTTTTTAATCAGTAGTAGGATAGCTAACATGAGATTTAAGAATTATTGAATTTTTATTTGACCTGAATCTGGACAAAGCTCTTTACGTTGTATGTATAGGAAAGTATATTTAAAAAAAAGATTTCAAAGTGTTTTCAATAATCCTATGCTAATAAAACATTTGTTTCTTATTAGATAACTTACTTTTGACAAAAAAGAAAATCTTGAATAGCATCCACAATATGTTTGCATAGATCATGATTTGAAGATATCACTGTAATAAATGAATGGAAAAAGTGAAAATAAACAATTGTGAATAATCATAAGTTTATTGACGGATAAAAAGCATAAAGAATACTTTTTGAAATTTCTCTTCCTAATTGATTAGAAAATAGATTAAACTATGACAGAAAACTGGACATTATATTTTATATGGCACCCACACAATACACATTTAATGAGAATGAAGTTCTCAGCTAAGAACTGAAACCAACTAAAGAAAAAATTAAAGGACAAAAACTAATGTTAATTAGTTACTTGACTATCAAGGAAATCTGAATTGAGGATACTTTACAGATACTTGTGTTGGTATATATTCTATTTAACAAATACATGAAATTGTGTATCACATGCCAAAATGTCTGTTATGAATTAGATTTTATGGTTTGTAATGAAAAGCAGTTTGCAAATTGTCACATTAATGAGTGAAATGCGCCAATGAATCAGCAAAAATTAAACAGAAGAATGCTGATTGACAGATGATATGCAAAGATACAACATGGCTGAGTGATGACTGTTTTCAAGATCACATTATTTACATGAGATGTTAAAAAAATTTAAAATAAAAAACAAGACTAATAACCAGAAGAATTGGCCTTTGATTTAGTAGAATAATAAGGTTATATAAGGTTGTATATATAAAAAACAATTAACACAAAAGTAATATGGTAAAATTATATAAACGACAAGATAAAATCAGTTATGTAGGTTGCTTATCCTCCAACGAAGAATATGACTGTTAAGGTCAGTTCTATCTCGTCAGATTAATGAGAAAAAGAGAGTCTCTTCTATCAGTTGATAAGGGTATTATTACACAGCACTTCGTCGAATCATGATATTGATAAAGATTTCGACAGCTAAATTAAGCATTAAAGTGACAAGCAACAGTAGTGTTAGGATAATAAACTACAAACAAATTGAAAATAGAAAATGAGGCTTATTGTATTACAACCCAATCACTATTGACAAATGCTCTTAGGAGACGGGTAAAATTGTCCTGTTGAATAATTTTATATCACCTACAAATTAATTATGTAATTTTAACATAAACATTTATATATTCTCCCCTGTACAACTATTACAATTATTGTAAGCAAAGATTGATAGTGACTGACCAGTTGCAATCCTAAACATCCATGGGAAGATTCAAGCAAACAATACTAAATGAATTTATTACAATTATTATTTTAATTATCAGAAGGGGTTTTGTGGAGATTTAGTATTTTTCATAGTAGAAAGCATGAGTCAATTGAAGCTAGACTACCATGGAAAACCAGTGTTTCCAGGTTTTCCATGGTGGTCTAGCTTCAATTGACTCATGCTTTCTACTATGAAAAATTATTATTTTGTAATTTTTATATTTATTTTTGTTCTGAGAAACAAAACAAAGTCGGCTCGCAGTACACATTCAGTTTGTATCAATTATATAATTGAAAGTTTGTAAAATAAATAATAATTCACTAATAAAATAATAAGAAAAACATGGAAAAGGCTAGGTGAGAAGAGAAAACGAAAACAAGTAAAAAAAATACTTTATATTATTTTAAATTATTGATTAATTGAAAGAAAACTGTATGTAACTTACCACCACCGCTGCTGGGAATAGAATCTTTTTTATTGAAATTATAAGTTTTGGACATATTCATTGGTTTGTTTGATAATACAATAATACCAGCAGTAATCACTTGAAAAAAGCAACGACATGCAAGTAACCAGGTAGTCTGTGATGGACAAGCATATTTCAAAGCCATTGGTTGATGCAATGTCTGTAAACGGAATAACAGTTTATCATCATACTACCACGATAATTTATGAATTAAAGAATTAAATGAAATACAATGAGTATATAGACTGAATATTAAATTTGGTGAAATATGAAAATCATACATCAAACACCTAATTTGCTTATCATCCATAAATTGTCTCTTACAAATTTTATTGTTCCTTTATTCCTCTTGTTATTACAATTACTCCACAATTACTTCACATTTCTGTTCTCTTCAATTCAATCTTCTCAAACTTTTGTTGCTAGATGTTCTATTTCTGATTGGTGTTGAGTGCTACTTATGTCGACAAATATAAGTAGCATACACAACAGTATCAGTATTAAGATAAAACGAAACATGAATTCAAAGAAATATGTCACTTAACTGAAAATAAAAAACTAAGCAACCAGAAATGTATAGAAACGTAGAAAGTGAATAACAAAAAACAAGGAAGGAGTAAAACAATACTTTGGGAAAACTATTCAAAAAAATTCTTTTTAATACTAACAATAACAAAACAATGTTTGGAATTTTTTTGGATTCCAGGATATTCAGTCAGTCACAACGTAGAACTTCATACGTACGTACATCAGTTCAAGTTGCAATAACACATAAGCACTGGGATACAATTGTCGATTCAAATCCCGTTGTGGTAGAGGTAGTAAAAGTATAAGTAGAAATCCGAAAGATTACCGTTTGAAGATGTTATTCATAAAGTACAATCCCGTGAAATACATTTGAAAAGAGAAAAAAAAGAAAAAGACACAAAGACTTCAGAAGATTAGAATTTCGCAGAACACAAAGAGTGGATGCACCTTCGCCAATGCAAACGATTTTGAGCCATGTCATTCAAGGTCTCTAACCGTCGGTCGCTATTCCCTCGTGGATACCAACCAGGTAATCTACACTTACCAACATGGCTCAGTCTACTTGTCAGTGAGTTAATCGATTTGTGCCATTTTCTGGTCTGGTCGCCCCTAGCTCTCTTCGAACCTACTCCACCATGAAACATCGCTTGTTGGGGCGGTCTGTGGTTGAGCATACGTAACACGTGTCCCAGTCATCTCGACTGATGAAGTTTTACTAGTTCGCCAATTGATTTGCCATCCTTACCTAGTACCTGTTTCTTAACAACTGCATTACTTACTCGGTGATCTCACGATATAAGAACAATGCTTCGAAGACACCTACAATCGAATACTAGCAGCCTACGAATATAATCTACTCTTACCGACCATGTTTCACAGCCATGAAAGAGGACAAGATATCTCCCCTTCGTTAGAAATGACGTAAGTTGGCAAAAGCTAGTCGAGCCTTCTGTATTCGTGCTGAGATTTCATCACACACCAGACCACAAGGGCTAATACGCTCAATTACTTCACTCCCTATCATTAGTTTAGGTGCCGATGCAATCCAATCTTGGAGTGACATTTTGCATTTCAAGGGGGAGAGTCGCATCCTGAACATGTCTGCATTGTTGCTTATAGTGGTCAGAAGATCAGACCACAGCTATTAACTTGACGTAGTGGTCGTGCTTGCCTATCGCTATGACCCAAACGAGCTATATTGGCTGGAACTTATGTTCCCGTAGGTCGATTGGAGAATGGTAGGACTAAAAGCAGTGACACAAGGTCTGAGGGCAACGTCATACTGTTGACTGTAGAGGGATGTGACAGCAGTAAGGTGTTCTCTTAGAACAACCAGCATCTGCAGCGATGCTGCCTTCTCACAAGGAAGGGGTTAGAAAAGGTAGACCCTAGAAATGTCACGTCTCACCTTAACTCAAGGATTTACGTCTCCGGCGGTAAGGCTTTTTGAAGAACGGAGCTAACACATCGAAAACCTCCCACAAAAAGGCTGTACGTGACCGGCCTCAAGCAGAAAAGGATTCCAGCATATTACTACAATATATAATATCTGGTTTCAAAACATAGAAAAAGAAATATAGTACAGCGTTGAACATAATCTTCCCAAGTTAACGAAAAGATCTATGGTATGTTTATTCATAAATAGATCAATAAAACCTTCATTTATTAGTTAATGAACTATAAGAACATCTAAGAATTCGAAAATTTGTAATCATTCTTTTAAGAAGAGTCAAGAATAGTAGAGTTTGACGTCTAATAAGAAGTTAAAAAAAATGAACATATGTCATATTAATTATAGATTTTCTGCGAATTATCATCAAAAGATAATAACAACAACATGTGGTTTTAGCGGTAATAAGAATTTTACTTTATTAAATATTAATACTGAAAAGTCTGCTCGATAAAAGAAATACATCTATATGATAAACATTCAATATTGAATATAAATCATTTAGAAACCTACTAACATAAAAACTGAAAATAAAAACATACTTTGATTATTGAGTCAAGTATTTCAACACTGCACATTTCAGGCCATGTAACAGTTGTTTGATATAAATCCACAGCGATTAATAAAGATTTTTCAGCAAATACAATATAATTTAGCGGAACAACATCAAGCTATGAACAAACAAATGTAAAAAGGTACAAGATGAAGATATCAGGAAATTAAAAAAGATCGATAATATTCGTTAACCTACTTTGATACTGATATCATCTTGAACGTGGTAGAACATCTAACCTATTAACCATACAGCTTCAAAAAATTAACATTATTCAAATATGTGGCTAATTAATAAAAAGAACATTGAGTAGTGAAGCATAGCGTTTAGCAATGCTAACAGCAACAGGCTACCAGTCTTAATTTCTCCCCAATGACTTGGAACAGTATAAATTACTGTGATTTGGTTCTTTAAAAACCAAATGATTCGGAAATATCAAAAAAGAGAGGTCAAAATGCCCGTCTGAAGAAAATCGATCTAATTTTAAATACGAAAGAGTAATGGGACACTGCGAATATATTAGTGAATGAATTTTCATAGGTAATTGACAAAGATTATAAAAAATCAAAACCTTTAAAGAAACTTCGATGAACAATATATATGAATGTTATTTAAACTCTGTATAATTATATATATTAAGATAGAAATGTTTTTGAAATCAGCCTATGATAATAATTGTTTGAATATTGTGTCATATTTATATTGTGCAAAAAGCAAGGAAACAAATATGCTTGACTTTAAGTTACTAGGCTTTAAATTACAGGTCAAAAAGGTTTTTTTTTACCAAATCGATGTAGAACAGCTAGGAGAACGCGTGAATATTCTGAAATATTACCCAAACTGTAACTACAAAGAATACTTATCAATCATCATAAAACTACACAAGGGATAAAAAGAACATGTTGAGTAATTCTACAGTAACAGAACAACCTAAACAATTGGATTAATTCAATCAATTAAAAGTATTAATCCTAATCAACAGTTGAACAACTTCTAATATATCCAAATAACAAACTTATCAAACTATTTACTATCGATATAAAATATGAATTGAATATAAACGGCAATGGAAAACGTTTAACAGTATTTGCAAAATGTGAACATCAGTTAAACTCTAGGTGTTCTAACAATCATAAAACTCACTCGATGATTGTCCGAGTGATGTGGTTTAGGAATTCGAATAGCATAACCAGCTATAGTCAGCAGTAATTGTAATACACGTGGAAGTATTGAAGAGGAACGATTGTTAGTTATATTGCTAATATTATTATTATTGTTATTTTCGTCCTTATTTTGATCAGAACCAAAGTTCTGTAAGTAAAAAAAGAACATTAGGCCAATATTACTGAAAATCAAATAAAAAGCACGTTCGTTCATAAAGAAAATGAATTTAAGCATAAAAGTTTAAACCCATTACAAGTCCTTTTCTCATTGAAGTTTTATTAAACTTAACGAGAGATAATTTGGTAGCTCATAAAATCTAACGAAAGATAATTCAAGTAAGTTCAGAAAGTAGATAATAAGTATTAATAACTTTTATTTAAATAAAGTCAGATATTAATTACAGAACTACTAAAAATGAATGGATATTTTTAACTAATAGGACGTATTCATTTTTAAGCAAATGTGAAAATTAACCCAGAATCGTTCAATGTTCACAATAGGTAGGAATTCGATAGTATTTTGAAACCTCAATGAATTACATACTATGGTGGTTTATTGGTTAAACCATTAAGCTCTCAATACATAATTTGCAGGTTCGAAACCCCTTCCATTTGGTTTATTTTTACCACCCTCTGTTACCTTCCAGAGAAATAAGGAACCCCTATGCGTAGGACATAAAACTTAAACTTTGTTAATACGTTATATTACCTAACGGATTGATGATATACTGCCAAATGTTTTGTATTAGCTAAACATAGTGTTATATATACCATATTTCATCACATCATAGCTTTTAATTTAAGTATTAAGAGTCTTCTTACAGAAAATAACTATTAAAGAGTGATGAAGCACTATTTCACTAAATATATTATTGATTTAACTAATTCGGTAGTAAGAAACAGTTATCAAACTAACATATCCATTGTATTCATGAACCAAAAAAGAATTAAATACACTTAAATTGCTGGTCAACTTTGAATATAGATATATATTAACGATAGCATCAAGTTTTCACCGATAACTGATCATTACAAAAAAATTACAAATAACCGAATGAAATATTGAAGCTACAATTTAATTATCTACTGTTCGAAAATATTGACCAAATTTATAATGGCATTGGCAGGTAGTAATTTAAAACTGTTTGGACATCAATTACAAACTCATTGAATTTTTAGTTATAAGGGTAATAAGCCATAAACAAAAAGACAAATGAGAATAAGTAAGAATAAGATGTTTATCTCTGTTAATTGTAATATGATTATTCGTTTCTTGGTACATATTTAACATTAGATATCATTAAGGCTGAGAGAAAATTTTGTAAACCATTCACTTTGTTGACAGATAAAAGTAAACTTGATTCAAGGCCTCCTGACAATTACTACCAACCATTAAAAAGAAAAGTTTAGTTTATGCATAACCAAGTAACTTTTGTTAGTAGCCAGATACAATACAATGGAACGGAATTCAATTAACAATGAAGGATCAAATGTACATGACATTAGTCACTATTCCGTGATTAATCAGTGGTCAATATGTAAAGCATAAACAAAGTCAGTCTCTGCCCTGAAAGCTCAGCAGTAATGATTCATACTGTAAAGCTGATTGACGAAGGTTTGAACACCATAGTTAAAACTGATTACTTCAAGCACAAGACTTCAGTCTTATGTTTCTTAGCGGCTATGAGAATTATCTAACTCATAAAAATAGACTAAACGCATTAAGTAGAAACTACCTGTTGCTAAGACATCCAAATATTTTCAAGTGTTGGAGTCTAGATTTTGGTTTACATGAATTCTATGTATACTTCAAAGATATGACATGCGAAACATCTACAGCCGACTGAATCCCGTTAAACTTATTATCCAGTGATAAAAATTGTCATATTTATTCACTTTTTTAAATAAAAAATAGGGAACTTTGAAATATACTAAAGTGTCAGCATAATATGAGACTGTTCAAAATATTGTCTCTATTCTGTACTGACTAACAAATGAAGGAGAAGATATGTCTTTAATGAAAATAAAAATGAACTGCTCACAGAAAAAAACTTGGGTTGAAATGAAGAGCTAAAATTTTCAATGAATATCACGTTAATATTAAACCGAGATATACACACACTAATGAAACGTAAGCAAAAAGAAGAAGAAAATTAACTTCACCTGTACAAGACAATTTAAACAACGTAATACAGCCTCTTGTAATGAATTCAATGCACCATCATCAATTATCATTGAAGGTGTTGTTGATAATAGTGTAGTCATCATAGTTGTAGTTGAAACAGTTGGAAATAAATAATTAATATATAATGGAATTAATACACCAATTTGTAATAATTCAGCTAATCGATCGAAATCTTCCAAATGAAAATCTTCTTTAATATAATTAAATATTGGTATGAATAAATCAAAGTATGATGTGATAAACGATATACTTGGCAAGTATACAAATGGAGGATAAAAAACCTTGAAGATAATAAATGACATGAAGATAAAAAAACAAAACAAATAATTATAGATCGTTTATGGGTTAGTAAAGTTTCGTATAATGTTAAAAAATATGTGTGTTTTCAACATTTCTGTAAAGTGGGTTTTCTGTGGAGATTTTAAGTAATTTTTATATATATTTGAAATCATGAGTCAATTGAAGCTAGACCACCATAGAAAACGTGGAAGCACTGGACGGCTGTTTCGTCCTATTGTGGGACTTCTCAGCAGTGCGCATCCACGATCCCGTCCAGTGCTTCCAGGTTTTCTACGGTGATCTAGCTTCAATTGACTCATGATTTCAAGTATATATAAAAATTTCTGTAAAGTGTTGAGGATAATAAGTGAAAAACAATTTAGTGTAGACAAGTTTAAGAAGTGATACAGTTGATTCATCTTTATATTGGTTGTTTGAATCGTTTTATAGATGTTTAGTCTCTTATTGGCATTGATGCATCCTGTGCGGATGGCCTTGACATTGCCTTCGTTTCGGCTTATGATACAGTTAAGTTTTTTAGCATTTGATTTCATAAACTATCAGGGGGAACGCGTGTTACTGCTTCGATTTAGCATTGATTTAGACAATCAAAAGCATAAAAACTGAATGGTATAGATATTTAACAATAATCAGTTTTTATTACTTCAGATATGTGGAAAATTTATTGATCAAGGTAGCGCAAATTAAAGCTTGACTATTAAATTTATTTTTTGTTATTCTACTTACATGAAGTGACAAAAATGCGCATAAGCATGAAAATAATTATTTATTTTAATCGTTTAAAAATCCCAATCATATTAAAAGACTAATATTTGAACGAAGAATATTCATTTCGATAAATTCTCTTCAGGTTTTACAATTATATATCCAAATTAATAATCCGAAAAAATGGCCAAGTTAAAGGCAAAGTACATCGTTTAAATCTATCAATCAGTAGTAAGTTGAGTAAGTGTCAATAGATGATATCCGATGACAACGTGGTGTATCATGAAGAGAGAAAAACTGAACACAAAAATGTAGACGAATGAATTCCAACTAAGTTGTTAAATAGTTAATATGCTAACAGAGAAATCTGAGAATTAACAATTGGACTTCGTGCGAGCTTAAAGGTATTCATTAGTAATAAATGATAAATTAAAACGAAATACCAATTCCGACTGTTATAGTTCTAACTTGTTGATGTTACACTAACGACCAAAGTAATCTGTAAATTAAGTCAATTCTTTTTCGATATACAAATCTAACAGCGATACTGCTCAGTAGTGCCTAGAAAAGCTAAGATTTCATTAATAAACGTTTAGTCTCGAGCCTGAATATATGCATTCAACTGAAGGAACTTGACGCATTTATCCTGATGCGTGAATGTATGTTGTAAGAAAAATTAATTGTTAGGTGACCTGTTCATGCATGGGCCTGAAGTTTAGGGAAATGATCAAATAAACAAGATCAGACGATATAAAGTATTTCCAGTTTACTGAGAAATACAGAATATCCTCATATTTTACAATACTTGCATATATGAAGCAACAATCGAATCATCATAAATAATTTACAAACTAACCTTTTCACCATTTTCATTAATCGTTATATTACTAGTACAGTTGTCACTAATATATTGAGATTCAGAAGGGTTTACAGATAAATTTGTAGTAAGTGGAATAGAGTTATTACTGTTATTAGACTGAGCAAACGCTATCGCTCGTTTTCCAATTCGTAACCAAGTTTCCCAATAGGCAGACCAAATCAATTTTGATGTTGGCAATGGTGTTGTGGATGAAGGTGAGGATGGTGTAGAATAAGGAGGGAGTTGTATATCAAGTAAAATTTGCATACAGTTTATTGAAGCTAATGAAATTTCTCCACTATCCATATAAGCAGTCACTTTCAAATGATCAAGTAATATCTGCCAACATTTTGTAAAATCACCTTTTTGAAATTAATCAAAATGATAGCAAGATAATTGTTTTTTAAATCGTGTTTAAATTTAAATTTGAATACTGTCGTTTTTTTCAGTAAAAACACTCAATAAGACATTAAATAATTTATCAAAATTAGCAATCAATCAATCACTTCATGTAACTAACTGAAACTTATGCTAATCGAAATCCTCGAGATCTCTTCAAAAAATTACTTTAAGCAATCGTAAAACGTATAACATAATGTTGTTCTTTGTTCTTTATTCAAGCAATTCATTCATACAGATCATGAACCGGCCAATATTATTGGCTATCATTGAAAACCAGGAAGCAGTGGTTGGCCGTTTCATTCTAGAACGGGACTCCTCAGCAGTGCGCGTCAACATTCTCCACAACCCTGTACCGATGACTCGAGTGGTTTGAGTCAACTGGGATAATGAAACATGTACAATGAATGTTGAGTATTTACGGCGCTTGATGCAAAAGTAGGGAAAAACTAATAAATATAAGCTGTCAATAAATCGATAATATTACAATGAATGAAGTGTATTAATACTGCGAGACAATATGGACTATTAAAAGTAATTCGTCATTTGATTATCATAAATTTAAAAAGAGCAATTTAAACAAAGCCTGAAATAAAAACGAAACAAATCTTTTACAGATTTTCATCAGAACAATTAATCATTTAAATGTAAATCGAAAACGAAAAAATAGAAAATAACAACACGTTTCAGAATATTATTGTTTTCAGGTCGTGAATAAAATGCCAGATGTCGCTTCGACTAATTTAACTCTTTTCGGAGTAGCTTAAAACAAACACTATTTAACTAAATATATTTGTTTTATTATGCTTTGAAACATTTGTTATACAAAATTATTGACATTGGAAGAGTAGGTTAATATGTATTATTATTATTAGTAAGATGTTACTGTCAAAACGTTCTGCATGAATAAAAAGGGAATGACAAGGATAATATGTATTATTCTTAGCCAAATGTCTACCTAAAAATGAAATGACAAGAAATTTAATATCTATAAATGATGATTGCTAACAAAGATTAATGTTCAACCAAGCGATTACTGAAAATCACTAAAAATTGTATATAGCTGTTTTATTTTACTGTCCAGAGATTATGTAATAATATGGTGTGCGCTACTAATACGAACAGATATTAGTATGTGGTACGAATTGAAAGTGAAATACTTACCATCAGAAGATTGAAGTAAACAGAAGGGGAAAGAAAGCAGGTCATTAAGACCACTTCTAACCCAATTTCCTTTTCAGGTACCTCTAGAAGAACCCTTCCACGGTGTGGGCAACCGGGAAGTGATAACTGCCCTCTTACCTCTAACAGCACTCAAGAACATTGACTAACAATCAGTCTGATTAATATTTAAGTGCTTATAATTTGTATTATCATCATGTATTTTCAAAGTACTAAATAATAAACGATTCAAGTTATATAGAACAAGGAATGAAGCATAAGAAGTATACAGTAAAAAACAGAAAATAAAATGGAATGCAACTACTTTAAATGATTAAAAAACAACAGAATATACACAAGATATATGTTCGTTATCATTTATTTCAACTAAATAAAAACTATCCGGATAGTGGATATGCACTGCCGAGGGGCCCCCTACTAGGACGAAACGACCATCGTGTGCTTCCAAGTTTTCAATGGTGGTCTAACATCGATACATTCATGATATCAATCTACATGAAAACTGTTAAGAATGTTAAATCCTTGAAGTAGAAAAAAAACGTTTTTATGAAGAAATGACTTGTAAAGTTGATATATTTAATTAAAAAGGATTTCCGTTCTTAACTTTCAGAATTAATGAATTTTGTGTGGGAATTTTATTTATTATAGTTTTGCATTTATGTGATTATTCTGTTTGATAATTATCTCTGTAACTAATACTCAATGAATTTGATCAATATACATGTAATTTATTGGTTCTAGTATGTTTACCAATACATCTTTGTATAATTTGTGTTTGGAGTAGTTGGTGAATTGAAGAAAGGGAGTTATTGTATTCTTATTCAAAAAGTTATTAGAGTGATCTGTTTAACTGTCAATCATATTTTTGAAAAAAAAACATTATATAACTTTGAATCCAGCGAGGAATTCCATAATACAACTTAGTAACAGCAAAGTATTCAGCTTAGGTACAATGCAAACTTTAATAGACAAATAATAATTGGAACAAATGGAAAAGAAAAGGAACCGAAGAAAACAAAGGACTTACTAAGTGTTAACAAATGAGATTGTTTCGATATAAAACAATGTGATACACCAGTTAAAGTTAATACAACTGTTTCAGCCCATTGTTTAGCTGCAGTATCACGACTATGATGAATTAATAAACTATTTGGTTTATCGCCAACCTTTTCAACAGGTGCACTTTGATATAAATTATGCACCTTCGATAACAAAGGAAACAATATCTAAAAGGAGATAAAAATAAGTAGAATGATAATATAAGAGAGTCACATATGCTTTTCAGTACAAACGATAGTGGACTTCATCCGCACATTCGAATCCACAATTAAAATGTTGTGAAACGAGTAGTTGAGTTAACGAATCACATCAGTAGATGTGTATTGAGACAATTAGTGAAAAAAGAAACAAAAACACTGATGAATCCAATATGCACAGACTAGCAGATGGCGGTCCTTGCGATTTACGTGACTAGTAGTAGAAGAAGATGGATTAAACGGTTTAGAATCGGTCAATATGACGGAGATGTATTCACCCTTTATTTTAAATGAGGATAGTTTCCATTCTGCAAAGACATTCTTTGTCGTCGAATTATACTGTCCTTGCCTAATCTTTTCTATTCCATCTACTATTTCGATACATTCTTCATAATCTCTTATCGCTGCACCGACAAAAGATGGCCGAGGTATATATGTACCAGATTCTGATTTCATCATAACTGAGTGATTAATTGAAAATCAATAAAGTACTGAAGTATATAAGAACCAATTTGGTATCAGCTTAACGCTAAATATAGAGCCATTTTTCATCAAATATGCAATCATATTACTTCAATAATAGCGGTTTTCTTAAACCATTAAATATATTCAAACGAGAAGAAAATTTACGAATTACTTTATTGTTTCCAGAAATCGCGATTATATTATGAGCGGTAATACTAAATCATACTTCTTAGCAGTTAAATTCTATCGGAGATATCTCAATATTATTGTGAAAAATAGTGTATTGAGATAAGTGAAGTAAAGTGTAGGACGCTTCATTCTATGTTTCGTAGTCGGTGGAATACTTTCTTGAGATCACAAAATTAGTTCCGTCATTTGGTTTCAAATTCTTTTAAAAAAAACATATTGGAAACTGAATACCCAGTGAAGTGTTCCGTACACAAAATAAGCATGAATCGAATACTATGCGAGTATAATAACAGAAAATTCAAAACAATACGATTTTTTTTAAATTTAGAAACTTATCAGTCGTAAAATAATCAAAAGTATGACAATTAATTAAACGAAAATCGACAAAAGATAAAAGCTACTCTAAGAAACATAAAAAATGATTTTATAAGCAGACAATTAAAACATGTTTAACTTCTGTTTAGCATGAATCATTTGAAAAATAAATATTATTATCTGACTGGTCTATACAGTTTATTTGACTAAGCATTTAACAACAAATCAGATAAATAAATATATACAGTTTGACCAATAAACACAAGAACATTTGTGTTGTTATCTACAATGAATTAAACCTTTTACAATAATCATTGAATGCTGTCTCACACATGAAGCTTCTAGAGGGCATATTTGACTAAGATTAAATTTCTGTCATACAAAATGATAGGTCAATGCTTCACGATAATGCTCTTAAGATTCTGGTTTATAATTTTACTGATACGCTAAAATGTTCTACATTCGTGCAGAGGTAGCACTGTAACAATGTGGAAATATTGACACGTGAAATGACAAAGCAGTTGAAGAACTTGGCTATTTAGAACTTATTGAGATATTTCGTAAAATAGAAATGGAGATGAGAAAAATTTAATCCTAAAAGCTATTTCATCGATAAAACAAACACCAATTAACACATAAACTAACTTTCCATAGTAATGTAGACCACGTATCTTCATCAAATTGTTCACTATGACATTCAATTGTATTAAATAATGTTTGACATGCAGATTTTCGAACTGCTGGTCTACGATCTAAGCACAAATCAGCCAATTTATGAAATACACTTATCCATAATTCTTTTAAATCGATTGAAGAATTGATTGAATCTGATACTACAAGTGGAATATTTTTTTGTTCCATAAAAAAATCGGCTAAATGAAGCTGAAACAAAATCATACCATAACGTAAAGAGAGAGAGAGAAAATGATAAGACAAAGTTTTGGACAATGACTTTATAAGATGTATTGGAGCGAAAAGTTTTCATTTTGACGATTTTATTTTTATTAATATCATTGTTAAATGATCATCCCTTATTTAATTCATATTTTTCCTAACAGAGAGTGTCATTTATCCGCCTGAAGAATTATATTGAAATCTTTCATCTAGTAGATACGTATTTGATTTAAAGTCTTTTTTATATCATATGATTTTGAGTCAGATTAATGATTTATTTATATTAATGGTATAGAGGCTTCTAGGACGAAATAGAAGCCCAGTACTTCTTTAGATTTCAATGATTAACTAAAAACATTTTGTGACGAAATGATAAAAATAAATCATTTTCACAAACCTCTTATACTAATAATAATCATATGTTTACTAGTGACTAATTTTGATAGGAAATTACATGATTACTGGTGAAATGCTGTAACCAATGGAGTTCCACAATATCGAGTGTCATACAGCCAAATACTAATGGTATTGGTATTGGTTCACCGAAATCCCGAACAGACACAAGCTAAACATGTAAATAAACTGGCCCCCAAATGCCCTGGTACGGCCGAGAGTGGGGAGAGTCTACTCTCTCTCTCTCTCGAAATGCTCTCACATGGCCAGCGAATATATAGCCTCTGCCAGGGAAGTCCTACTCACTGCCTTCTCGTGGCGGGGGTGTTGTTTACGAAAGTGAGAGGACGAAAAGCGAATGTTCGGCGCTATAACCGGATTGGTGGACACGGAGGGTCCACCTAGGGGAGTTGGAAAACCCTGATTCCAAACCAATGGTGCACATGGGCTCCAGTATCCTGATGGAACGAATGGCGGAAGAACCTGCTGTTGGTCAACGGCAACCATGGGACTGCATCTCCTCACGATGCTCCACTGCCTTGTGGATCAGACCTTTAGGTCAAAGGCTCGGGGTGTGGTCCCCTAAGAAAACCACCTGCTTCGGTTTGGGCACCCGGGCAGTATCACAGCCCACACACAAACAAATGAATGAAATTATGAACTTTATTGACGATATCCCTGGTCATACTAAAAGCAAAACAATTAACATTATTATTATTATTACCTTTATTATTATTATTATTATTATTATTATTATTATTATTATTACTTACCATATCGCTAATTCACCCCCTTTTATCCCCAATTTGTGTAACCTTACTCTTCAACTTATGCAGCAGCTCGCTCTTGGTGGAAAATCTGTCCTATCTAAACGATCTCCAGTCACTGTCTGGTTGAAAGTGAATGCTTCCACCGATTATGAATACTGAGGCAGTCTTTCTGAAACCACGTACGCCGTTCAAGCTGGCTTCCTTCAACGTTCGCACACTAATGCAGATCAGACAACAGATAGGGCTGGCTATGTCTTTGGAAGGTCTTAATGTTGACGTTTGTTGTCTATCCGAGACCCGTATTCAAGACTCTAGTGAAGTACTACAAATCCGCTCTCCATCTGTCGCCTCGAAAAGCTTGTTCCACGTGCGCTTATCCGGGGACCCTGTGGCATCTTCGTCTGGTCTTGCTGGCGTTGGTGTCGCACTAAGCGCTAGAGCTGAGGCAGCACTAATCGATTGGATCCCCATTAACAGTCGGTTATGTGCTGTTAGATTAGAAAGTTCCATCAAAGTGAGAAGAAATCGGCGTGAGAAACGGTGTCTTTTCGTCATCTCCGCCTATGCCCCGACAGATTGCAGCCCGGATGCAATCAAGGATGAGTTTTACCATCAGTTAACAGTTCTTCTCCAGAAAGCGCGTTCGACAGATATTGTAGTACTAGCCGGAGACTTGAATGCACAGGTCGGGCGTCTAGGCACAGAAGAGAGTCGTCTAGGTGGCCGATGGGGACTTGTTGGTCGCAGGACAGATAACGGGGACCGTTTGCTGCAACTGTGCACAGACCACAACCTGTTTCTGGCCAGCACTAACTTCCGGCACAGTCATCGCCGGTGTGCCACCTGGCGTCCTCCCTCTGCATCCCAAACCTGGACTCAGATTGATCACATCGCGATCAGCTACCGCTGGCGTGGTTGTGTACAAGACTGCCGCTCCTTTTGGAGTACCTATCTGGAGTCTGATCATGCCCTGGTCTGCGCCAATCTCACCTTACTTTTCAGTGGCCGAAGGATTGACCACCACCAACGGATTGATATTAGTAAACTGGCTGCAACTTCTGTTGCAAGTAAGTATCGAGCGGAGCTAGCCTCTAGGCTAGCTACCACCCCACCGAAAAGTATAGGTAAGCATTGGTTGCATCTTCATGACGCCATGAAAATGGCGAGTAAAGCCGCTTGCGGCTTCGCGAAACGTCCCGCTTACAAGCACTGGGTTTCTTCTGGCTCCTTACAACTGATGGAAGCCCGTCGGTCTACTCCGGGTGACCGTGAGTTTGACCACAAACGAAGGCTGTTACGTAATGAAATCGGGCAAAGCTTGTGTAAGGACCGGGAAGCCTGGTGGTCGGAGCGTGCTAATGAGATGGAAGCAGCAGCTGCATCTGGTAACTGCCGGAAGCTCTTCCAACTCATCCGAGCCACTGGCAGCAAGAAGTCTGGTGTGAGTGAAACAATCTACGAGGATGACGGGATGCCAATCACTAACATCTGTCGACGTCTTGGACGATGGGCGGAATTTTTCGAAGGGCAGTTCAACTGGCCTGCTGCTCCGGCAACATCAACCAGCTTGTCCTGCTCCCCATGGCCGGTGACGACTGATCCACCAAACGAGGCGGAAGTCCGCAAGGAACTCCAACTCTTGAAACGTTATAAATCACCTGGCCCAGATGACTTACCTCCGGCTCTTTTTAAAGATGGTGGTGACTTTCTGGCTAAGGAACTGACTGCGTTGTTTGGAAAGGTTTGGGAGCAAGAAAGTGTCCCAACATTTTGGAATGAGTCAATAGTCGTCCCTATCTTTAAAAAGGGTTCACGTTGTTCCTGTAGCAACTATCGGGGGATAAGTCTACTTTCGATCGCGTCCAAACTATTGGCTTCTATCATTCTTCGTAGGTTGTTTAAAACCCGAGAACGATTGACTCGCGAGGAGCAGGCTGGTTTTCGTTCTGGTCGAGGATGCATTGATCACATCTTCACCCTCCGCCAAATGTTAGAACACCGTCATACTTATCGCAGGCCAACAATCGTAGTGTTTCTTGATATCAGGGCGGCCTTCGATTCGTTGGACAGGACTGTTCTCTGGGATTGTCTATTGAAGAATGGTGTGCCTGAGAAGTTCATTAACATCTTAAAAGCCCTGTATACGAACACCTCAGGCAGAGTGAGGGCATACAACCACCTTTCTCCCTTGTTCCATTCGAGCAGTGGGGTTAGGCAGGGTTGCCCGATCTCCCCATTCCTCTTCAACTTTGCCATCGACGACATCCTAGAAACAGCTCTGATGGATGTAAGTAATGGCGGTGTGGATATGTTGACTGGAGAACGACTTCTCGACCTTGAGTATGCGGATGATATTGTCTTACTGTGCGATAATGCCCAAGCCATGCAATCAGCACTTAATCAGTTGGCAATCAGTGTCCGCAGGTACGGCATGTGCTTTGCACCCTCCAAGTGCAAAGTACTTCTACAAGACTGGCAGGATTCTCATCCTGTACTCACCCTGGATGGTGAGGAGATCGAAGTAGTTGAGAAGTTCGTGTATCTAGGTAGCTATATAAGTGCTGGTGGTGGCGTGAGTGATGAGATTGATGCACGTTTAATGAAAGCCAGAGCGGCTTATGCCAATCTGGGCCATCTTTGGCGCCTTCGTGATGTTAGTCTGGCTGTAAAAGGTCGGATCTACAACGCGTCGGTGAGAGCAGTTTTGCTCTATGCTTGTGAAACCTGGCCTCTCCGAGTTGAGGATGTTAGACGTCTCTCTGTGTTCGATCATCGTTGTCTCCGAAGGATTGCTGACATCCAGTGGCAACACCATGTTAGTAATGCAGAGGTTCGGCATCGTGTGTTCGGGCGCAGAGACGATAATTCAATTGGTGTCACCATCTTGAAACACCGACTTCGGTGGCTCGGACATGTTTTACGAATGTCGTCCCAGAGACTTCCGCGTCGTGCATTATTTGCCGACCCTGGGACTGGTTGGAGAAAGCGGAGAGGAGGTCAGTGTATGACATGGTGTCGTGGCATGAAAGAGAGCTGCAAAGGGCTAGCTTCCGTTGGTCCTTCACGACTCCCTGGTTGGGGTCCGAGAGATAGTGCAACACAGTGGCTAGAGACGTTATTGGATATGGCTCAGAATAGAAGCCAGTGGCGATCCTGCTGCAACCTTCTTTTACTTTCTACATAAAGAATGGTTCTAACTTTCCTAACTGAAAGAATCTTCTGGTTGTACATTTCAGCCCGCCTTATCTTTTCATCCTTTATCTACCTACTTTCATTATTTTGTGTGGCGCATATGTACCTGGTGCCCTTTTGTACCAATATATATGTGTTTAAATAAATAAATAAATAATAAACATGTAAACGATTGAATTTTGACTCAATGATCTAAAAGTTAAGCGCCGATTTGATCCCTATACTTCCAAGGTATAATCCCTGGTAGTATGTTGGATGCTGTGGAGTCACAGATTGAGGCGAAACAGTTGTTTAATGTCTTCTTATTTTCAATAGTTGTCTAAGGAATATCAGTTTGTGATGTAAGCTATTTATTGAAAGACTTTTTTACTAATTAATATTAATTTTACCTTCTAAGAATACCAATTATATTACACATCTAGGATAACATACAAAATTTACTCATTACAATACGTTCCATAAAAATAACACCGTTTAGCTCCTGTTATATCTAGAACTTACATTCTTATTATACCGCGTAAAACTAGAGCACTCGAACGCTAGAACCCTCCAAGTCGCAAATAAAAAGGCAGAAGACAAGCGAAAGGAATGCTATTCCAGTGTCAATTATGGTACAAAGCCGTCAGGTATTTATAGTTTTTAGTAAAAACGAAATAATTATTATAGTCCTCTAATCCTCAAACAGGGGGTTATTAGCATTTGTCCTATAAGGAATCTACACGTAGGGATTCGTGAATATTCTTCCGAAAGATGATTGAATGGAATACATTCAAGTCTTTCTTAGCTTCTTAGAGCTTCCTCGATTTCACCCGTAGGTCGTCATCACAGCTCCCGAAAGAAAAATCTCTTAAAAAATATATTTTACTTCGTAATGCAAACTATGAATTCCATTTGATCTACGTTAAATAGAATACAAAAAAATTTGGTGAATTTATGAAGAATGGATTCTTCAATATACAAAAGATCAGATTATAGACAGCGTTATCTCAGTTGATCAATACTGAAAATTGTTTGCACCGTAATTCTTAAAAGTTATCTAAACTCAGGAACAAGTAAAAGGACTCTGAATAGATTACCAACCATCGGGAAACAGAATCGTTAACAATGAATACAAAAGGTGTAGCACATTGAGGCCAACAACTAGTTAGTCAAATTATTCACATGATATTGTAGTGAACAGAACACTAGTTGGGGACAATCGAATGTACTTAAGCACAAATTACAGACTATCTCACTAAATTCTGATAACCATACAGTAAACAGTTAATTTGCAAAATAACAACCGATTGTCTCAATCTTGACTGTTCCTTCTGCAAATATCAGTCCATCTTTTCTGATTTCATTGTTCATGCATTTTCATACCGATTGCGCTTCGTCCCTATTCTTTCCTTATCGGTCTTCTGCCAAAATACACTCTTGTCTGACCGTCACCATAACAACAACCTTTATCACTGACAAAATGTGGAGTAACGATGATGGGATCACGTTTACATTTACGAACTAAGGAAGCAATGTACCAAGATAAATATAACACAAAAGCTGAAATCTATTCACATTATTTCAAAAAGACAAACTAGAAAACATTTCAAAAGAATAATACTTACTAAGGATCCTATAGCTGATAAAGCAATATTTAAGTCTTGTTTTTGATGTCCAAAACTTGCTGCAGTTTCAACACATGCTAAATAACAGTTCGACGGTAAAGTAGATAAATAATCTGTAACAATCAATTTGAAGCATTTAAATGATGTCTGAATCAAATCTATTCTGCATTGTTGACAAAGAAAATCGAACAAAAACAGGGAAAACATTAATTAGTTAGTGGCTAATAATTCATTTAAAAAAATCGATTAAGTTAAATTGAATTATAACTAGTAGTGGAATTGAAGACACGTGTTTCGTCCATCTTAGGACTTGTCAGTCGAAGGTAACTATTAGTTATCGATTTAAGGGAGTTCGCTAAGAATAGATATATGTCAATAGTGATTAATCGAATGCAGCTCTTAGTGTTAATGATGAGCAAAATAAAGCCTTTCATATTTATACTAATTGTTTAATTGGAATATAAAACAACCAAAGAGTAAATCTGTAAGATTTTATCCACATGAATATGATTACGAAACTACGTAGGTTGGTAAAACGGCAAATATTGTTATAACTTTTGTATCTCACGTCGATGTCACACTGTATTGCGGAAATGTCACGTAACACACATCGTTTATTGTCGTTAGTTTTATGTTGTACGTTAAATGTATATACTGTTGTTGCGTATGAAGCGATTACGAAGTTTCCTAATCTGAGAACGGAACAAAGACTTTGTGATCATAGACCAATAAGCTACATATTCTGACGCATCCCAGCCCCTCTAACTAGAGTGAGAAGTCCATGTTGGAAGTGGGAAAATATATTCAGCAAGCATCCAGAAACACAAGCAATCACGACAGGCACAAATCAAACGTATATATACAGTGTAAAATTGTCTTTGGGAAGTGTTACAAAATAGCATACTAAAAGGTACAACGAACCAATAGCGTTTAAGATCCTCCCAAGTAAGATATACGACATGAAGGTGAAAATGAGAGCGAAAACAAGAAATTCGAATTATGAAAATGAAATTACAAAACAAAGCATTTACCAAGTGAATTCTAGACATTTAACAAATCAAATGAGATTTGTGTGGTGCATATGTATCTGGTGCTCCTTGTACCAATATGTATGTGTTTAAATAAAATAAAATAAACTGAGGAAGACACCTTACTGCCGTCACACACTTCTACAGTCAACAGTACGACTTCACCCACAGACCTTGAGTTGCGGCTTTTAGTCCTACGGTTCTCCAATCGACCTGTCTGACATGGTAGAACCTACAGGAACATATGTTCCAGCCAATATAGTTCGGTTGGTTCATCACGACAGGCAAGCCGACCAACACGTCAAGGTAGCAGCTACGGTCGGGAAATCATTCAATATTTATATACAAATCCAATAGTTTCGTTTTAATCAGCCTCACACATATAAATGTAACTTAAAGCCAAATACTTAAACCTGTGCTTGACAAATCAGTTAACACTGTGAACATGACTACTTCGAAGAATATATTCTTTGAAAGCTGTATTTAATTTCCAAACAAATCAAATGATTTTATCACAGTCAAATGATAGACAATGGTTTTCAATAGAAAATTTAATGAAATAATGGAAAGTCTCTGTAAACAACACATAGAAAACTTAACAAAATCAAATTGATCATTTGATAATTGTGAATACGATAAAAGTAACAATTTTTGAAAAATTAAGCCGATATAATTATCTTAATTCGGGAAATTTTGATTAGTTACAAATATCCCAAATTCAGGACGAATAACACATTTAGAAATGAAAATATTCAGAATAAATTAACTACAAATAAAGATGAGATAAAACTACAGTGCCAGATAATAAATTAAGAGAAACAGATAAGAATTATACAATACGATTAACCAAATAGCAAACATCAAGTTTTTAATTAGTTTGATCAGTAATGAAAACAATCTTCAATAGTTAAATAAATATCCGCAAATCATTTAAACATAAAACTGGTGAATCAGCTGATGAGATAGTAAATGTTTGTCGACCAAGGTAGTTTGGAAATATATCACGCATATTCGACCACTGTCTACCATGATAGGGGATGCTGGCTAATAATGGAGTAGGTTGAAAGCAAGTTATGAATGATCGAACAATGATGTGGTATCAATCCATGAAGTTAGGAACTATCAGACTGACCCTTAAAGGTAGATTAGCAAGTAGAAATCGATGCGATTGCCGTAATTTATGTTTAAAGACTTAAGATTATCTGGCTTAAAATTGGTTGCAATGACCGTGATGAACTTATCACTCTTGTCTTAAAATACTTATACTATTTATTCCACAAATTCATACTTTCTTCTCGAGTCATATAATCTTTGACTAATCATTTATATTAGTGTGATACTGTTATCAATACTTATCAGTACTTATCATGACAATTCCATCTCTCAGTGATGATGCAATTTGGCAACTTTAATGGGTATGCATAAAATACCAAAGTTTATCCATTTTGCTACATTTTTTTATTCTCCTGTACATATCGTTATTCCAATAATGCTTATAAATATGACATAAAGTATACACACTAATAGTAAACAATTATTGCTATTGCATCTAGGTCGTAAGCAGATGGAGAGAATCTATGAAATGAATGCATTTTATTCTGTTACGTTTTCTGTTCCTGCTTTAGTTATATTTATTAATGAGAAGGATTATATAAAACTTCACTACATGTAAAAGAACTATAAACGAAATATATCAAGTCGATATATATGGACAACTATCACCTGCATATCTATAAAGTACATTGTATGATTAAATAATTATTAACTATATTATATAGTCCCTTTTAATAATGAAATTCTTATTCAATGAGATAATTACTCCGTGTAGTATTTCTTTCTGTTTTTCAGTGTGATATTTTATTCGGTATAACATTAATTTATTTGAGTATTATGTTTATTCAAGGTACGATATTCTTGATTTAAATTAGTATGAACTATGCACAGCATGACAAGCATCATATGGTTTGTCCTAACTCTAAGTATTTTTCATATATGTGATTTTATTCTAAACAATAATAAAAATGGGTGTACAATCGATAAATAAATGAGTGTATTTCCGAATAGAGTCGTCTTCATGTTTTGGGGTTAATAAATCTTCATTTGTACCAGTCTTGGTGTTCTCATTTTGTGTCGTGGGAATTGCAGTGCTTCCTAGTTTTACAAATATAAGTAATATGCGATTCCAACAAAACAATTAGCGACACAGTCATAAAAATTGATGACCAGTCATAAAAGGTTGTAATGTAACCATTTATATTAGATGGTCAGGAATTCCTCTGTATTTTTGGGTTCAAATCCCACAGAGAATAACAATTAATTTGATATTTTAGATACAATATCCTGATGAGTGTCAACTATTATGTGAACTAAGTTCAATACCGATAACTTCTATCCATCTGATAAAAATAGAAAAGGACACTGACTGTTGTACAAACAAATACATGATAGAACTAGTACAATGACATTTTGGTGAAACCGTAATTAATGTTAATAACATTATAACGACCTTGATGCAAATTACAGATAAAAACAACAACAGTAACGATTATAATGACAGTAAATAAACTACTTACTTGTAGCTTTCTCTTATCACTCCAATAATTTTAATTAATCTAAGCCAACTGTATTGTACTTGTTCACCCCAACAGTGTAATAATTGTTGTACACATTTTAACTGTTCTTCTCGTACATCATCATATATAATATGATCGGATAAAGCCGTTAATGGATCGAGTACTTGAATATTTAGTGCCTTAAAATTTTCGAGAAAAAACAAACGGTTAGAGTAGATTTAATAAAATAAGTGCACAAATAATAATACTTATCATAAGTTGTTTCTACAACTAAGTAGAGGTTTATGCATTTTGTACAGATACATTTACAATAATATAAAAACTAAATACATTAGTTGATTGGACACATTATAATAGATGAAATATACTAATACATAAAAATAAATCTAGTATTATGGATTAAATAACTGAAACTCTAAAAGACAATCTCAGAGCTTAGTATATTAATATGAACAAGTATCTGTGAATTGTTTTTGTTACAAAACACTTATGACTGAATTATTTAGATCTTCTGAAACAGTACATATTTATTACAATCCGATAAGAAATTAATTTCCATTAGCATGACACGTAGGATACTTTTCAAAGCAGCTTTGTTGAGACAATTGTGTTTAAGCACTTTCGAATAGATCATTGTACATATAAAGAAGTTATGGTAAACCTCTCATTCCTATGATTAAAAAAATTAGTGGTGTAGCATTGCCTATTACAGGACTCATTTGTTTTATTAGAGATTTTTAACGTTAAACTGGCATTCAATAAATATGTAAATTTAATTTTGAGTATCGATTATGTGGCTTGATTTTCAACTAGTAAATTACATTTTCAATTCTAAAAATTAATTACTTTAATAACTATAACCGTCTTATCCCACCACTTCTTTCAATCACTTAGTCATTCACTTGATGTCACTTTCACATTCAACTATAGCGTTATTAGGTAGCACTACTACTCAACTGATATAACTTCATAATTGTAAATCATATAGTATATACATATATATGCATTTAGATTCGCGACTCGATCTAAGCTATGCCACCACCGAAAACATGGAAGTACTGGATGGCCGTTTCGTCCTCGTACAGAACGACTCAATAATGCGCGCCCACGATTCCAAAACGTAGGATTCGAACCTAGGACATTAAGGCATGTATGTGAACGAATAGCCTCCAGACCATTGAGCCGGCATCCAACTCTGTAATTGCCTAACTTTAATCGACCCATGACCTAGCGCAACCCTTCACCCATTGTCTGAGGTGGATAACTGTCTCACGCCCAACACGGATTGGACTCTAGTGGTCACAGCTTCTCACAAAAACTACAGGAAATTCATCTTGAAACTAGTTACTACTGAGCACTGATGAGGATTCCCGTACTAGGACGAAGCGGTCATCCGGTGCTTCCACGTTTTCAATGTTGGTCAAGCTTAGATCGATTTGTTAATCCAACTGTGAAAATGATACAAGCTACACAAATCCCTATACCGATAATATGCGTTTGAGTGGAACTATAATGAAAAACTAAACGCTTTATTAGTCTTTAAAATAGTTATTTCATTCATTTCGAACCTCTGATTGACATTTATAACAATGCTCCCATCCTTTTATTACTTAATTTTCAATATCTTAGCTACTAAAATATTCAGTAGTTTGTCTTCATACTAATTTTAATTTCGTACTATTTTAACCTGAGCTTCATTAGCCTTCATTAGCCAAGGTAGACAAAAAAGTGTTAAATAATAATAATAATGCTAATTGTAACACAAATTCGTTGACAATCACCGAGGAATTTCGAATTATAATGAATTCATTCTAATCAGTAAATCGTGTTGTTTTGTTATTATTTTGTTTAGATTCAAACTGTTCTAAAACTAACAATTTAATAACGATAATGTTGTGTTCATATTCTCTTCTAAATATTAAAACATTTAGTCGTAGAATTGTACATTATTGATTTATTTATTTAAACACATAAATATTGGTACAAAGGGACACCAGATATATATGCGCCGCACAAATATCATTTGATTTGTGTGAGGGCCACGGTACTGCTAAGGTGTCAAAACCGGAGCAGGTGATTTTCTTAGTAGTCCACACCCGGAGCCTTTGATCTAAGATTTGATCCACAAGGCAGTAGAGCAACATAAGGAGATGCAGTCCAATGGTAGCCGGTAACCAACGATTGATTCATACGCCATTTGTTCCCTCAAGATACCGGAGATCTTGTGCATCATTGGTTTAGAATCAGGGTTTTCCAACTTTCCTAGGTGGACCCTCCGTGTCCACCAACCCGGTTAAAGCGCCGGATATTCTGTTTCCGTCCTCTTAATTTTGTAAATAACACCTACACCGCGAGAAGGCAGTGAGTAGAACTTCCCTGGCAGAGGTTATATACGCGTGGCCATATGGGAGTATTTCAAGAAGGAGAGCGGACTCTCCCCACTCTCGGCCGTACCAGAGCGTTTAAGGGCCGAACTGTACATTATTCGACTAATATGACTTAACTGAATGTTTTTCTAATATCTACACTAATTCATTGATTTATTGTTACATAAATCATTGAGTTTTCTTATAAATTGAGGAGATTATGCACACCCGTTTAATTGCTCTACGCTGACAATCATGTGAATTCTTAAAGAAAAAATAGCTACAGAATGATTTTGATTTTGTTCTGATCCTCAATAGATTTTAATTACTTTTTTTTATTCATACAAAATATTTTACATTTAAATGAAAATAGTGTAATTTTTCTTTCTCCATAAAATGAATTGCATTATGAAACAATGTTTCTTAATTATTATTAAGAAAATATTTCACTTCTAGCGAATTTACAGGATAATTTAAACTTATGCTACGTTAATTTCTGAAAGATTCAGGAAGAAAAGCAATACAATATTCAGAGAAAAGATCTCGTGTTCAAAGAGGGTGTCTTTTTTGAAGTTTATATAGTTTCTTTTCAAGTTATCTCTCTTAGGAAAAGTAAGATAATTATGAATGAAAGAAACCAACATAAAAATAGACTAGTTATCTAAACAGGAAAGCAGGTGAATAACTACTATTTCTATTAAAATTACTTGATAAATTAGTTATGCTGATAAACAGTGAACAAACACTACTATTATGTCATCAATAGTTAAAGAAACAAAGACGTACAATGACAATTATAAAATGAGTTCGTAGTAAAATGAAGAAATATGGACAATACAAGAGTTGAGAAGAAAAATACTGCCCATTTCTGTTATATCTTGTCAACACACTCCATAAGATCTTTCATGGTTGATATTATAGAGTGATTTTGATTGGAGAACGAGTGAAAACCAAGAATCACTAGACAGCCGTATGGAACTATTCAGCAGTGGATATCTATAACTTCACTAGGATTTAAATCTAGTACCTTAAGGTGTTATGGCAAGCACTTGTTATACCATCCAGTTGGATGAATTCAATAAAATAGGGATATTGCAAAACCATTCCCTAATGGCATTCTTAAATAACTGTCTCACATCCGACATGGTTGATTTTCACTTGTTACGGCTTCCTTCTAGAACTCTGTCAATGAGATGGTGGAGAAAAAAAACTCTGTCAATGAGCAACTTCTGGAAAGCAGTCACTGGTGAGTACATGATTATAATTACCGTAGAGAATTTGTGGAGACTGTCGTGTAATATTCTCCTCCCTTCATTTCTTTTTCAAATACTGTCAAATCAATTTTTTATTACTGCACAGATAATTGTTAGTGGTTAGTTCAATCACAATGGTAACACATATACATAGATAAAAAACTTAAAATCGCATGAACATGATGTAATAGATAAAACAAACAATAGAGCTTAATTTATTGGTATATCAACATTTAACACATAAACCTTTTGTAGAAGCAACTATTCACTGGGAGCTAAACATGATGAAAGTTGGATTTCGTGCGATTTGAAAATTTGTTTCTGTATTTCGGTCACAAGTTGCTGGCCAACAATGATTAGTATCAGATACAATCGGTGACAGTCACTAAATTCTATCTAAAATATATGAATGAGGGATGCGAAAGCTTTAATAATAGTAAAAATAATAATAGTAATAGTACTGATAGCCAATATCCAAAAATTTGATTCTAGTGAATACTTACTTCATTTTGCCAAAAAGGAGGATTCTGTGGAGCAGCAATTGCTTGTCTGATTAAACTGGTCAAACAGCTTGAAGATAGCTGACGAAGAGTGGCATAAGTGCAATTACACACCTAGATATAATATGTAAAAAATTAAGAAATCATTTGTACACTAAAAATAAGCGTCGTCATGCGGAACAATATAGTATTGCACACTTTTACGTGATGAGAAATAAATGTTTTCCAAAAAAGTGTGTTTCTTATCGCTGGGAACAGGAGATTCATTGGTAACTGACAGGCGACTATACATCAGAAATACGGATAATTTTTTCTAAATGAACTTATTTGTGAGGTACGGACTCAAGTACTCAACTTTGAATCACACTGCGATGGCTCAAGCCTAAATTGATAAAGCTTCATGAGTACGTGCTACTCAGAAGCTGAAAGTTGAGTACTCTGATGACTGTCTTAATTCGTGTTACGAAAGACAACGAATCCTAAATAATATTTCACTAAAGTAAAGACCATTCAGTATAATTTAAAATTGTTTGGAGAGGTGGGGTAGTGGTTAAATCACTTGGGTTTCGAATAACTATTGACTTCATTTGATTTGGACATTCGGGTATCCTACAAGTAAAACATGTAGCTCAGAGCTCAGTGGAAGACCTATACTTAACAAGTTACATTAAATAAATAGTAGTCAATTGTACCATATATGTAAGTGTTGTTCTAACCACATATAACATAAAATCTTCTTATATTCAGAATGGCTTTCATTAAGCTATTTTTGAAAAATATCATGAATTACAGGAAGATGCAAAAATTACTAAAACAGAGCAAATACAAACAATTAGTTTATCAATGTCAAAAAACTATATTTGTTGCTATCTACTGATTTGAACTTATTACCAATTGCCGATGTAAATGCTTTTTGTAAGTGATATTAAATGATGAATTTAAAATTGATGTTCATGCGTTGACTATGCTTGTGGAATAAATTATGCAATTGACATGTCAAGCCTTTTCTCAAGCCATTGTGGTAGATGCCCATGAATGCAAAGAAGTGGAATTGGTGAATTAGAAAGATCTATAGTTCAGTAGAAGCAAGCAGAATGGTATATGTTTATCCAATCGATTATTCGTAAAAACCTATCATTGACACGAAGCAGGGATAGAGTGTCCTTTGTCAGGTTCGGTGCGGTTGAGGTGAATGAGGCTGCAAAATCAGTACAAATTTTTCAGAATATACAAAAATCCACAGTTCATAGCTAAAGTTACCTCAACAATATGTTTTCAGAGAAACAGAGAGCTACACAAACAAACAAAAGGTAATCCAACGTGATCACAGACACCCAGACTGATTGTAAACTCAGTTGTGTTGTAGTTTTACAAATGATTAAACTGATAATTGGACAGGATATCCAGACTACACATTTGTCATAATTAAAAAGGATTACCTAGAAATACTTGAAATTTTACTAACAGAGTATTCGACACTAAAAACTTCACATTAACAAGAGAATCAGTTCACAAACTACCAATTTCGAACATACTGATCACCAGAATTAATACTGTAAAACTCGAAACTCATGTATAACACAAATGAACTCATACCGATCCAATAAACAATTACAGAAGCACAAATTCAATGACACACAAATCAAGCTATATACAAAGAATGACGACACACTACGGACAAAGAAAGTTTAGATATTAAGGGAACAAAAGAAAATATTTGAATACACGTCGGAAGATGTATCATTAAACACATAGATTTTTGTGAGATGGGAAAATAGAACTTCTACCATACTGATAACTGACATCTTATAACATCAAAGTAGAACTAATAAATATAAGGACAATAATTAGCAACCGTATGATTGACATCTATCAGTTAAATTTATATTACAAGTTATCATTTAAAAAAAGGAAATTAGACTGAGTTATCAGTGTACTTTCAGTTGAGAAGAGATATTTGATATGAGCTGGCGCTCTGCTTAAGTGGAAAAAAACTTTTAGTGAATAAAAAGCAAATAATAGGAAAGTCCAATTCTATGCCCACACGACACTACTTTAATTGAAAAACAATACATACTCGTCCAACGCATTATAGCTTTTCTCTCTAAAGCTAAACGCGCCAACCTATAAACCACAATGTACAATAACCAATCAGAAGAAAAAATCTAATCAACCAATCACGGAACAACAGGCTAGTGATCTACAAGTGTATATTCAGCTATTAAATAACCGACTTATGGAATAGCGATTGAAAAATAAATACAGAGGTAAGAGTGGCAGGAATACTTTGATAATTAAAGCATAATTATTCGAGTAAAAAGGACAGTACAAATATCTACTAAATGACGATATGGATGATACTAATAACAATTATGAAAAATATCATTTATTACATAATATTATCGGTTGTAATATTTCATTTCATTCTTGTTTTATATCAATTACAACACCATCACCATCGATATCGTCAAGATCATTATATAGTAATAATTCTTCATCTACAGTATTCACATCAAATGGATGTCCAACAATACCTAGTTTGAAACAATTTGAAATTTTCTATTCAACAATACATGCTTATTTAGCTTGTACAGTGTGTTTATTTGGCACGGGAACAAATCTTTTAAATTCAATTATATTAACACAAGAACAAATGCGTAATCCAACAAATACTTTATTAACTGGTATAGCAATTGTAGACAGTTTAACAATGTTAGCATATGGTCTACAAGTTATCTATTTACATTTTATCACATCACCATATCCAGATAAATATCCGCATAGTCAATTAGCTGTTTATTTAATATTAATAAATCATGCAATCAGTATAGGCAGTCATACAATATCAACATGTTTATTAGTTCAGTTAGCAGCATTTCGTTGTTGGGTATTATATTCAAGAAAATTAAAGTATTTGTTAAGTTCACATCATCATTTAACATGGATTATGATTAGTTCACAGAGACGTTTTATTATTTACTGTTATATTAGTGCGGGAATTATAGGATGCTTGTTATGTATGCCAACATTTATTTTATATCAATGTGAATTAATCGATGTGAGAAATGCATCAGTAACATTGAAAACAAAGGAATATGAAGGCTTAGATAATACCAATAACAATTTTAATGATGATGATAATAACAATATTAAAATAATAAACGTGGAAACAAACACTACCATTATTAATGATAGTACCATTACTAGTCAGTATTTCTATTGGTTCAAGCTACATCCTAAAGGTCAATTATTAGAACGAGTACATTTTATTTTATATGGATGTTTTGTAAAACTTTTAGCATCGATACTTATTGTTATATTCACTGTATTAATATTGATGGTATTACATGATGCAAGGCAACGATATCGAAAATTGCAGACATTACCAATTGAAATAAAATTGGATAATAGTAATATGCGAAACAATAGTACTAACAATAAAATTGTTAGTAATAATGTCATATTTACAAGAAAAATATCAGCTAATTCATTACGTCCAATCACATGTAACAATCCTTCGAATAGTACTGTAATGACACGAAATTCCGTTCTTAACAATAGTGATTATATCAATGATTTAAGAATAAGAAGTCATCAACATCAAATAAATACTAATATTACTACTAGTAATATTAATCTACTGTCAACAGTAACAACAACAACAACTAGAAATCCATTATTCTTACAAATATCTTCTTTAGCTCCAAGTAATGAATTAAGAAACAACGAATTGAACAATAGTAGTAGTAGAAATAGTAATAATAATAATTTAATGATAACACGTAATCATCGTCATTCAAGTCGTCTTTTACAAAAATCACGTGAAAGTCAACATGTCACAATTATGTTAATTATAATTGTAATAAGTTTTGTTATAACTGAAGCACCACAAGGTGTATTCAATGCACTTGTTGCAATTAAAGGTGAATGTTTTCTACATACAATTTATTTACCATTAGGTGACTTATTAGATTTATTAGTTCTATTAAATTCTTCAATTAATTTTATTCTCTATTGTGCAATGTCACAAGTGTTTCGTGTGAATTTTGTTAATTTATTAAAGAAATTATTATTGTTTACATTGTAATTATTGTTTATTGACATAATTCTAAACAAGCCATTATGAACGTTAAGAATTTATTCATTGTACACTTGTGAACATTACGTAATAATGAGGATGATTATGATGACAATCATACTAATAATAATGAAGATAATCACTACTGAGAAATCCATTAATGATCAAAAAAGATGAATATGTGAAAACTAAAAACAAATTCAAATGAAACCTTTCATGCTTAGACTAAATAAATATGGTATATAATGTATACATTGAATTGAGTTGAGTGAAATCAAAACGAATGACCATCGAGAAGAATGGAATAATTAATGTAACGAATAATACAATTCATTGTATGAAAATGATATACCATAATAATGAATAAAAGCATAAAAATGTTCCTTATTTGTTAAAGGCTATCATGTACAATCTATATTCATCATTGTGAATATTGACTTTCAATGATTGTCAGTTGATTAATAATATACAATCATTAACAATACCCTTTATTTACTAATATTATTACATAAGGATATATATGGATATATGTACGTTATTTATTTCATAAACCCATCAATGGAATACATTTTATAAGATACAATCGAAATTAAACCTACTGCTAATTGACAACTAGTAAATGTATTGATTTCTTTTTCTTGTATACAGTATAAACAATTTTGTGATTGTTATTATGAATAGTCAGTAATTTATAAATTAGCTTATAATAGGTCAACTTGTGATTTCAACTGCTGCAAATCCCAATAGTGATAACAATCATGAGCTCACTAATGACTAGCTTCAAGATGTAACTCCTGGAGTTCTAACGAGAAGCTGTGACTAGTGGAGTTCAATCCGTCTCGAGTGTGAGAAAGTGATCCGAAAGTCCTAGGTTTGAGTCCTGTGTGAGGGACAGTGGATAAGCATTGATAAGGAGTCCTATACTAGAACGAAAAGACAAACCATTTATTCCAAGTTTTTATTGGTGATTTGGCTAAGATCAACTCGTGATTTCAACTGTAAAAATTATAACAGATTGTTCCTTAAAATTTTAGACTCCTTGATCTATGTAGTTTACTTAAAACGTTATCCCATTTATTTAAAAGTGAGTTTTGTGGTAAGACCAAATATATCGAATAATTTATTCTACGTTCATAAGGATGAGTATAAAATGGAAAGGTTTCTAATCCGAATAATATATAGAGATATAAAATAATTTCAATTCAAATAATGAGCTGACTTACAGTAAGTAGTTGATTTGATATAACTTTCCACCATAAATCCAATCGATGCACGTTAACTAATCCAATCTCTGTTAGTTTAGCAATAGGAAACTGACTTGGTTCCTAGAAACAAACAAAAAATTGTGTAAACATGATACACAAGATATAATGACATAACTGAAATATAGCAATAAGCAAAGATAGTATCATTGATATTTCCTAAGAAACAAACATTTCTACTCATTCATCTATTGAATATACAACAAATTCAGTTGTACTTCACCACGTGAAATCCGAATTATTAATCTGTAATATATTCTTGACCTAATTTGCATAAAAATTTATGTTAATATGATTGAGATATTACAGTCAGTATCATAGGTAAACGATTTCATCTCATTATAAATTAACTCACTTTCAAGTAAACTTAATTAACCGTCATTCCATTTAAAGGAATATATATATATAATTAGGTTATAATTTAGCATAAGCTAAGCTGACTAACCAATATGTAGAATTAAAATATACCAAACTTCATCAGCAGAATAAAAATCAACCCATTATGAAAGATTTCCAGTTACTATTGCATAAAATGCTGATGAATTAAGTGAGGAAAACATTGATCTGTCAGAAAGTTAAGACAACGAATAAACACCATTTGGTCATTTTCCAACGTCAAATATAAGTAGGTAAGTGTGCTTTACAAATAATTATACCCAGTTATTTGTTTAAAATGATATCAATGAAGTAGGCTGTTTAGTTTTTTTCATTTTCATTGAAATGTTGTGTCAGATCATTTATAATAATTATAAGTTTTTCCACAAACAAAATTATTAATGATCAAATAAAAACAGACTAGTAATACGTGCGCCCCCAAATGTCCTGGTACGGCCGAGAGTGGGGAGAGTCACCTCTACCTCTCGAAATGCTCTCATATGGCCAGCGAATATATAGCCTCTGACAGGGAAGTCATACTCACTGCCTTCTCATGGCGGGGGTGCTGTTCACAAAAGTGAGAGGACGAAAAGCGAATGTCCGGCGCTTTAACCTGGTTGGTGGACATGGAAAGTTCACCTAGGGGAGTTGGAAAACCCTGATTCCAAACCAGTGGTGCACATGGGCTCCAGTATCCTGAGGGAACGAATCAACCGTTGATCACCGGCTACCATGGGACTGCATCTCCTCACGATGCCCCACTGCCTTGTGGATCAGACATTCAGGTCAAAGGCTCCGGGTGTGGCCTCCTAAGAAAACCACCTGCTTCAGTCTGGGCACCTGGGCAGTATCACAGCCCTCACACAAATCGAATGAGATTTGTGAGGCGCATATTTATCTGGTGCTTCCTTGTACCATTATTTATGTGTTTAAATAAATAAATAAGTAATACGTGCGAAAAGTAAAAATGTGGATGAGCCCATTATTATGCAAACAATTAAAACAAGATTAATATATATGATAATAAGATTATTTATGAAAAAACTATTACTAATTGTTTTAAGCTGAAGTTGGAAATAGTAAAGTAGGGATGACACTTATTTTAAAAAAGAAATGTGTGCACGATATATTTTGAACAATTATAGAAAATAATTATTATAAAACAAAAGAGAATGTAATATGGAAAAAAAGAAATTTCAATATAATCAACTGTATAGGATGAATGAATTATAATATATTTACGAAGTACAGGTTTATGAACTCGGCATTTAGATATATTGCTTTTCTGTGAGTAACATACCTTAGCTCTTTAAACTAACATGAGTTCGAACCTGATACTGACTAGTTAAAAACAGGAGATTTTAGCCAATAAGCCAACGCTTAAATCTCAGTTTATAGCAATTCACACTGTAAATCTCTATTAATTCTGTCGTTGAAACTGGAGTAAAGATTATCACTCAAAGTTCAAGGAGAGCATATCGGTATTTAAGGGAGTAACTTGAAATAGCCAAAAACATTTATTTTAAACAATATGGAATCTAATTCCGAAAAATATGAAAACATGTATCCAGAATGACTGCTGTCAAGAATAAGTGCTAAGAAAAATCAAGGTTATCTAGTTTTGTGGATAAGTCTTATTACGATATATATATATATATATATATATATATATATATATATATATATATATTCTAAAAGTTTGACAATGTTCAGATTTTAAAAGATTTCTTTTCGATTGATAGTGTTTTTGAGGAAATAAGTTGAATGAAGAAAAACCATATATATTGACAATATAACAACGAGATATAACACTTCTAAATGTTATTGTTCTTCGATAGTTAGAATTTGTTAACAATCGGGGTCTAGAATTAAGTGTAGTGTTAATCATCCTCACAGATGAAACGTAGTACTGAAAACAAAATAAGTATGAATATGTATGTGCCAAAAATGAAAATTTAATTAACTTGTCGAATGACGGAGAGAAAAAGTGAAAAGTCACTATTTTTTTCGAAAATTAAAAAATGACATATGAACTTACTCGATTATTTTTCACTGCTTCTAATGCATCTGCTGAAAGACGACAAAGTGCTGAGATAAAATTGTGTAGAGCATCTACACTCAACTCGCTTTTTGTACGTATTGTAAAGGATTGATAATGTACAAAATATTGAAGAAAGAGGAAAAAAGTGCAAAATAAGTATAATGATATAAAATTGAGCATTAATTCCATTAAACTGGCTGAATTTCGATACGTTTTACTAAAAGTACATCAAGTCACCAAGTTTATATACCATGTTACTAGACAGTGGCATGACTGTAATAAAGTACGTGTGAACAGGACAAAAATAGTTTATACAATGTAAACCGAATAGTAAATGAAATAATATTGAGTAAAATGTTTTCTTGAATATGAGCACGGTACGTTTTGTTTGTTGTAATATAAAAGTTAAAAACAAGAGAAGAATGATGCCTTGAATGACAACAACAAAAAAGACGACATAAACACTATCCGTTAGATTACCTTAGATAGAGTGGTATTTATACCAAAAATGATGAACTAACATAGTACAAAGGACTATTTAAACGTGGTTTAATTCAATTTGTTTCTTTTTTCTCAGAAAAAGTGGTTTGCACCGAGACATGAGACATCAGAAAACTTAAAAATTTAATCTTTCTACTGATCAGGATATTACAAGTATATTATTTTTATTAGTAACAATCTACCCAATGCTTAATTTATTTGAAGCAATAAAGTCAAACCTTGGTAATGACACTTATGACATCTCTACTGTATAATTTGACAACGCTTATTAAATTGGTGGTTTAGTAAAACAGTTTCATTGGGCTAATTAAAAAACGGCTTCTAAAAAAAGACTAATTGAAACATGAATAAGAACTGTAATACAACCTGTTAAGGAGGCAAAAATTTATGTACTCATCCATGAACATCACTTAATGAATAAAAACCATAAGTACTATCTGGTTACACAAATAGAAGTGTGTGGTGATGTTCAAACCTGAGATCAAATGGTTAAAAACACACTTTTAAATGTAAATTAATCAACTTGGAAGGCTCATAGACTGAAAACTAAATAATCAGCAAGCAAGTAATGAACCACAATATGCAATTGAATATTGTAGGATATAAAAATACCTAACTACTATACACGTTTAAAGCCTATTTATTTATTTAAACACAGGAACATTGGTACAAGGAGGCACCAAATAGACATGTGCCACACAAAAAATTGTCATTTCACTTAATTGTGTGAGGACTATGATAATGCCCGGGTGCCCAAACTGAAGCAGGTTGTTTTCCTAGAGAGCCACACCCCGAACCTTTGACCTAAAGGTCTGACCCACAAGGCAGTGCAGAAATGTTAGGAGATGCAGTCTCATGGTAGCCGGTGACCAACGATTGGTTTATACGCCATTTGGTCCCTCATGATTCTGGAGCCCATGTGCATCATTGGTTTGGAATCACGATTTTCCAACTCCCCTAGGTGGACTTTCCATGTCCATCAACCCGGTTAAAGCGCCAGACCTTTTAAAAGTTTTGACTATATAAAAGGTTAAATAAATGAAATATTAAATTGTGTATGAACTCGACATCACACTCCCACCCACCCCGCAAGAAAAATTATTCCGATTAGTATACAAGAAGATGGTAATGAGCTTTATAATATCATCAGAATAAATTTAATTTACTTTGTAATTCTAAAAAAAGATGTAGAAATAAGTTAACCAGTTTTTATTAGCTTAAAGGTGAATTTATTATTGAACCTCAATTCATTATGAACTGAATTCGATCATTTGAGAAGGTTAACAATAAAAAGTTTCAAGCTTAATTTTTTTTCTGATCCATTTAATCATATCATTAATTAATACGACGTATGCATGTATAAAGGACACGGAGATTATTTATCCACCGTTAGAGTAATAATATCAATAATAATGACTGATTATAGTTTAGAAGTAAAATAGCTTCAACTATCCTATCATACAATATTTTCTTATTCCAACAGTAGGGGACAAGAAAAAAAGAAAAAAGAATCATTGAGAGGAATACAGAATAAGAAAAACTGGAAAATGAATTAAATGAATAAAAGCTAAAAATATTTAACGATTTAAATGGCAAAAATAATAAAGAATATTATTATTCGGTTCATTTCTACATTAAATCAATGTCACAATCAAAATTATTATTGACAAGTTTTTTTTATTGTTTGAACGGTATAGTTGGATACAAACTGGGAATATTGTTTTAACTCGATTGTTTAAGTTAAATTTTAAAATGTAAAGCTAAATGGTATTGTTAGTCGATTGTTCCAATGGTTTTAAGGATTACTATCGTATATTAGGCAAAAAGTCTTGAAATAAATAACCCGGAACTCATGTAATATTAAAGGTAACTACTTACCTGGACTGAACAAAAATTTGTGTAAGCAATGATGATAATGATGTTAATTCAGATGTCACCGAGAAAAGTGTTGTCATAGAGATCTGTTGTGTCGAAACTTGACTATTATTGTTAGTCGTAATAGTAGTAGCAGTATTAGTACTGGCAGTTCCAGAATCAGCATTTTCATTCATTGTATCATTTGATGAATTGACACTTTCCTTTGTTGCTGTGCATGATTCTTGAACAGGTTTGAAAAATAATTTAGCCGATGGTTCAATTTTCAAGTTCAACATCCAAACTAAATGCTGTAAATTTTAATTTAAACAAGATACTAGCAAAATAGAAAACTAAAAGAACGATGCCTATATATATATATATATATATATATATATATATATATATATATATACAGAGAGAGAGAATATGGATTAGTGTTTAAAATACTTAGTTTCAACAATTAGGTTGTTCGCGAGAACCCCGCAGGACTTATTTTGGTTTGGGTGATTAATTAGTATCGCCAAAAACCTATATATTTAGAGTATGGTTTAAATTATTAACAGTTATCTACGCAAAATACTCCGGATCCGTGGGCCACACACTATCAGCAACACCTACTGTAGGAGAGAACAAACCAGATTTCAGCGGAAGAAATCAGGAAGAAGAGCTGGAAGTGGATAGGACACACATTGAGGAAGTCACCCAACTGCGTCACGAAGAAAGCCCTCAATTGGGATCCTGAAGGCCAAAGGAACAGGGGAAGATCAAAGAACACATTACGCCGAGAAACGGAGACAGACAATTGGATAGAAGTAGGAAGGAAGGACTGTTTAGGAATAAATGTTTAGAGCTCAATCAATCACGTGTCATTTATATCAAGGAACTTAAACTTAACCTCAGCACTGAAAACAAGTAATGATTTAATGTCTACTATGATCAAATAATTGTAAATTACACAAGACCTCTACCTTCATTGTCCGAATTTCACAGTTAAAAATTATTTACAGTGAACCAATACGGTGTGTAAATAAACAACGAACATGTAGAATACAACACAGTTTACACCAATACTGTGAACATTGATGATGAGTCTACTGAATGAATGACTAAAACCTTAGAATACTTCCAAATCTGAAACTGAACAATAGAAAAAAGTCCAGATAATTAAAAGCTTTATTGAAAGATCAATTTATGTACACGAAATCGAGTGCATTTCTAGAGTTCTGTATAACCTTAACCTTTTAAAAAGACTTCTGGAAATGTAGTTCATATCAAAACAATACAAGTAATTATCTAATTAAAACGTAACACATAATTCTTTATTTTTCTAGACTTTTCTGAGAATTCATTATTCAATGCTGACTAAATAAAACGTTTCCATCCTTTTTCTGGGCCTTTATAGTACTTTACCGAAGGATATTTGTGGACTCTTCACAATAGATAATTTGCAACCATACATCAAAAACCATATGTAGAGTTTATAGATGAATATTAAGACATTAAAATCTAATTAATGGTCAAAATTTATTGATTTAGATAAAAGTAGAATTGTAGAAAAAAATAAGAATATACCTGCATTGTAGTTAGAAATATAATCCATGATGAATCTAAGACATCACCATGTGCAAGAGCAGTTGTTAAAACAGCAGAAGCTGCTTGTAAATGTTTAACAGTAAGTAGTATATTTCCAGATAACAAAGAATCTGTATTTCCAGCGGATCCGGAACCACTTTGTACATTTCCAGTGGGTGTAGTCTGGTTTGACATGTTTTGAAGAATAGATGGGACATTTGTGGGTGGATTAATATGAACTGTATGACCAGGGCCTTGAGAAATCACTAAAGCAATTCCACTACGTTCAAATATATCATCATGATTATTTGCACTATTGAAATTAGGAGATAACTGAGATATTAGTGAATGATCTAAATATGAGTAAACAACAAATATATATTTTGATTAATTTCAATGAGTATAGGAAATCAAAAGTCATTGATTAAAGAAATATTTTGAAAATAGTGTCTAAATTAAGAATGTTTTAACATTTTTTCTTTCCTTGATCAACAACACTCAAAAAAATCTCCTTAGTACTTGGGTTAATTGAATGAATACTTTGATTTTATTTGTAGCTATTAGTTGATAACGGTTAGCTAGGCTGCTCAAACATTCCAAATATTGATAACCCCAGTAATTATTGCTTCAGACCGTATTGTAATTTAATAAACAACTAAGGCATAATTCCCAGCAATTGGTTCAACAAGTACGGAAGTGATTAATCCAATCCTGAATGTTGCGAACACTATCACTATTCATAACATGACTTTAATTTATAATTTGAGAAACAAATAGTGAGTTTATTATTCAACTAAATAATAGAACATACTTTTAGAATGAGTTGCCAATAAAGAACGTCCAAATGAAGATGGCAGTGCAGCTCTACACAATGTTATAGAGAAAGCATCTCGAGATTCATCCAAATGTAACTTCCCACTTAATTCAATCATAATTTGCAAAGACTGAAGAAGACCTGATGTTATGTGATGATCAGCACTGTAGTCAAATGAAGCATAGATTTTTAAAAACAGCAATTAAAACACTTAGTTAATTCATTATAAAAATATATTGCATAAATGCCTAACTAACTATATGGACAGATAGTTTCAGGATTCTGTCAAAAGTGATCAAATTCATTCCTGACCAAGTGCGTTTGTGCTAAATTCAATCAGGGTATTGTAATACGCATATAATCTATCAATTTCGTACTCATTTTGTATAGACTCAACATAAGAGCAACAGGTTACTGCGTCAAAAGAAGTACATTCAATTTTCGATCTGAGTTGAAATTTCACAGTGCATTGAAAATGTAGTACTCAAAATATTGAAAACCACTTGTATCGATAGTTTAATTTAGATTTTTTATTTTAAACATTTTTATTTAGAACAGATTACATGATTAAGGAAAATGAAAGTGATAAAATCTTTATAAATCTAGTTATTCTGGATGATTAGGGTAGTATGAGAAGTCCCTTAAGTGTTCATACACACTCAATATCAGAAAATGGAAGTGCACCAACCACAGAAACAATCAGATGACCTGTGCCCTTGACTGCTGCTGACTTTTTCGGATACAATACATAGATTTGTGTTGTTGGAACAACACATCAGCGAATAATATTGTTTTAGACTAAAACTTAATATAAGTAATATTTATAAGCATGTATGAAAAATATTACACAAATCAAGCCATGTTGTGAGTCAGTGATAAAAATTAGTCGAATAATTTATATAACTAGAGATAATAAGTAGAGATTATAAATTGACAGTAAGATAACATACGTACTAGTACATCTGATACTCGGGGATTTGTCTTAATAATCTCATATCGCTGTGCTAATGTTTTACCATTTTTCATGTTATGCATGAACAAATGACTGAATGGTAAGAACAATAACAGTTTGAGCAAAATATTTCAACATAAAAAGTAGGTCAAAACTTAGGAGGACAAACTAATTAAAACAACAATCAACAAAAATTACTCAAAACGAAATCTGTGAATAATCTATTTAAAAATAACTAGTAAAGAGGCACGAAATAAAGAAAGCAAAGAAACAGAAAATTAAAAAAACATAGCGAACTCAATTATCAAGTCTTAACTTGGCCAAGAAAAGATAAAGATCTCATAAATTTCTTTTGAATACAGAAAATATGGTCGTTCTCAAATCGCTATAGCTTCTAGTAAAAATTAGGTAAAATGTTACTTGGAATCATTGAGTTTTATTTGCCACATTAACACTATTGACTAAACGTGACAAAACAGAGCTACATATTAACTTTGTTCCACACCACCCAGGAAGATTTTCACTTACATGTAGGCTAAGTTGCCTGAGCAACAAAGAAAAACCTGGTTATACGTCTTACAAGCAGGAACAAAATGGCTGCTCACGAAGCTTTCTGATTGAGCATACGTATGCATAGAACAAGAAGCCGAAGTAATGCATAACTCAAAGAAAACCGCTCGAAAGTAATATCACATTGACGTTTAGGACTTCAATTTACCGGTCTCTTATTAGGATATATGCATCCTATGCGTACTGCCTCCATAACGCCTTAAGCCTATTAACTTATTTTGAGCTCGAGACAGAAATCGCTACGTACTTATTTTGTTACTAAATTCATAGTATGCAAGAGACCAAGTTGGTCTGCTTAATAATTAATATGAAGTTCTACAGTGGTCAGGTTTCAACGAAGTATCTTTGCATTTATGATTAGAAATCTTCATCGACAAGTTGACCGATTTAAGATTTGTATGAGGAAAATTGGTGGTGGAATTTTGACAATGTCATGTCACTTAATATTTAATATTATGATTTTTTCAATCTACTTATTCAAACGAGTTGACCTATATATGTCGGAAAATATGAATCATTTGATAGTACAGACCATACAAATTGTATTAATTAACTGTTAGACATCATTTTTATATTTTCATTTATAAGTAAGAAAGCTATTAAACGTAAATATTATGATTTTTTGTTATTTAATCATAACAATGCGAACAGATAATTTTAAACTAGGAAAGCTTATTCCCAAAAAACTACTAATCTTTAATCTGAAACATGTAGGTTAAAGTGTTCAGGTCAGAGGTAATTGTGTAATATGTCCTTATGTGTATCCAATAACATTAGGGTCACGTCGATTTTTAGATAACCTACCACCACAAATAAAATCACAATTTATGGATTATACTAACATGGTAGAGAAAAGTAGATCAGAGAAATTAGAGAAAAAACTAATTCAGTCACTGGAACATGATAAACCTGAAAGAAAATTTTCTATGGACCCTGAGCGGTACGTTCATAACTTTTCTAGTGTTACGTTAGACAGATTACAATTAGAGGCTTTGTCGCTCGGCCCTAGATTTTGTGACTAAAGGAATAAAATAAATCAACTTGATACAGATGTGCAGTTTGAAAACTTATTTACACAAACAACATATTTGGTCCCTACCTCTCCCGATGAACTTACTAGGTTTAAGACCACATTGGTGGACATCTGCCAACAATTCAAGAATAGCAAATATACTGTAAAAAATCCACTTACCAAACAGCATCGAGACGGTTTACATTTACTTAAGAAATATAACACTCTAATCATGAGCAAGCCTGACAAAGGAGGAGGTCTAGTTCTAATGGACAAAGCCGATTACAACGATAAAATGAACTCGATTTTGAATGACACGACTGAATTTCAGAAACTCAACGACGTAAAAGACATAAATATGAAAACAGAGAAAATGTTGACTAATTCACTCAAAGAATTAAAAAATAAAGGAATAATCACTCCGAGTATACATGATTCACTTAAACCCACGACTATATGGTCTACCCAAAGTTCACAAGGCAGGTCTTCCACTTCGTCCAATTTTAGACATGTATAATTCACCCTACCATAAAACTGCAAAGTGGCTAGTTCAAATCCTGGAACCCTTACACAAACTAGTCGTCAACAAAAGCGTGAAAGACGTTTTTGATTTCATTTCGAAGGTTGAACATATTAACTTAAGTGGTAAACGGATGATATCTCTAGATGTTGCTTCCCTGTTCACCAACGTTCCACTAACTGAGACTATTGATTTTGTGTGTCAACAATTACATGAAAAACAAATCAATGTCGGAATTCCTGAGGTCAGTCTTAAAGAGTTACTTTTGAAATGTACAATGAATGTTCATTTTGTCTTTATTAATACTTATTATAGACAAATTGATGGTATAGCGATGGGTTCACCTCTAGGTCCTATCCTAGCGGACATTTTTCTTGCGAAACTAGAGAATGGACCCCTTAAAGATGTTATCGACAAGCTTGAATTCTATTGTCGGTACGTTGATGACATTTTTATTATCGTGGATCAGGACATTGGCAAAGTCGAACTACTCGAACAGTTTAACAATAAACACCAAGCTATTAAATTCACATGTGAAGAGGAAATAGATAATAAATTAAATTTCCTTGACGTATTGTTAATAAAAAAGCGAACGGTTCCATCAGTAGAAGTGTGTATAGGAAAAGCTCTTTATCTAGCCAGTACACACACTTCTTAAGCTTCGTACCTATCTACTATAAAAGGAACTTGGTCAAATGTCTGGCAAATAGAGCTAGGAAGATTTGCTCAGTCGATTCTATCAACAATGAGGTTATCCATAATATGTTGATTGAAAGGGGTTATCCACAAGGATTCCTGAAAAAACATTTGCATTTAACAAATAAGAAAGTAAAGATATCAACAGCTGCGAAGAAACCACTCTTCCTGAAACTACAATTCAACGGCGATTTAGCTGATGATGTAATACGGGATAGACTCACTAAAGCAGTTAAGAGAACGTTTAATGCTGCCGACCTCTTTCTTTCTTACTCGACACGATCTATGGTGATTCCCCAACTAAAGGATAAGTTGCCTGGTTATGCCACTTCTATGTGTATCTATAAATTAAGCTGCTCCTGTGGAGAAAGCTATATTGGGCGCACTACCAGGCAACTGAGCCAAAGAGTTAGTGAACACCTTTCTTCGTGGTTAGGAAAAGGTATGGTCAAGTCGATACGGAGCTCGATCCTTTCACACTTGATTGATAGCGGTTATGAAGTTGATAGAAACCAGTCTTTTAAAGTTATTTATCGTATTCCTACTACTTTTCGATCTCGTCTTCTACACATAGCAGAAGCTATAGGAATTCGATCCAACAACCCAAGTCTTTGTGTTCATAAGAAATTTGTAACACCCTTATCCCTTCCTTGGCCTTAATAAATAATTTTATTTTCCATACTCTTTCTTCGTTTATTTTTCTTCACCCCCCTGTCAATTATTTATTTATAATTTTTCTAATATTCGCTTCCAATTATCCGAACACTTCTTATTACGTAATCTTATAATTTCTATGAATGTTATTTCAGTGTCTATATTTTGTAATCATTGACCTATTTTCCTATTATGTAACATTGATTCAAGCCTTTTATTATTCTTATCACAACTAGTACACCTGTCATTACACTAACAATTTGTACTTTTCACTTATTATTAATTTTGATTATGTAATCTATTCCACTGTTATCATTGACTCATAAACTGCCTTGATTGGTTTAATAATTTCGTATATGCATATAAATATTACTGTATATTAGAGTAAAGCCTGATGAGGATCTAATCGAAAACAATATTGTTCGCTTATATATGTTGTTCTAAATCACAATATGGGAATTTTTCAGATTTTTTTTTGATAAATTTTTTTGTCCCCCTTAATCAAAAAATTTTCATCCCATTTTCCAATTTTTTTCAATCCGTTTCGTTCAATGAAATTCCTAGTTGTAAATGCGTTATGATTGGTTATGTAATTCTTGAAATTCGTATAAAAGCTCTGTACATATCGATATAGATAATTTTCTTCACATTATGGACGTCAGTAACGTGCAAATTAGAGGCTCTGTTGTTCCTCACGTAGTCACAGAAACGGAAAATGTATTTTTGAATACATTGTATCTGGTAGCGTTTCCATCACTGG